TAGACAGAATGAGGCAGCAGCTAAAAAGATGAATCTCATTTTCTAGCAACTTTTTGGATTAATGTACAGCGTGCTGATACTAGAAGGATTGTTAAAAAATAAAAACCAAACATTTATCCACTGGCCTGGCATGATATCCTTGGACTGGCACTGAGTACCACCTTATCTCAGGTTGATGATCATCACTGTATTGTGAACACGAGGATGAGGCTCACATGAGGATGTGTTGCCCAAGGGGGCTGCTTGAAAAACATTGGCTAAATGCAGGCTGGGTTTTGTTCCTCAGGAGGAGTAAGGAGGGACTTGGAAACATTCTGTAGCCTTTGCTATTGGAGGCTTTGCATTCTGTGTGTCCTCTGTAGGACGCTTGGGCCCTTGGGTGTTCAGGAAATTGAGCTTTAACTGCTAGCAGGGCTTGAGCATGGGATGATGTGCTTCACCATCAGCAAGTGATGCTATCCCTGTGTATTAGGGAGGGAAGGAAGGAGGACTCATCCAGGACTGGCCTTCACCTGTACCTCAGGGGGAGACTGCTGTCAGAGACATGCAGCTGTGGTAAAATGTGAGATGTGTTGGCTGATTTCTGCTCGCAGGCGGTACCAGAGTGCCGAGCAGCAGTGCTTTTGTACAGCCAGCTGACTGCTGTCTTGAAATGAGTGATTTACAGGTGAAAATGTCTGAGGTTTTGATTTTTTTGCAGTTATTGTTTTGCATGCTGTTCGATAATATTTTCTGATATAAATCAGTGTTTTCCTTTGAGCTTGCTGTCAGGAACTGAGAACCAAGTGGAAAACCTCCAGAGCAGGGCAGGCAGCGCTTCTCCAGGCCCACTCCACTTAGGTACCAACATAAAGATCTAGCTGCTTATGTTTCATTGTACAAGTGAAGAGAGAAGGGAGATGTTGTGCTGTCAAAGGAGATGTGTACAAGTTGCCAGCCCCCTTCTGCTGCACCAAGGCTTGGACTTGGGGCATGTGGTAAATGAGTGCAGCAGGGCGAGGACAGTTGCAGAGCCCTGTGGTCAGGCATGCAGGCTGTGGCAGAGCATCTTCAGAATGGACAGAGGTCATTTCTATTTTAAAAGCCAGAAAGCATCTCACTTCATCAGGGAGGGAGTCTGAACCCCAGACACTTGGCTTTAAAAGATCCCAGCTGATGGTTCAGGCAGAGAAAGCTCTGGCCCTTATCTGCTGCGGTTCCTGACCAACCAGTGCTCTCTTTGCCCTGTTTTACACCTTGGCCAGGCCATGAAGGGGTTACAGTCTAAAATGAATAATGACTAAATTTATTCGTCATGGCCAAATGATGACAGCTGTTGAGATGCTCCTGTTAGCGCTTCCCAGGGGATAAAGCCAGGCTGGATCCTGGTGCAAGCCAGCCCAGCCGGGCAGAGCAGCTCAGCTGCAGCGTGTGCTGCTCATTCCCCTTGCTCCCTTCCTCAAGTGCACCGCAGTTCCCCAGGCTGAAATGGATGTTCCTGAGAATCCCACAGAGCTGCTGAGAGGACTGAGGCCGTAGCTGTTTAAATCCATGTGCGAAGACAGCATGCTTAATGAATACGGGGGCAATGATTGATTATGCTCTGGACTGAAAGCCGCGGCTCTCTGCGAAGCACTCTTACATCTGGGCGCGCTATGGAAAATATGAAGGAATGTTGAGGAAGCTTATTTGCAGAAGGATATGTACTTGTAAGCAATTCTTTTCTTCTTAAATAATGTAAAGGAATTGAAAAATTTAAAGCCAGCTGTGTTGTTTCCCTGCGACAGCGAGTGGTGAGCAGACAAAGGTCTCTTTTATCAGGGCATGTCTGTGGCTGTGTCCCTGGTAAATGAGCACCGGGGGGTTCTTAGGGTGGGAAAATATCAGCAGTTATTTAATGTTACAGCCTAGTACCCATTCTGCTTTGGTGCACCTCTGACAGCGTGATGAGTTACACCTATGCTGAATTTGGCACCTCGTGGTTTGCAGATGGACTGAAAAAAAAAAAAAAACCACAACGATCCTAGTTGAAATGATTGTTGTGATCCCAGTCGATGGATGGGGGGAAAAGGCTTTTTCATGGTAATGCATAATTGCTTATTTTTCTCTTATTTTCTGATCTCATGTGCTCAGGTTTCTTTCTGTTCTTTGTTTCTCTTTCTGTCCTGCACACGTGCTGCTGGAAGACTTAGTGTGCAGTTCTGAATTGGGCTCTGTTACTCTTCACTGTTCAGATTAGAAAATGCTGTTTGGCTGTTGAGGACTATTCTCATAACTATATATATGTATTTTTTGTATGCTAAATGAACAGGGTGATGGGATTGTAACCTAAACGTCTCCAAAACTGTTGTTTTTTGTATTTTTTTTTTCCTTTTGTGTGTATGTGTGTTGATTATAGCTAATGCTCAGAGAAGCCTGTTTTACATAGCATTTTAGCAATTAAATAAACAACAGGACTGCAGTCTTCATAATGTTTTTCTGAATTTGCATGCATTATAAAATAGCAAACCACACCCTCAACCCCTTTTGGAGGGGTTTTAGGAGTACAGATAGAAGAGGAAGTAAGTTAAATAATAGTGTTTAGCCTATAATGCAACTGATGGAGAATTGCATTACCAGATGAAAGTGGTTTGAAGTAATAAAGTACTTTCTGAGAATGACTTTCTCTCTCTTGGCTGGTAATATATATTATAATATCTGCTTAATATCTAAATATGGGCATTTGAAATAAATGTAAATGGGGTGAATTTGGCCTGGGTGTATTCAAGGTCTGTATGAGTTTATCATCCTCACTTAAACCCCTTTCTGTAGGCTTCAGAGATCACACATTTTAGAGTCTTATTTTCATCTATCATGACCTTCTGTGCAACTCTGACCAATAATGTTTTTGAAATAAAATTCCTGTTTGAACTAGACTGTATCTTTCAGGGGAAACAAAACAAACAAACAACGACAAAAAAAAAAAAAAAAGCAAAAGGAAAAACAATCTACAAAATTCAATGTTTTTAATATATTCCTGTAGTGGAACTTGCCAAGTAAGGCACCTTTTCTATTAGATGGTGAAACAACACTAATAAATCACGCTGGAAAACTACATGCAGTCTTCAGTTGCTGTGTTAACACAATACAGTCAAGCAACTTGTTAAGCATCTGAACAGTGTAAACAATTCCCTGCAATGAACTTTCATTTAAATTAATTAAAAAAGTATTTTCCAGCCATTCTCATGGCTTTTCTCTGAGCTCTTTTCAAGAATGTCATATTTTTAATTATGTATGTCAGAACAAAACAGCAAGTGTCAATGGGGAGTAGTACAATCTCCATGGCTGCCTTAGGGTACTGTGTGATGGATCCCATGTCCTAAATGTAATGGTTGCTCTTATCCTTAAGTTGACATCAAATTTCTTGATGTGACTTTAAATTTCTTAATCATAAAGTTTCTGTGTTTTTGTCTTGTTCACTTCTGCCTGAGCAGCAACTGAAATAGCTGTTATTGCCCCTGCTTCCCTTTACAAGTTACTCTTTTTTCCTTTGCCATAATCCGAGGCTTTTTGAATGTTGAAATTAATGGGACAGCTATCTTTGGCCACCTTCCTTAACTTTTTGGATGCTGTCTTGATATTGTTTCAGTGCCATGATTGGAGTGTGCCATCCTGCAAAAATGTACAGGTTGCAGATATAGTTTTTAGGTTTTTAGATAATCTGTGACAGCTCTATGTAGCTGTTATGAGCCTTTTTTGGGGGGGAAAAGTAAGGCTAAGGACAATGTGGTCTTTTTTCTCTTTTTTTTTTTTTTTTTACTTTCACTAGAACATCTCTCTGCTGTTACCAGTTTTTCTTACAAAAAGCTCAACATATATTGAGTTTTTCTCATTAGTGTCCAATAGGAGCCTGTATTGGTTACTTGATACTCCCAGGTGCTTTCCTGAGTGGGGATGGATTAAAGCTCCTGCTTGTGGTGTTTGTTGAGTGAAATTTCACAAAGGAAACAGTGAGATTGGGCCATACCATGAATCATTGGATTGAGATGGGCGTGGATCATGTCTCAAATCCTGAATGAAATGTTAGTGTGGAAAAGCTAAGTGATGGGGGACTGAGGGGCTTTTTCTACCCTCAATAAATTATGCACTTGGTCTATATCAGCTGTCCAAATGTTTTGTCACCTCTCAACCTAAGGCCGTTTTTTAAAGTGGATTAGCTAATTTGTATAGAACTGCAATATAAGCACTCTTTGGGAATTGAATTGACCTTCACTGGAAATCAAACTGACGGTAATTCATTTTAAGTTAATTTATGTTATGTTTGGAAGTAGGGCCTTTGGATACAAAGGATTCTATGAGTTTCAGTTCACCTTAATTATTATTATTTTTTTTTAATTTTAGATAATCCTTTGCTGTTTCCTTGCTTTGTTGCAGGGAACCTCTGCTGATAACTTAAAAACATAGAAGTGGATGTACAGCATTAGGTTGAGTCTGTGATTAATGGTCCCAAAGGGAAATGTCTGTTGCTTATCAGCAGCATAGGTGTTGCCATGTGATCTTTCCTGGATTAGTCTGTTGTTTGTTCTTGATGTTGTGCAGGCAGTTAGCATGGTGTGAAAGGGCAGCTGGCTCTTCCTGATCCTTTCCACACATGGATTTGCTCATGTTTGTTGTTTTTTTTTGTTGTTAAAACTCATGTTAAACTACATGCAATAAATAAATAAATTGGAGATATAGATTGTAGGCAGCTCAAGTATTAGCTGTGCTTTTATCTTTTTTTGTTGTTCTGTGGTTTCTTCTGTCACAACACAGTCATTGAAAGGGTTGTAAAGTAGTGGCTGCAGTAGTGTAGAAATGATCTCCTTGGCTGGTGGTCATTCCTGAATAACCGAATTGCCATCATGAAGAAGCTGCTTAGATGGAACTGGCAGAGCAGATCCAGCTCAAGTTTCAGCAGACCAGGCAATGTGTTTGCCATCACATTGGCATGTTCCTTTAGAAATCCCTGATATAGTTGACTATGCTTTTTCTTTTTTTGGCAGATAAAAATTTTGATGATGAAGACTCTGTGGATGGGAACAGACCTTCCTCAGCTAACTCCTCTACGTCTTCAAAGGCCCCTGCAAACTCACGTAGAGTTGGAATGGGGACTACTCGCAGACTTGGGTCTGCAGCTCTGGGATCCAAGTCCTCAAGTAAGCTGATTACATGGAATATTTGTGGTGTTTGTGTTTGAGCTTATTTCCAGAATTTTCAGGCTATATCATTTTCCCTGTACCCAGAAGCAGTTGTTTCCCATGTGAGATTGTTACAGGTATGTTTGCCTGAATGGGAGTGAGTCTGTACAATGTGCGTGAGTCTGTAAACACTGCTCACATCCCTCTAGCATACACTGCCTTTGTGTAAGGTTGGAACTGTGTCATTGTGCAGTGAGAGCTTTGGGTGAAACGTGTCAGTGATGCATAATTTGAATTTTTGTTTTTATGGCTGAGACTCTTCAGCTGGACTGATGCAGGCTGCTTACAGCTACGTGATAAAACTTCAGGCTTAAAACATGTCGACTTTCTTTTGAGTCCTTCAGGCATTGTGAGTTGTGAAGGTGAAAGAGGAGAAAGGAATGATAATTTGGAATGTGATCAATTCTAAATGTCATTACAAAAGATCTAGAGAAATGGAGGAAGTTGTCTTTCATGGTTTCTAATGTGATTAATATTCCAGAGACTGTTTATCTTCCTTATCGTTTGTCTGCTTGTGCAGGTGTCAGAAGATCTGCACCTTCATCTATTATAGATAGGATTAAATCCTTTAAAATAAAATCTCCCATGTAATGAAAGTAAATATTCCCTTTCATCTTTCAGACAATGCCCCTAACTGTTGAGTGACTAGTATAATGACTTCCCTAGTATGCCCTCTGTGCCTTGGAGCTGAAGGATGCTACAAACGTGCAGTTCATGCCTGGCACTGAGTTTTCCTGCCTCTATTTTTATTACATTTGCAGCACTCTGAGGTTGTGTGTGGATAGTGAACTTTCTCCTGATTAGGTGCCTTGATAGATAGGATAGATAGCTGGTGGTTTCTTAATCGATTCTCTTGTTGATAAGAAGATTGAAAAGACTTTTTTGTTGTTTGTCAGCAGGCAAAGAGGGAGCAGGTGCTGTGGATGAAGAAGATTTCATTAAGGCATTTGAAGATGTCCCAACAGTTCAAGTAAGTAGCGTTATAAACTAAAGTACAAAACAAAGAACAGCAAAAGATAGGTGTAGAATCTAATTCTTATCACTGATAAATTGCACTCTGCTTGAATGCTGGTGAGTCTCCCTTAAGGGAAAGGTAGGTTGAAGGTTGTAGGGATTGAACTTTAAAATGGTGGTAGATGCCATTAGACTGGTGTATAGTGCTCAGAAGTGGAGGGAAGGAAGGCAGAGGATCTGTGATAGAGGTATCATAGGAGAAGATACTGGAGCTGGCATTGGATGGGGCCTGTTGAACGATGCTGTGTGATCAAACAAAACGTCAAGTCTCCAGAAGTCTCTGTTTCATTTGTGTTATGTGGAAACTGAAAGCAATAAAGGTGATCTGTGCCTCCAGGATCTCTGCTGTTTTGAGTGCTATGATGGAATAGTGCATGTTTGCTGGCAGTCTTAGTCAGGTAGCTGATATGTGTGGTGCATCACTTCTCCTTCAGAGTTTACCTGCTGGGGCAAGAAGACCACACAGGTGTGCTCATGATTTTTACTAGCTCAGTCTTGAACCTAACCTGGGCTGAAGTGTAGGATGGTGACTTAGTTAGCCTTACTCTTTTAATACACTTGCGTATTTTTAGTGAATCTGCTTTCAAACTGACTGACTTCATTCTTTTGATAGCTTTCTTCTGTGCTCCAATGCAGGGTTACTATTCAATTGTATAAACGTTTTTAGCACCTGCGAGTTTTAATAACCAAGCTTTTAAGGTCTCACTTCTATGTGGGAATGAGTTTTCCCTGGGTATGCACAGTGACTGTTGACTAGCTCCATAAAGCATATCCAGTTCTCTCTTCCGTAAAGCAGGAATTTTAGCATTTTACTGACTGTTTTATTGTAAATGCCAGTTAATATATTTGACTTTAACTTTTATCATTAACTTTTTTGCTGAATACAGTACAGTAATACTGCTTAAAATTCTGAAACTATAGTAAAATAGTAGCTGACAATCCTTTAGTTATTCTCTGATCATGTTATAATTTTTGAAGGAGATCTCTGTAAATTCTTTGCATTATGCAAATCCCATGTTATGATTCTACTTTGTATTTAAATTTACAGATTTATTCTAGCCGGGATCTTGAAGAATCCATAAACAAAATAAGAGAGATACTATCTGATGATAAACATGACTGGGAACAGAGAGTATCTGCTGTAAGTAGTTAACTTTGTCATGAACTCAATTAATATAAGGTTTTCCTTCACTGAGCTTATCCTATGAAAGAATTTGCTGAGAGAATCTCAGAGTAAGGCTGAAGTGCAGTTTAAGTGGTGAACATTTGTTGTATTTCCCCGTGCTTAGGGGAAGCATTTCCTTATGAGACTGAGTTTAAACCATGTCTGTGGAGGGAGATACTATTTTTTATATAAAGGCATCTGGTAAGCCAACATCAGGTTGAAATGGAAGTCATGCAGGGAATCTAGATGTAAAGCTAGAAGTTTGCTAGCTAGCAGATGCTGAAATGCTGAGATGGAAATATCAAAAATGATATCCAGAATCTCTTAAAACACCTCCTGTTGAGGCAGAAAGTCATTTTGCCTGTAGAGAGCTCACTTATAGTTTTGCAAAAAGGAAATAAAAGCAAACAATTCAGAAAATTTAAACACTGGAATTTTAAATAAATGGTTATAAATGTAGGAAATGCATTAGTGGAAAAGTGGGCGTTGTGTGCATACCAAGGTTGTCCTGTTTTCTGAGATGAGCAGTATTTGCATAATACAAATAGATGCATACACTTTTCTATACAGTAGACTTTGATCACTGGTACAGCAGCTATGACATGTCTGTCAAGTCATCTATTACAGGAAAGCATCAGCTTGTGCTGATTCAGCTTGCTTCATTTTTCTTTGCTGTAGTGAGAGTAGTAAGCTTAAATAGAGGGACTGTACTCATGAGGTCACATGGAGATATCCAAAATAAAGTCTTTATGAAGAAATTGCGGTCCCAGTATCACTAGAAAATATGCTATTTTAGAAAGGTCAGGGTTGCACTTCTAGTAGACGCGTATAATTATTTACTTTAACAAAGCAAACGAACAGATTCTAGATATAAGTCAGTACAACTCAGATCTGAGTGTAAGTCAAGCTTTTCAAGTTAATGCATCTTTCAAAGATGCTAGCTAGCTATGTGAGGTTCTATGCTTTTAGAAACTATTGTAAGTAGATGGATATTAAGAGGAATGAAAACGAACCTTTGACAACTTTTGGCTTAAGAAGTAAAGTTTGGGTCATTAACAGTACAGTTGTAGAAGCCATATGTAATACTTGTGGATTGCTGTAACAGTTAGCTACCATGTTTATATTACTTTATATTCTTAGTATGTTAACCTGTGAGTTGTATGTAAGGTCTGAAATAAAATTGCTTGGTATATTTTAAGAAGCGTGTTGTACAGAGGCCCTGGGAGCAACGTATGAGCTCTGAACCTAACAGTCCTTCTGTACATTGCTCATTAACAGTCACTGCTTTGTTTTGTCATACCAACAGTTGAAAAAGATCCGCTCCTTACTGTTGGCTGGAGCTGCAGAATATGATAACTTCTTCCAACACTTGCGACTCCTGGATGGAGCATTTAAATTGTCTGCTAAAGACCTGCGATCTCAGGTAGTGCGGGAGGCTTGTATCACGTTGGGGTAAGTTCACTTTCCAAACATGCTTGAAATGGGTTGTAGGAACGTGGAGCAGATGATGGTTAGAAGACACACATGAATTAACTAATAGATTGAAATTTTGCTACGGCTATTTAAAACCATGTTCATGTAGGCTGCTAACTGTAGTTGAACAAACACATATTGTTGAGTTTTAAACGTTAATGATTGAAAGATGCAAAAATGTGTTTTGTTCTACTTCAGACTGAGCTATATTTTTGATTTTTTTATTCTTAGTGAAATGATTTAAGAAAAGAGCCTGTAGTGTTTCTAACAGTATTTTTTTGTGGAAATTCATGCATATGAATGCAAAACTGATCACTTTCAGAGAAACTAACAAGTCTGGAGAAATATTTCTATTATTACTGTCACACTTGTTTGTTAGTAAGTATTTCTCACGGTTCAGTTCAACAAAGATGAACTTGAAATGAAAGGAACTATTTCAAAAACAAATTGCTCTGTCCTTTAGAGTTGGAGAGGAGGTGACAGTTGTGAAGAGTCTGATATTACATGTGTTGATGTTATGTTCTGTAGAAGTCTGATTTGCTTAATCCTCAGCACACTTAACAGTATGACTTCACTGTGTTTTACAGACATTTATCATCAGTTCTGGGAAACAAGTTTGATCATGGGGCAGAAGCCATTATGCCAACAATCTTTAATCTAATTCCAAATAGTGCCAAAGTCATGGCCACTTCTGGTGTTGTAGCAGTTAGATTAATCATTCGAGTAAGTATCAGTCAAAAGAGAAAAACGTTTTATTGTTTCCAAATGCCGTGATGTTTCTGAGAAAATATGGATGTTGCTGCCATGAAAATTTGATTAAATGTCAAATCTACTCTTCTGATTGTGCTGGGCTTGTCTGTCTCCAGCTGTAATAAAGCCTTGTATAGGTAGATGATGATAGGTAAGCCATTCTTAAATAGTAGGAAAAAGTGGCAGAAGTGATAGGAAAAATGTTTCTTTTCAGAGTAAGGTATTTCTATCCCTCAGAGATGAGCAAATTTTTTTAATTGGCTTTAAATCTTGACTTGCAATACAGACTTAGTATGCTATAAATCACCCCAGGCATAGCATATGTTGCCTAAAACTGTGAGGTTGCAGAGGTGGCTTCTGCTAGGGAAGCTGCAGATAGCCTGACAACTCTTAAGCTGTAACCACTGACTGTTGAGATCTTCTTGAAATGACTTCAGCTCTTTGGCAGAAAAAAAATAAAATCTGTTAAAGGTATTTTTACTGTTTTGTATTTAAGAATCTGTCTATATTCAGTAGTGTTTCCTTATTTAGCAATTCTATTTTTAAGACTTGGAAAAAAAAGCATACAGAGCTCAGGTTGCTATTGCAAATTACTTTTCATTGCACAGAACTATGAAGTTTTCTTCCTGTTTTTGTTCTTTGTTTTGTTCTAGCATACACACATCCCTCGACTAATACCCATCATAACCAGTAATTGTACCTCCAAGTCTGTTGCGGTTAGAAGGTGAGCATTTAGTTTGAAGTTCTGCTGTTCTTTACCAGTAAATAGAATCGTGTATACTTTTGATAAAAATCATATTTGTTTTTATTTGTGGAAAGAGCTGTTGTAGACATTGCTCCAGAGCAATCATCTTACTCTCCCCCATTTGCTGGGAACAAATTCAGAATCAGCTATTATATAGAAGATGCAGCATTGCTGAGAAGAAAAGGCAGTTTATCTGAAAGAAACCTTTCTTTGATCTCTGTGCTTACCTACAATGTCATATTAGCTTTTTAAATTATTTTTTTTCTCAGATGTGCTTTTCTTCCCCACTACTAATCTTTGCAGTGGTGTGTTTTCTTTGAGCCAGTCAGCAGAAATGCTGCTCTGTGGTATTGCTGGGCAATACATGCTCCCTCTACATTTAAAATCGAGGTGTGGTTTGTTCTGTCAGCCTCGCTGGGAGACTGTTGCCTGTGCCATACAGATTGATTTTTTTTTTTCTCTAGTTAAATGAAAAGAAGGTCTTTGTAGTTGATGAATTTTGTGACAAACCTTGAAAAAAATCACATCACACAAATGCCTTCCTTTCTGTAAATGATGAAGAATGAAGCTGAAAAGAAGCAAGATGCGAAGTTTCCTTGTGAAGTTTGAACTCTTGTGAGTGCAGGGTGGTTCTAATTTGTATCTTTGCCGGTATCTAAGGGTGCCTTTTGGTTTGTTTTACATCTCTCTATTGAGACTCTCTAGAGAGATTAATTCAGTTACTTTGCAGTTTTTATTGACAGTATTTGTAGAGTTCTTGATGTTTCTATTGTGGCTCTTCCTGAATTCTAATATCCTGAGAACCATCATAACAAAAGGTGACTACTGTGCAGAGGCAGGTATGATGAAGTCAGTGTGCCTCTTTGAGAACTCAACATTTCTATTTTTCTTCTCAGGCGCTGTTTTGAATTTTTAGACCTGCTGCTGCAAGAATGGCAAACCCACTCTCTAGAAAGGTAAGCTCTGAAAACAAAGAATTTTTGAAAACAAAGAAGTTGGTTAATTCTAGCCTATTAATGTCTGCTAGGTGAGGTCTGTAGAAAGGATAGTCTTAGAGGTGAGATTCACATAGTTCTAGTGAAGATATTTTTGTGGCAAGAAGAGCATCTATGTGTGTGCATGTTTACAGTTCATCCATGTAGTTCTGGCAGCCAAGTTCAGCAAGTCTGTTTCTTATGCCAGCCCTAGAAAACCTGTCTGAACAAATCTCTGAACTTGATAGATCTTCTTTCCTTTTGCACCTTAAAGTGAGAAGATGAGGTGATGGCTGCTGCACATCTAACAGGAGCATCCGAGGCTTGTAAAGTAGTTCAAACTAATGAACAGTAGAAGAAATTGTGGGATACCTATTGGGACCCAATTTCCATAGCTTTGGGCTGACCAAGACTTTGTAAGGGTTGAGAAAAGTATTTTCAGACCCAGGCAGTTTCAACTACCTGACTAAAGATGGACCATTGAAGACTGCTGCTTGCCTTTTTCTACTCAGCAGTGTGAATGAAATTAAACTGACTTAGAAGAGCAGGAGCTACAAAATGTTTGGTGTGGAAATGGGAAGAACTCTGTTCAGGGACACTAAGGAAAACCAAATTAGTTGTTTGTAAAGGTAGTGCGCTGTTCTGGATTGCTGGACTGTGTATCTTTATTTTTTCAGACACATATCAGTGTTAGCTGAAACAATAAAGAAGGGAATTCATGATGCAGACTCTGAAGCCAGGATAGAAGCAAGAAAGTAAGTAGAAGCTATTGTTGCCTTTTCTTCTTCCCTTTCTTTATGTTGTGAGTTAAGGTATTACATGTTGGAGACTCTGAAAGACAAGTAATGTTCTGGCAACTGAGGCTAGCACTTCTTCCCTTTCAAAGGGAATCGGTAGTAGAAGATGTCATATGAAGTGATTGTGAGAAAGCTATTCTGTTGTCTTTTCTCTTCTTTTTACCTACATGCAATACTGTGGTATTTATTATTCTTAAAATAAAAGTCATTATGGTGGTATGCTGCTAAATATTACTTAAGTAGAGGAATTATTTTTGACAGTGAAACAATATCTTTGCATATATCTACAGAAAATGTAATTAGTTTTTTTCTGTTGAAGATCCCTTGCATTTTTCATAATGTCTGTATTTAGGATAGTGTACTTTTATACTGGGATCATGATCTTCTGTTCAGAAGACAATTGGGACATCTTCAGAAAGAAGATGCTGTTAAATAAGAAATCACTAAACAATATATTTTGTTAATCTAAATGCTATATTACAAGCAGAGGTGTTTTACAGTAAGACTGTTTAAATCCTTTTGAAAGGGAAAGTTTGCATCACTGGAAAAATGCAGCATCCACTGAGGTTTCACAGCTGGTGACTGGTTAAGCTGAAAAGGCAGCAAGGAAAATGGAATAAAACTTTAGAAAACAAACTTAATTCTCTTTTCCCATGTTTCTTAATTAAGCATTACTGTGTGTAAGACAGAAATTTGTTTCCTTTTACTGCTGTGAGAATGCATGTGACTTCTCTGAGAACTGACTGTCTAATACAAACAATTCTTGATTCATTTGAGCTAATGGTCTTGCTCTTAAACTGCCCCTTAGTTGCCCCTTGAAAAGTGCTGAGAGACTTCATCTCCTTTGTGATGAGAGTGAATGGTGTTTTAGCATCAGTCAGGAGATGAAGACCAGAGAGGAATTCCTACTTCTTTAAATGCTCTTTTACTTTCAGCATGGTACTGATTGGAAGTGTATTGAAGCATCTTATTCTTTAGTTTTCCCAAGAGATAGTCAGCAGCCTTAGCTCTACAAAAGATTTCTCTCTGCGGCAATGTATGAGAGCTATTTGTTAAACTTGAGGAAGAAAACACCTGCTGGTGATTTCCTGAATCAAGCCATGCATGTGTATTCTGCCTTTGGCTTGTTTTTGAACTATCTGTTGATTAGCTAGTCCTAAGCAAATGTCATTCTGGTTATGGTTCTAGTCTGGGTCTGTCTCTTATATGTGGTAGACAGCTGGAGGGATATGAGAAATTCCTTTGTGACAAAGCCTTTTTGGTAACTTATGTTTGTACAGAGCCCCAGGTGGTATGTTCCCCTTTTGTTATTTTTGTTTGCTTCGTCTTTTGTGGGGCTGTCATTCTTGCTTGTTACTCAGTGGTATGTCTTAAGTGCATGGGGGCTGTAGATGATTGAAATGTCTGGGCTAAGCAGCCCACTAATGCAATTAGGGAAAAAGGCTCTGACTGTACCTGTGCTTCACTGACCTTTAAAATGTGACAAGGAAATATTAACAGCATCGTGCCTTGTTCCCAGGTGTTACTGGGGTTTCCACAGTCACTTCAGCAGAGAGGCAGACCATTTGTACCACACCTTGGAGTCCTCCTACCAGAAGGCCCTGCAGTCGCATTTGAAGAACTCTGACAGCATTGTGTCCTTGCCACAGTCAGATCGTTCCTCCTCCAGCTCCCAGGAGAGTCTCAAGTGAGTCACTGGGCATCATTACTTCTCTTGGTTTAAGCAACTGCAGAGATAATGTGATTGCTTCCTCAAATTCACAGGAGCTGCTTTGGGTACTCCATGCTTTGCTTGTCTCATCTGGTTATCGGTGGCCTCAACACTTCATTATACTAAAATCTAGCTAACATTATATTAAAATAAAATGCATTATTCTGATAAATTCTTGCTTCTCTTAAAGAGATGATCAACTTAGGCTGCAAACATCTGCAACTGAAGATACCTGAAAAATACCCATAATGTTGATACAACCCTTTAAACCTACATACTGTTGTTAATGATCACTTCTCAATTAACATACATAAGTCTTTTTTAAGTGCTTTTTCATAATTTCATAATGATGCTGTATTTATATTTTTAAAAAGTAAGCTTAGTTAGTCTATTCCTGAATATAAATAACTTCCTGTTAACTCAGTTATGTACTGAGGGAACAGAGAAGCACTGTTACTGCTGACTGTGATATATCAGTTTTGTTTTAATAAATGCTTATATTAACTTCCAGCCGTCCACTGTCTGCCAAAAGAAGTCCTACTGGAAGTACTACATCAAGAGGTGAGAATAGGAGCTGAAAATGCAGTGAGATGTTGCTGAGGAATTGTGATGAAGTAGAATGAGTATTTTGATACTGCAGTGTGCAAAGGACAACTTTTCTGTTTACTACTCCTTAAAAATGGCACCTTATTATGTAATCTTTAATCAGCTCTGGGTTGTGCACCCATTTTTGTACATCAGCATCTGATGCACTGGTGCCTTTAAAAGCTGATATTTTGTTACTGCTTGCACCTGAAGGCAGGCTAAAGTGCTTTAAAAATTGTAGCTAAGGTAAGTTTAGGGGGTGAAATAGCTGGAATTAACTCCTACTGATGCCAGTACATACAGCTAGGTGGTCTACTGGTGCGTTCACTGTTACGCATTTCTCTCACTTGTTTTTTATGGTTTCAGCACTTATTGGAGGCACTGTCTGCACAGAATTCCTCCAGTGCTAAATTCCATCTTCTGATTAATCTATTTTTACCAGTAGAATATTTGGGTGTGACCAAGAGTTGCTGATTTTGCTTTATAAGTGCAGCAGCAAAGGAATACATAAGGAAAAAATGCTTCCTTATTCAATAGGCGTGTTTGTTTTCTTCATTCATGTACCCAACCCAAGCCTGTATGCTTCTGTACTTTCCTGTTGACAAGTACAGGCAGCCTTCCTATCATAAGCAAATGCATATGGTAGCCTAAGTAGTACATCTGAATACAGAGCATAACAGAGACACCTTCTACCCCTATCAGTATACTTTGCTGATACCTTGAATACAAGGAGAATTCTGTGTGGCGCCTGCTTTATTGTGCCCACAAATGCATGCATGCTTGCAGCTTAATAGACAAATTTTTTGCTTCAGAGGGTAAACAACATGGAGTGGTGGGAACAGTGATCATCATGAGAAAATGCTTTGAGAAGGAAGGTAGGAAGACTTCCAGCAATGTATAAAACCTGGGTTGAAGGATCTGTGTGGGCTTTTTTTAGATGGCAGCTCACAAGCTGGTGATGGGTACTCTACCTGAGTTTTGCTGTATTGCTGGCCTGGTATTCTTTTCTTGGCATTTAGGTTTAGTGTCCGATGAAGTTCTTGAAATATCTTTTCAGTCACTGTGGGGAAACCCACATAACCCTGATAAGACATTCTTTAAGTATTTCAGTGCAATTAGTGAGCGTTAAAAATAGTACGTTAAACTGCTTGCTGTGCTCTTCGAAGCACACAGCTCAAAAAATTAATCTTCTTTATTCTGGGTCTCCCACTCCCATCTGCAGCATCTACAGTAAGTACAAAATCTGTGTCAACACCAGGATCTCTGCAGCGATCCCGCAGTGACGTTGATGTGAATGCAGCAGCTAGTGCCAAGTCAAAAGTGACATCTTCTGGAGCATCCACCCCCTTCAGTTCTGCTGCAGCCCTGCCCCCAGGCTCATATGCATCACTAGGTAAATCTTTATGTTCTACTGTCGCAGTCAGCTTTCTTTACTCTCAGGAAGTGCCTAGATAACTTGATTTGAATGTCAAACTCTGTAACTGGAAGAACATTTCTCTGAGGTGCCTAACAGTTCTTGGGCATAAATGTGTGATCTCTTGCTTTTTGGAATTAAGCAAAAAATTTGCAAAGGAACTGACTTGGAACAACCTTCCATTTTTGTGAATTGTTTTGATAGTCTCAGCCTTCTTTCTGGGGAAAAGTAGATCATATTCTGGTTCCATGATGCTGTTGAGGAAAATGCTTAGTGCTCTATTACTTCTGACATTCCTTTTGTCTCTCTCCCTTCTCTTCCTCTTCCTTCCTTCCTCTTTCCTTGACACTTGTTTTCCATGAATTGTTCTGTGCTTTGAGGAGTACATCTTTGAGTTTGATTATTTTGTAAAAGATACAGAAGCAAAGAAAAGCAGGCCTTCTCATTTCACCACACAATTGGGATGTAAGATACTGCTGACTCTTCTTGGATTATAGCCACACTGTGCTATTTTGTCCAAGCATTGTGTATCACTGTCAGGTATCCACCAGTGTTTCTTACAGCAAAGTTTGCATTTGATCTTTCTCTCCTGGACATGATGCTGCTAATTTGCTGAAGTAGGAAGTGCAAGGCAGTGACCAGCACCAAATAATTCCACATTCTGCAGATTGCATAGTAATCTAATTCCTGAGGTTTTTATTGATTTTTACCTTTACAAGAGGGAGAAAAATTGGATGCCTAGTGAGTGTCAAAGTCAGTGGTCTTGATTTGAGCCGTGCTGATAGCCTTCATTCCTTCCTTGAGTCAGCTGAAATGTAGTTTTTCCTTAGTGTTGAGCATTTGATCTTATTTCAGATTAAATAAGGATGCTTTTTATAGATTCCCTTTGTAGATATATTTCTTCTGTATCTGAAGTCCTTTATAGCGTCTTTAATGTACTGGTTGTATTTGCTTCAGAAGTTCATGTTTTATTCTGATTTATATCGCTTGTTCATATTTAGTTCAAGATTTACATGCACTGCAGTGAGCACTTAATACAGATCCGTGGAGTTGATTGCTGAAGAGTGTGCTTTCAGAACTTAAGGACACAGCCACCCTTTAGATGCACGGTGCACTGGCTTCAGTGGCAAATATGCTTTTGCACTGTCTTATGTCACAAAGGCAAACAGAAAGTGGGGAAGAAAATCTAAAAGCTGGTTTTGTCCTTGAAGCCTGGAAACTGAGTATAGTGTTACTGTTGTTCTTAAGATACTAAAGGAGAAAACCAGGAAATGTACTGTTTCTTCAAGTTATGCAGGCATGGCTACTCCTAAAGGAGTCTGTCTGTTTCCTTTTGAGCTAGCAGGGACATCTGCTATCTTTGCATCTCAATGAGAGAAATGGTGAGGCAAACAAAGAAAATGGGGTTTGACAAACATTAGATGTATGTGGAAAGAAAAACTTGTAACCTTGTTCTACGGATTCATCAAGCTTTGATTTATTGCTCAAACTTCTTGCATTTGTTTGTGTTAATTTGTTTTACATACTTCTCTAGCTAATCTATAGTGCCCATTTCTGTTGATATTAATAATTCTTCCCTATTAATCCTTGCCTTATTTTTTTTTAATTTGCTTAAAGATGGTACTACCACTAAAACTGAGGGTAAGCAGTCTCTCTGTGTAACTGAGATGTGTCTACAGTCGTACCACTCTACCTGGTCTGTTCTCAAAGTGTTACTGATTCTCATCCATGTTCACTGGTGACCTGCATGAAGTGTTGCATGGTTGTCCTGCTCATTTTGATGCCATGGGGTGTTCTTCATTTTCTCTTCAAGCTGCTCCCTGCTAATGGCACTATTCTGGTTTCATGACTGATTTCTAATCACAGAATTGCATGTGTGTCTTCCTATTTCCAGCAGCGCTTTTGGTTGACGGTGACCTGAGCACAGATTACAAAAGCAGGGCTTGTGTTTTCTTACTCTATGTTGTGTAAAGGTTTGCTGTGTTTTTCCATCCAAAGCTCAGGTCACAACTGCCAAATGCTTTCAGGAAGAGACTGGGCAGCAGGAGAATTGAATGAGATGATCACATGGCAGAAAAATGAGGACAGTAAACAACGATCTCTAGGGAAGGAGTATTTAGTCAACCTCTTTAAACCTGAGCTCTCTCTCTTTATTGTTAACTGAGATGGCTTACATCTAAAGCAGTTGGAGGAAAGTTTTTTCTTTCAAGAACACTGAGCCTGCTAGTTTGGGAAGGCCTGCAGTCTGGTTGGCTATCTGGCTTTTTGTCAAAGCTTATTTTCTTCTTCTCACGCAAAACAAAATCACTGGGAAATCTTTTTTTTTTTTTTTTTTGAGGCAGACAGGGATTGAAAACAAGGCCTTCTACACATAATGAAGACACTTCCTCCCAGCCCAACCAATTTTTTCCTGTTAAAGTCTCTTTTCAAGGGATCTATTACTGTTTGACGGGACTGTGTTTAGTATCCTTGATGAGTGCTTGTATTTGGATGTGGTGTTCTGAGAAGTGCCGCTGTGCTGTTATCACATTTTCTTTCCTTCCTATTACTGATGCATCGATTTAATATTTAGTGGGAGAAGTGTCTACCATCTTTAGAACTGGCTCTTAAACTTATGGTTGGAAGGTTAACTGGTTCAGAATCATGAACAGCTGTTTACCCTTCATGATCTCTCACTGATCAGGAATATGAAGTTGGCCTAAACGCCTGTATTGAAGTCACTGTCAGATTAAATGAAAGTTCCAAGCTGTTTTAATCCTTAGCTTTTTTTAAATTTGCTCATCCTTCTTTTTCATTTCTTTTCTTCTCCATAGTTTTCAAAATTCTCTTTTTTTTCCCCTAATGTAGAAACATTGAATGTTTTATGTAAATTTACGAAATAGCCTATGTAATGTACAGATCCTCTCCTGGACAGTAATGGTGTTTGTGGAGGTCTGTTCCAGGAGCTGTCCTCCAGTATGCCCTCGCTTTTAGTTTATTAAATGCTCTATTGTCATTATGCAAAATACTTCTTTAGGGCTGTTTTCCTCCAATTTGACTACACTGGATGCAGATGTGGTTTGGTAAAAAAAAAAAATAATAATAATAATAATAATAAAAAATCTGTAATAGAAACCAGCCAGTCACTTGCTGGAGGGGAAGTTTGGGAGGATGAACTTTCAAAAATTGCTTTTTGTTGCCTTTGTGTTAAATACAAGATCTCATCTCTTGCTGTAGGATTCTTTTTCGGTGAGGGGAGCAGGGATCATGAAGGATTGTAGCATTGTGGCACACCACAGCCAGAGCCCTCGAAGGATGAGTTTAAGCAGTGGTGGAAACTCATTGTCATCTTTGTTTCTCTTTGTCACAGCAAAAAACAGCCTTCAGTGGCAATTTGTTGCCTCCTTCAGATGAGAGTGGGGAGAGGGTTTTTTTGCCAACTGTGATCTTGCAGAGTGTAGAAAATTAGCAGATCCAAGTGTGACATTTATCTGGAAATAGCTGTGTGGGCAGGAGATGAACTTTGAACAGAAAGCAAAAGTTCCTTCTGCATGTATGCCTCTGTTTTGTTGCAGGTTAGTAGTATCTACTACAAGAGCAAATCTTTTTCTTTTCCTCTGTGTGTGTGTGCATGTGCACATCATTCAGCATTGCGTTTAATCTGCAGTCTGGCTCCCATCATGGCTTTTTGTAGCTGCAGTGTAGAATTTTTGCCACCTTGCCCTCAGCTGGGAGCCAGCATTGTGCAAACTTGGCAGTTCCCATCTACTCTGCCCTCAGTTCTCCTCAGTGTTTTGGTTTTGAGCCAGACATCTTTAAAGAGGAGCAAGATAAAAGTGGCTTGTACCATGGCAAGCTGAGAGGAGAGTATTGGTTCTTTGGTTTTAAGTAGTGTCACCTCAGCTAGCAAATGCTGTGAAAGTGCTCTTCTGTGTGAAAAGCTATCATGAATCTATATACAACTTTAATCTGGACAGATCTTCTGCCTGTGTGCTGTGAGTCTGTGTGTTCATGCAGAGGGTATGTTTTGAAAACCCAGACCCTTTGTGTATGTGTGTCTCCACAATGTCGTGAGGAGTTCAGTAGGCAGAAAGCCTTTTCAGTCTTGATGGGGGTTTTACAGCTTGTGCCATCCAAGTAACAGTTGTGCTCTAAATCCTTGTTGTTGTATATGACTAAAGAGAAACTTCAGAGAAGTTTCTGCTTGTTTTATCATGGAAGTTTTCAAGTCTGTCCCCAAACTGACAAGTTTATAACAAACAATTGGCAGTTTCCAGACTTGGTGGCACAATTCCTAATAATATTTATTATATTCTAGAAAGATTTTATCATTGTTCTCAAATAATTTAGACTTAAAAAAAATCGAGCATCTTGAGCCTTAACCAAGGCTTTGGATAACAGGTTTCAAGAAATGACTATTCTTGTTTTCTTCTCTGCTTTAAAGCTCTTCATTGTCCTCAGCAACAAGGTTTAACTCGATGATATGACTGAACATGGTAGCTTAAGCTGAAATGCTCAGGTAGCAGGTTTCTCTCTTCTCTTGGTTGATCCCTTTGCAAGTGCTGGCATGAGTTACCTGCGCATACTGCTGTAGAGCAGCGCAGTGCAGCTTTTGCACTGTCAGAAGATCTTATACAAAACCAAGTGATAGTGTATACTGATGGTTTATGGTAGGGGTAGAGTGTGTATCAGGGGAAATTGTGCTGTGAAGTTAGGTCGTGTACTGGTAATGTTGGACTTGTGCTATGTATGGAACCTGTACCTTGCATACAGTAAGAAGGATATATTTTTACAGGTTTACATACAAATCAAATAACTGTGTGTATTCTTAACAAATGTATCACCACAAAATCCACCACACGGGGATCCCAGGGGCTCTTTCAGGATTTTTTTCTTCTTCCAAGTTGGGAAAAAACCCAAGGAATGCATGAACTGATCCATGATGATACCCTTACCATTCCAGTGCTTCTGCTTATAATTTGTGTGATTGTAAGCATCATTATTCACAGCACAGATCTGATTAAACTTAGTTGTGGGTCTGTTATATGCCATCTGTGATTTCTGGAGTGTTAGAAAAGCAGTTTCTTTACAGGCTGAATCTCACGAAGCCTGTGTTTGTTCTGAGTCATGGGGTGGTGATGCAGTAGTATCCACCCAGAGGAGTTCAGAATAGTGCTGCTGAGTGAAGCTGCTCCTAATCACAGAAAGTTACTTTACTTGCTCCTTTGTTGTTGTCTTTTTTTAAGACCCCTCCTAGATTTAGGCATCTGTTAGACATCTCAAAGTTGATTCTGATCCATTAATTGTTGTAAAAATGGCAGTAACTTAAAAACAAACAACAACAACAAAAAAACCAAACAAACAAAAAAGGCCAACAAACAAAAAGCCTACAAATGATTTCTTAACAGAAAACATATATATGGAGTCTTCCAAAATACTTTCTGTACCAGCAGTGTCACATTTGCATGTCAAACTTAGATTAAAGACTTTTCTAAATGGCAGTACTTTAATGCTTTTTGGAAACTAGTTGGGGCAGACTTTATCTGTTCACTTGCTGTGCTGTTGCTCTCAGATTAAAGTAATTCTTTTAAGAAGAGCAGAAAAATAACAGCTATAAAATATGAATTGCTGCATCTGCAGTTTGAGCTGGATATGGAAACAAACCTCTTTGAAAGCAAAGAAGTGTTCAAGAGTTGGATTTGTTTGCATTAAACAACAAGAATAAAATGTCTGCCTAACTTCTACTATGTTATTTCTGGTCTTGAAATGTTTTGTCAATGGTAGAATGATAGGGATTAAATAACACAGTCCTATGTACAAATGTAGATATGAATGCAGACTCTTGTTTGCAGATGGAATGCTTAAGGAAATGTAATAGAGACATTTGTGTTGTGTAAATGAACACTTTAACACGTATTTTACTTGGAAAAATTAACTTTAAAACCTTGATTTTTCCACTCAGGCAGTTACTGATTCATCTTGCCTTATTATAAAAGCAAAGTAGGTTTTGGATATTGTTAGACTAAGTTAAGGACTGTGCGTGTGTGTGTTAGGTCAGTGTGTGGAGATCAGTTAACTTGTGAAATACCCCAGGTCCCTCTCCATCTTTGTCTCATATGGATTTGTGTAAATTAATGAAACTTTATAACTTCTCAAGAGGACTTTTTATCCCAGTCTTCTCCCTGACACATTCTGGGCCACATCAGAGTTCAAGCCAAAATCTACTAGCTAATAACAAAGCAGCATCTTGCTCATGAGCGTTCTTTCAGAAACAGATGAACTTGGTAGGAGTCTATCTGCTGACCTTTAGGGGTTTCAAAATCAGTCTGAGTACTTTCTAATCTTGCTAGTATTTGCATGTTAATTTAGTTTGAGTCTTTGGTTCAGTTTTTTTTGTTGAAGTCCAAAAAATTCACATCAGAAGCAGTCATTTACTGTATTTTGTCCCAATCTTGTTCTTAGTTACTACTTGATGAAGCAAAAAAAACAAACAAAAAAAAAACCTCCCACCCTGATCTTGTAGATGCAGGAAGAACAGGTAATTATGAGAATAGTGGACTACACATAGAAGGAAGCATCAGTCCCTTCTCACCCATCCATGGCCCGTACACATCAGTGTGCTTGCCAGTGCTGCCTGTTACTGGGCCTTGAATTCCAATTTGTGTTACAGGCTTTCTGCTGGCATTGTGGAAGGATGGATGGTCAGTTCCATTAGTGGTTCCTTAAACTGCTCGAGTTTAACTTCTTGTTTGCTTTGTACTCCAGTTTGTTTGTGTCTTTTCAGTTTTGTGCCACTCATTTTTTCTTTCACATTTATAAATAATGATTTGAATATAGTTTTCTTTCTCGGCGTGCTTCATCTTTGCTCAGTCCATCTTAGCTGGTTTTAGAATAGCTCTGTAAGCCTGCCAATTTGATTTTAAAATGAGGTGTGTTGTGAAGTACAGATACCTTTTTTTTTTCTCCCTGAAAACAAATCTAGGTTTTCTTCTCAAAGTTTTCCTTGTCGCTTTGTCTATCAGAAAGATGCAGCCCGTGCTATGAGTATTTTGAGTGCTCAGGCAGAGGAACAGAGCTCCCATTCTGTTCAGCCTGGGGCTGTGTGCCACTGCCCTGTTCTGCATGTGAATATTCCCTGGTTTTTGGGTGGGAGGTATACATCTCCTCGTTTGTGTTTCTTTGCTTGTGGTGGACACATGGGGTGGGAGATAAATATCTAATTGGTGGACGCAGTTGTCAAGGCTGTTATCTTACCTGTTGTGTTTTTCCTTTTATTATTATGCCTGCAACTTGAAATCATCCTCTGAATGCAGGATAGCTTTGGCATTGGTCCTGAGAAACAGCTTCAGATTTGGCAGAGAACAGAGTTGTTGAAAGTGCTGGTGGAGGCTTTCTTTGTGTTACTCTTAATTATCATTTCTTTCCCATTAGCTAGAGACTGATAATTGAACCTTAGCACTGGAAAGAACAGTCTGAGGGGAACAGCCCTGCTCCAGGAAGGGGGTGAACTGATGACCTCGTAAGCTGTTCTAGCTCAAATTACTGTGGCTTTTTCATGAGGAAAGGACAGAAAAAGGACCAAGAACACTTTGAGACTTTGTATCCATTCTCTGCCTAAATAAAGGGCAGACACATGGAATGTTTTTTCCACTATGCTGATTGTGTTAAAGGGGAATCACTGTTACTAGTGAAGTTACATTGATCTCAGTATAAATACAAGGGATCAGTAAACAGCAGGGAGATGTGAACAAGGCTGAAATAAAAGCGTGGCTGGGCAGCATTGGCAGACACACTGCAGTGCGTGCTGGGTGCAGATGGAGAGCTGGACAGAAAGCACTGAGCTGTGGTCTGCAAGTCCCAGCAATGGAATTTGTGGCTGCAGCTGCTGTGCCTGTCTGCGAAAGGGGGATCGCCTTATCAGAAAGTAATTATGTAGGGACTCGTGTGTAGGTAACCGAATTTTCTTTAGTAAAGTAGGTACTACAGAACAGAAGCACAGGCACTAAAGATCAGTTTTTTTAATTGAGCCAGCTGATAGCTTTACTGAAAGCAAAAAGAGTTTTGGATGTGTAGACCATCACTGTATATCCCCTCGTTCCTCATCGCGTCTCCCTGTAAAATTTGCCTTCTGAGTCCTGGTTAGTTGTGTGCATAGCAACTCTGCGAGCCTAGAACAGATGGTGCTTTAAAAATGGCTGTTGCCTTTGGAAGAAACCTGTTAACAGTTTGTCTTTGCATTCCTCCAGGTCGGATTCGTACAAGGAGGCAGAGCTCTGGCAGTGCCACCAGTGTCACCTCAACACCTGCTGATACCCGAGGCCGCAGCCGGGCTAAAGTGGTTTCCCAGTCCCAGCGTAAGAAGTGTTTTATTTCTGGGGGAGGTGGAAAAAGTTATTAATACATTTCTCTTGAATTGAGGTAGCATCAGCTGAGAATTGGGCTCGTTTTTGGTGAATAACACTTGGACATGTAACATAATGAATCCCCGCTTAGCTAGCTTTCAGTGTATGCTCTTACTGACACAGGGCACCAAATGAGAATATTTAGTTGCTGCTGTTGTGCAGCAGAATTGCAGATTTTTGTGACATGCTAGACTAAACTTGTACTGGGTCCCACTGAGATGCCCTCTGTGTCTGTAGCTAATTGCTGTCCTGGGTTCTTGCCCTGTCAAGCTTCTCCTGCTTATGTTACAATATTTCTGTATGTGTAATGTGAACTGTCTAAAGTTAATGTGTGCTTTAGCATCAGTTTAGAATAGAATGCTACCTATTTTCAGTAGATATGAGGGAGGTGGTTCTGCTCTCTTTATTCACATGATGCATCCATGCTCCCTGACTTCCTTACAAGCTGTGGTTTCTCCCAGAAGCCATGCAAACAGTGTTGCTGCTTATTTGTCATGTGTCTAAAGAGAATTTTGTCACTCAAACTTCAGAAGAAACGGGGGGGGGGAGAGAACCTCTCAAGTTGTTTCACCTTATTCAAAAGCTCTGCTTTGTTCGTGCCATCATTGCTTTGCTCTGTCATGCTGTAGATATGGGTAAGCAGTTTATAGCATTATGATAACCAGGGATAGCTGAAGAGAGAAGCATTATAACTAGGAGGGGGCTGAATGGAAGTCTTTACATTGAAGTCATGAAGGAATTGGAGCTTTGGTATTCTGATCTTAGTTCTTATTGGTTAGAACTTAAAACTTGATTAAAAGCCATAAACTATCTTTAAAATTTTTTTAAATTTTTTTTACTTTAGTGAGAAACGATCAGATGAGACAAGTTTCAGATATATTTAAGGAAGTGTGGAATGGTTCAAAGATTATGGGTTTAATTTTTTTCATGCAATGTACTTATGAGGCTGTAGGATAGTCACATCTGTACCTGTTGTTGGTCTACTTTGTTGAATCTTGATTCCAGCTCAGCACAACTAGATGTGATCTTTAGTCTCCTAATCCAAGCATTACATGAAGTAAATAATGAATTAATGTATAACATGTTCACAGGAACAAACTTGTATGCATTTGTAGCTTTGTTTCAGTTTTACAGCATGGGCTTGGGGTATAATTTAAGCAGAACTTGGGTCTCAGTGTGGGTTGATATTGCTGAGAAGCTGTTAAGCCTTTGGAAATTAAATCACTTGCATTTGCACATTAACTCACTGCATTCTGCAGGGGCTCTTGGAGTGGCACACTTGTGAATATATCTGTCTGTGTATAGCATAAACTGCATGCTGAACGCTGTACTGTCTTCATGTCTTTTAATCCACTTTTTGCCTGTCCTTTGGTCTGCCCTCATAATCAAGGATCCAGATCAGCTAATCCTGCTGGTGGTAAGAAACATTTTCCCTTTCTTGCTTTCTCATGTTATTTCCTTCAGTTTTTTAACTGCTAAGCTTTTAGCTTCCTTCATTCTTTCCTGGTTATCAAGGCTTAAAAAGCATTTTCCTAAAATTAGAAAACCAATATCTATGGCAAATGACCTAGATTTCTCATAGTAATCAAATACGGTAAGCATAAATTATATATTAAAGCTGGCTCATTGATATAGGCATTGCAGAAAAGCTCCTGGAGCTTAAAGTTCATGCACAAAATTCCTCTTATTCCAGTTATTTTGGTGAGACTCCACTGACATCAATGAGTGCAGCAGTGTAACTGGTAGGAGCATTGGCTTTCAGGGTGTGGATGTTGTGAGAGAAACTGGCATCTTTCACAACTGCTTTCACTTCTGGGAGGGGATATTGGAATACATAATTTGATTCAAAATGGCTTTACCCAAGAAGTGAGGGGAGCAAGCAAGTTAAAGTATTACATGCTTTTGTTTTTGTCCATCAGATGAGTAAAACTGCATACCTTCTCTAAATTAAGAACACCCTTTATCTCTTAACTCTTAGTAATCATAACAGAGTTTGGCACTTAAATATTTGAGATGTGTAGATACTTTTTAGAAAGCAAGCAACTTGAATATTTGTACAAAATGTGAATTTGCCAGAGAATATTTTTGCAACCTTTTTTAGATGTTATTTTCCTTCCTATTCTAGCAACAACAACAAAATGTTGGATATTAGGGATGGTAATATCAAATGTTCATTGTGTCATTTGTATACCTAAAGAAACAAAAAAGGGTCTTAAATCCATTAGTTTCATAGTTTCTTGGCTACCTTAAACATTACTTAATTTTCAGCAGAAACATGCTACAAAAATAAGATCCCCTGGATAAAAATAATTATATTGTTCAACCTATTGAGTTTGACAGCATGAATATTTCAGACAAATGTCTGTTGCAACTGGAATGTAAATATTGCAAATAAATCTTGGTCAGCGTACTAGATATCATGGCTTAGAAAAGATGTAAACTTGCCTTGAACAATTCAAACTGACAAGGAAAAATAAACCCAGCCAACTATTTAGCTTGCTGAATATTCTTTTTCCAGCTGAAAAATAACTAATTAGCTGTAGTCAGACCGAAATAAACCAACATCTCTACAAATGTGACAGGTTAGTAGGTTTATCCTTCAACATGCTGGTTTGCTACTGTTGAGACAGTATTCTTTTTTTGTTGGTAATGTTTTTTGTTCCCTGAATTACTGTAGGAATACAATGTTACCACTGTAGCATAATGTGAAGATGGGGCTGAACTACCTTGCAGCAGCTTACCTGTGCCAAAAGCTGGTTATCTGCTGCACAGCACTCCACATGAGCTAATTTTTGTTGCTGCTTGTTGAGGCAGAGCAGCCTATAGACCCAATGTTGCTGCTGCAAGGTTGCTCCTGGCATCTCCACAAGCTCACTGAAATTCAGCTTAGGCTATTCATGCACTGTGGTGTCTGTTTTGGTCTTGATCTTGATTGGGTAGCACCACTCATATGTACAGAATTGCTAATGTCAGTGTTTACTGTCCACGGGCTTTCTTCAGTCATCCTCTTAAAGCCCGTGGGAAGCAGTCCCATTAATTTTCTGTGTGCTTTGGGTCATACTGCTAGAGCTGATTGTTTCAGTTTTGCCATCAGAGCATTTAAGATGTTGGGTTTTTTGGTTATGCTTTTTTTTTTTTTAACTATTTGTATTCCTCATTTCTGGTTCTCTTCCAGCTGGTAGTCGGTCTAGTTCTCCGGGTAAGCTGTTAGGAAGCACCTATGGTGGCTTGAGCAGTGGAACATCCAGAGTTCAACCTGTGCCATCATCTTCAGAGAAGCGCAGCAAGATCCCCCGGAGCCAGGGATGCAGTCGAGAGACGAGTCCCAACAGAATAGGACTAGGTAAGAGTAGTCACTGCAGTGACACATTGGCCAGCATGCTCAAAGGATGGGCTTTCCTGTTGAACAGGGAACGTGTACATGTTGTCTGTCTTCTGAATTCCTCAACTGGCAAGTTAATGTTTTATTTCCAGAAATGAACTGTTATTTATTATGGTTTGTAGGAAAGTAATTCTAATTTTCCAGGTTGAGGCATAGTTTCAAAATTCCTGAAGATATTTATATCTCCTGTTTGAAATACAACATGAGTGATGTTTTTAGGTCAGCCAGCAAAAACAGTTGCCATGAATAACTATCAAAGCAAAAATACCTCATTTACATGAGTGGCTTAGTCCTAGGACCAGCTGAGCAATTTTACAGTTAGCTGGAATTAAGGGTGGTGAAGCACCTTCTGTGATTATTTAACAATTTTTGCAGCTTAAATGTTTGCTTCTTGTCTGGAATATCTTGGAGCTACTTTTTTAGATGGTGTTTTAAACTTACACTTTAATTATTCTGCTTCCAAAGTTCTTGGCTTAGTGACTATTGTGGAAATAATCCATAATAATTTCTATTTTCAAATCTATCAGCAGACTCATTTTTTTAATAAACAGGCAGGTAAGCATCATTGTATAGAAATATTTGCGTACCTGAATTGAGATTTAAAAAAAAAAAGATATTCATGGGCTAAGCAAGTAAATATTGTTTTCATTTCTGAAATGAAAATGTTTTCAGAAGCTTGAAGTTCACGTAGTTTTAAATAACTGTTACTATATTTTGTATCTTCAAAAAATTTATTGGTAGATTAAATTGAAATAATGACTTAGTGCGGGCAATCAATTTTTTAACTATTACATTCGCAACTATATTTTAAATGTAAGCTGCATTTCTGTTTAGAGCATTTCTAGAGAAGTGCCTTCTTCAAGTATACTGAAATGCACTTAAAGCACCTGAGTGTACATGCTGTTAGGAGTCATAAAAAGTACTGCATGGTTACTGTGATTACTTTTCCAGTTTTAGTAGTGTTCTTAGTCTGATCTATTTTATGACTGCTGTATGAATGCATTGTGCTCTTCTGTTCATTACTTTCAAAATGTGGTGTTTTCCAAATACAGACAGTTGTGCTATCACTCTGCAAAAGAACATAGTTTTTGAAAGTAAATGAAGAATGATGGATAGCACCATCAATTATGCTTAAGTTTATCATCGTGTTATGTGGTCTGATTTGAAACAGTGTTTAGCGTGTGAATTAACTTCGTAAAATCCTCACTCTTGGGTTGCCTGCTTTCAGGTATATTATGGGAGCCGTGAAATCCTTTGGAAGTGTAACATGTCTCTCACTGCTCTGATGTGCTGTCTGTGAACAGTCAGTGTTTGAGAGTGAGAGAACTCTCATCTATCAGATGTATGTTTTCCACCCATCTCCAAGTTGATGACTGACCAAAGCCTGTTCTTTCAGGCTCTCATAAGAGCAGTAGTTCAACACTTGTGTTGGCTTCAGCTTTCAGTTGCAGAAATGGTCTCTATTGAATTTTGAATATGATAAGATTGGTTTGAAGGAAGGTAACTTTGATCTGTCATCTTTATACCATTATCCCATTGTATTTATTACTTACAAGTAGCTACAGTTTTTGTTTGCTATTGTGTTGCTTCAGTCTCTTTCTGTGACACATCTTTTTCACTCATTTCATTAAATGGACTCCCATTCACCTTGATCCTAAGTATGCCAATAAACTTCACAGTTTAATTCAAATACTTGAGCTCAAGTGCAGCATCAAATGTGCATGCAATCCTTCAAGCTCTGTGGGATTATGTATGTTTGACAAGCATGTTCTTAACCCATGGACTGAAGCGTCTCTTAACTTACATGTCATGTTGTAGTGCAGAGGCTGTTGAATAATCCCGCAGATCAAGCTGTTAGAAATGAGTAATTGCTGGGTCCTGTTCATAACTCATCCATTGAGTTGATGTGTAGTATTTTGCAAGGGAGACTAGAAGTTACAGTTGTGTGCAAGAGTAAGCATACAGTACAGGTGTGTGCATGGGGTGGGGCTTTACACAACAGCCACCCCCTGGAGTTTATCAGGCCTTTTGGAAAGTAAAGGCAGTGATAAGCTAATAGAGCCTTGCACATGGATGCCTGTAAGCATCAGTAGCTTGTTGCTAGATTAATTTCATTGCTGACAGCAGGTATCCATGCATTATACTCTTATATTTCTCTTGTTTGCTGGAAGCCTTGGAAGTGGATGTTCAGTAGGCTGTGCATCCTGCAGGTACTGCAGTGTGGGTGTGTGCCGAAGGCCAGCTACCTGCTCCTCCTCTTGAGCCCATCATCAGAGTGGGGACATAGCTTCCATGGCACCTCCCAGATTCTGAGCTTAGAAGGTGAGGAGCCAGATCTTTGATTTAAAGAAGTAAGAGATTTGAGATAATGTTGTTCTTCAGAAAGTGATGCAGGTACAATTAGTTAACACATAGCATTCAGTTTTTCCATCGGTAGTTATGCTGTGTGTGCTTATTGGAAAATGAAAGGCAGCTCTTTACTTGTCTCTGCTGGGTGTACCCTACTACTGTGCTTGGCATTGGCTGCTTTGGTGGCATTTACAGACTTTACAGACTTAGTTAGAAAACATTAAAAACCACACCTTAATGAAATGTAAGCTCCCAAGTGGTAAATTGATAAGCAAGGGAATGATTGAGTTCTGCTGGTGGAGTTTGGGAATTCTGAAATTCTTGTCTTCTGAAAAGACGATCAGGGTATATTTGGGTATATAAAAAGCTTGTCTTGACAATGCTTCTAGCCCTTGATTTGGGGAGTGCCTGAAGAAAACACTCTTGAATAACTGATATTCAATCTTCTCTGCACAAAACAGAAGAAAAAAAAAAGGGTGGGGCAGATGCCTGGGAGTCCACAACAGACTCATCATTTTGTTCTTTTCAGTCCATTCTTTTTTTTGGTTACATTTCTCTATTCAGTAACGTGTTAATCTTTGGACCATTGCTCATGAAATACACTGTTTGCGTTTGGGCTTTCTCTGTGCGGTCAGTATTGTGGTTCATCTTTAACTTTGTCTTATTAGACTGCTTTAATGCAATTTAAAGCGCTTTGTCTTCATACTTCATGCTGCTGTGATTATCAGTAATGGAAGAAGGATGTACTGTGTACATCAATTAATTTTTTTAATCATTCACAACTCCCTCTTTTTGAAGAGACTGCTGGATTTAGGGTTGCATTATAGAAAAGACTGACAGATCTCTTTTGAGAGAAATGACTGCTTGTGCAAACATGATGTGAAGGCTGCCATTATCTACATAGAAGCATGAGACCCAAGAATGAGGAACTAGCTTCTAGAGAGCCTGCAGTTTGAAGCAGGTATTTGTGCAGAGACTTCAGATTATTACCTCTGTCTGTAGTTCACCCTACAGCTTTATTCCTATAAGCCTGACACGGGATCACTGTACTTGTGGACCCCAATTTTAACCTCTTTATTATTTAATCTGCCTTATTTATTACAAGACCATCTAATTCACGTAGGCTTTTTAGACATGATCAAATCAGCTTGGTCACTATCTCATCTTGTATTGTCTGACATCAAAGTTCAAGCATCAGAACCATTAATTCATCTAAAAGATATTAGTTGGGGTTAACAAATTTGGAAGGGGTATTGCAAACCAAGAATGTGGCAGTAGTTTATATTTTAAAGCTTAAATATTAAAGTTTCTATTGTGTACTGTACTGTTTTGCTTGAAAGGTACTAATTCACCCAAGGCATGAGTAACCATTCAAAATCAGGCATTATTTTCTGGCAAGGTTTTTCTTGTATATATAAATCTCCTCATCAAAAAGAGGAGCTGCATAAATGCGTGATCTGCTTTCTTGGTGAGCTCACAGAAGTACTTAAGTTCTTCAAAATAAATTCATGTCAATTAGTTGCCATTTTTGCATCCAAAAATGTTTTATTCTCTACTGGGCATAGAGCTCTTTTTAATAACATGTTGCTATCATCTTTCATATCAATGGCAAAGAATTTACATAGGAGTAAATTGTTCTCCTTAAAAAACTAAAATTCAAATCCATAATATTACGTAACTTTCTGAAAGCACTAGTTCTGTTTCTCCTCCATGGACAAAACTTCAAATGAAGTAAAGTGGGATTGCTTGTTACAAAGAAAGCCACTGCATCTTCTGTTGTGCATTTGGCAGTGAAGGCTGCATATGATGAGTTGCTTTGACATGGCTGATAGATAGAAGTCTGCTAGGGGAAACTGAACACTTTATAGCTGCCAGACCACAGATAAGTCTCCTTGATGCAGGGCTTTGTCAAAGTAAAGATTGTAGTTAAAGGCTCTCCTTACATGTGCATGTGTCTCATCCATAAGTGTAAGGTTTTGGAAATGTTGAGGACAGCTGTTGTTTTAAAAAATTAAAATAAGCTGCTGTTATCTTAAAATTCAAACCACTTTCAAAGCTGTCTTTCAGGTATTTAGGGTCTGAATGATTTTTCCCAGTATCAGTTGTTAGAGAAAATTCCTTTAGTATGTACTGTTTTTTTTCTTTTCCTTAGGTTATTTGTTCAGGATGAAGTTATCCTTGTTAAAAACTAAATCTATTCAAAGATATTACACTGGTATTGAGACAGACTTTTAAAACACCTAATCTGATTAAAAATGCTGCTTCTTTGTTCCAGAAGGGTGTTTATCTTTTAATTAAGGAAAAAATCTTTCATGAGTTTTTTGTAGCTTCATCTGTTTTGCATGCTTTGTAATTGTAGAGCTTCCCTAAATGATTGAAGATGTCCTACTCCACTTGAATGACAAAACTTGGATTGCTTAAGAAACGAGGATACTATCAGCCAGACATTTAATACTGATGAAATTTCACTTCACAAATGCAGCTTAGCACGTAGCATAGTTGGTTTGTAAGAGCCTGAGCTGGCTGCTGGAACTGATGATTACTAATGCAATAATTACCTTAACTAACAGAAATGTGACTTGACTTTGAGCTTTTCTGTCCTCATTAAACTTGTTCACCTTCTCTGAAACTCTCCATGCTGCATGCTAGCACGGAGCAGTCGTATCCCCCGACCCAGCATGAGTCAGGGGTGCAGCCGTGATACCAGCCGTGAGAGCAGTCGAGATACAAGCCCTGCTCGGGGCTTTCCTCCACTTGGTGAGTACTTTGTAGGCATTGGAGTTTTAAGGATCAATTTTTTTCCCCTTTTATCCTTGTTCTGATTGCCCCTTCAAGACACTGCCAGGTGAAATGAGCTTGTTTCCTGTCTTCTGTTAGATTCCTGACACACTCCCTATTTCCAACCCTGTTTCCCTTCTGTTTTCTTCTGCATGCTTCAAATCTGATTCTCAGCATTTCATTATTAGTATGAAAACAGTGTAGCCTGAATTTTGTTGTTTTTCAGTTTCATTAAATCAGCTTCTGTGGGGCTGCTGTGCTTTACAGCACTGGAAATTTGTGGGAGAGCCAGCTTGTGTTTTCTAGGTCACAGTGAAGTAGTCAGTACCACTGTAGTCTGTTGTTGATTAAATCTATTCATGATCTGATTTTCTTGCAAGTAGATACAATGTCATTTCTATTTTAAATCCTGAAATGGAGAGAGTTCTTTTTGTACAGGTTTTATTCAAAACTTTTAATCATGAGTTAACATGTTGCACGTGCCATTTCATAGAAGACTTTCAAGCAGACAGAAATGAAAAAGCTAAAGTTTTAAAGGAGCATCACTATCATACAGCTTGGGTGCAGAGTATAAATAGGAAATCTCATTACACTTACCACATGCAGGATGTTCTTCTGCACGAGGCTAAAAACAGCATAGTTAATGTTTCTGATCAAATATCATGTCATACGTATTCAACCAACTACATTGTTTGTTGTATGAAAAATGTCATCTCAGACATAATTAAGTGTAGTTTATCTCCAGGCCCCTTTCCCATATATAGTAATTTAACAGTTGTGCCTGTGTAGTAAAAGTGAGAAGGAAGCTCTTACATACTTAGGGTTGAAGAATGTTATTTTAAGATTTGTTTTGGATGTAAGTGACAAAATACAGCTGTAAGAAATACTATGTAAGTAGAATGTAACATTTTGGACTTTATGCTTCAAATCAAATAGTAAAAAAAGGTTATTTAAAAAAGAAAGGATAAATGGGCATAATCTTCCAGTTTGGTTCTCATAGTTAATACATTGTTAATACATTGTTAATGTATACATAGTTAATACTTTGCACAAACTTTTAAACCTATATAGCTATTGTCAGTATTGATTCATTTACTCATACCGACTTCAAATGCTGTCTGAGGAGGGAGTGTCATTGTCTTCATATCATTGCCAAAATTCCCATTGATTTCAGTAATGTAGAGTGGAATCTTCAAGAAGGTTTTGGGTTCAGAAATTCATTATTTAATTCATTTATGAAATAATCTGTCTGTAGTATCAGATTTACTGAGAAATGGCTGGAGTTCAATTTAGCATTCAGATATTTTAGATAATTCAAAGAGGCTTTTTATCGGTTAAATGAAGCTGATTTGATACCAGAGCCATAAAGGGATGGTAAATATCCAACTGTAGCTTATTTTTGTAGTTAACTGTGTAGCTTCAGTTTTGTATGAGGCTGTTTTCTCCAGCCAAAATGTTTTGAGCATGCTGCGTGTCAGGGTTAACTTGTTTGTATTCTGTCTTTTTGCTCTGTTTCTTCTATTATAGTGAACATACATTGAGATACCATCTTGAGCCTTTGATCTAAAAAATTAAATGCAGCATTTCAGTATCACAGTTGCTGTGAATTCTGTGCACCACCACCATATCTGACTTATACACTGAATATGAAATTTCAATTACAGATATGTATTACAGTGGTTGTAACAAATCTCATAGTGGGGAGGAGGAGTGTTTCATTTTAATGAAGTTTAGTTCATTTCTAGGGATACAATTGTTATACAGTCAGGAAAGGGAAGATGGAAGGTGGGGGGGAAAGTATCAGTGTAATGGTAACCCAATATAGTTGCTATTCTTGTGTTTTCACTGAATGCTGTAAGCTGGAACACAGCTTAAGTTCACAAACTTCATTCTGTAGCTTGTAACTCATTTGAAAGTAAGCTCTGTGTGTGCCTATATATATAGCAATTTAAGCCAAGATAGTTCCATTACTGTATTTTTAGAATTCAGTTAATCTTACATTAATCCCTAAATAACGTAGTCCATTTTTGCTCGTGAAGATTAACTTTATATGAGTGAATTTTACTTAAGCTAGCTATATATACATATAGCTATATGTAAACGACAGGATTCCTGCATTTAGCAGTATTAATGATCAGCGTCAGCACTGACATCCTGGCTTTGCAAGTTGGTTATTTTCAAAACTTCCCTGCAGATGTGTGTGTATGTGCACCAAAATGTCTTTCTTTCCAAGTTAGGAGGCTTGAGTGAGCTCAAGGGAAATGGTTTTAAACTGGAAGAGGGTAGATTTAGAGTAGGTATTAGAAAGAAATTCTTTACTGTGAGAGTGGTGAGACACCAGAACAGGCTGCCCAGCGAGGATGTGAATGTCCCTCCCTGCCTTCCTGGAAGCATTGATTATATGATTTATTTAAAAAAAATTATTGAAGATAAGTGATTTTTATTATTTCTATTGCTGTTTTGTCTTGGGCCTTGATCTTGCAATGAAATCTATAGAGACACAATGGATGGCTCAGAGGAAAACATTTGCAAGCTCAGAATTTTAGTTGAGGGTTCAGACCGTAATCCTGTATTGATCCTGCAAATCTGTCATGGCTTACTTATGGCATCAGTGGGATTGTTCTCCTGAATAAATGCATGTGTTCTACATATTTAAAGACCACATTGCATATTGTGTGGAGCTTTGGCCAAGTTGTCACAACTGGGAGGAAATCTGAACTTTTTCTCATTTTGCACACTTCTTTTTTTACATTACTAGCATTTGTTTATTAATGCTTAAGTGGAGATAGGATTTTTCTATTGCTCACACAAACACACAACTGACAAAGCTTCTTTGTTTTGGATAGCAATGTTTTTTTTCAATTTCTTGACAGTATTAGTTATGATGTTGCATCAACAAGGCCTTTGGTGAGTCTGGTGACAAATTGCTCACACAGGCAATCAGTGTTTGGGTCAGTTGTTTTTTTAAGTTAAGTGAACATACCATTGCTGGACACAGGAAAATCCTCTCCAGAAAAGTTAAATTTCTGTAATTCAGAAATGTCTGGGCTGGCTTTCCATTTGCCTTCATAAAGAACTAACTCACCTTTATGCTCAATCCAATAACTGAAAATCTCTCCAAAGGCATTTTGTGATTCGTGTGCTGCTGACAGCTGAGAATTGGAGTGGGAGCTGTATTTGGCTTCAGCTCTTCTGCTACTGTCTGTTCTGTTGCTATTAACAATTTGTTTGTATATGTATGATACAGTTCTAGATAAATGTATGTGCATATTCACATTACACACGAATTAGATTCAAAAAGCATGTATGCAAAATTTGTTAGAGCAAAAAACTTTTGATAGTGGCAACAGCTCCAGTATGTGTCTTTATTTGAAACAAGAAAATTACATCAAAACCAAAAGACTATAAGCAGTTGTTGGCTGACCTCCCTGTATGACTCCTTGTACTCTTTCAACTTCTGTGGTTATTCATTCTTTTTGTGAGCGTTGTTTTTTTTGCATAGGCTAGAATGTTTTGGAAAAAGACCTGCAGCACAGTTTCTAACCATTTATCATGGCTTCCCATTGGGGTTTAGATCAGACACATCTAAATCCTGCTCTATGGTTATGTGCTCCACGTTGTCATGATGGCCGTCTTCCAGATCTGTGGTTCTGGAATGGAACTGACGCACACCGGTTTTCTTTGCTGAAACTGCACTGGGTTTGCAAGTGTTACAAATGAGTTTTGTCTTGCATCATGTTTATGGTCATGAGGGAAGGGGAGGAGAAGCTACAGATGGAGATGACACTGTGGGGCTTGCACTGTATCTGTTGTGCATTCATATACAACGTCATTTCCCTGTCGCTATGAAACACGTTTACTGGTAATGTTCACGTGCATCCCCTTTGGATTGTGGCATTTTCTGTCTTGGGTTAAATGTGTGTTAATCCTGTGGGTGTTGCCATTCCTTCTACTTGCAGCTTCTCGACGTCATTCCAGGTCCACTAGTGCTCTCTCCACTGCTGATTCTGTTGGGCAGTCAGGTGAACAAGCGCTAACTGCATGAATCTGCTTCTTATATGTAGTCTTGTTTTACACCATTTTAACATTTGCTGTCACGTGCATCAGCCATGTGCTTCTCACCACTGCGAGGCTTTTTGTTCTGTTTTGTTCAAAGTGGCTTTTTCTTTTCGAAAATTTCATTTATTGGATGTTTTTATTTTATTTTATGTACTTCAGGAATGTTGTGAGCAGTGTTTAAACAAAGGGTGATCCAGGGCTTTCTCAATTCTCTTGTAAATTGGATCAGTTGGACCAGCTAGATCCTGAACAATGCAGAGTCCTTGCAATTCATGCCTGTTTCCTCTTCAGCAGTGTAGCAGTTTCTGATGTCTAAGGCAGGATCCCAGTGGGTCTCATTGCATTTATTAATAAGCTTTTCAGACTCCTGTCTGTTAATGAAAGTGCACTGTGGGATCCTGTCTGATATTCACAAAAGCAGCAAGAATTAAGTATCTGATTAGCTTTCAAAATGAACTTTGGAGCATAATGTGATGATCCATCCTTCGTATACTACTGAATACCTTATGCAAAGCACGTGGAAGTTGTTGGAAAAATAATTCCTTTAATTTCAGTGGGCTTTGCATCAAGTAGAAAACAGCAAGGAAAACCTTTAGATTCCAGTTGCCTTCTCCTCTCCTGTGCTGGATTTGCAGTTGTGGAATACCTGCAACTCCCTTCGAAAACAGGATATTTCACTAGGAGTCTTAAGCAAAAACAAATGAGTGCTGCTGGTGTTAGGTCAGCAGAAACTCAAATGTGGGTACGAAGATAATGTAGAAGATGAATTAGAGCTTCAGTGTTTGATTGGAGGCTAAAACTGCATAAGGAATTAATGACACTAAAAGTTAGTTAACTAAGTTTCTTCAGGTAGGCAGTGAAAAATGTTCCTCTTAAGTGCAGTTAAATTGCTGTCACTTAAGTTAAACTCAAAACATTCCCCCTATCAAGCTACTGCAGAAATGATGCAAGCAGATTTGATTCTGGCATGTTTCAAAGCAGCAGTCTGAATTTGTATTGAACAAAATTGTCAAGAACAAAAGGGGCCCTTAAATCTAATTCAGATCTAAGCTTAAGCTTTTTTCCTTCAACTTTGCATGATAGTCAATTCATGCTTTGCTCCAGTGGTTTGATACAAAGCATAATGAGACTATATATGCTTATCCTTATTCTAAAGAAGGCCAAAGAAGTGGCAAAATCAAGGAATTTTGCTGGAATTTGCTGAAATTTTTCACCAAGCAATGACCATAATTAAAATAGCCAGAAGGAAAAGTGAGTGTGACCAGAGCACCTCCTGATCAGCTTATTTATTGACAGTAACATTGGGCTTGTCTCTAAGGGATATTCTTGGAGCCACATGCATTCCCAGCCCTATGGTAGAGATACGCTGAGCTTCCTTCTAAGATCAAATGTGTGCATTGAGGTGTGGCAGCAGTGTGGGAAAAGCCCACATTGATATGGATGTTATGGGTTTAATGGTCACTGCAAGAAGTGTTCTAAAGATTTCCTGATAGCTTTGGGGATGGATAAAAGACAGCATGCCACCTTGTACTTACTCAATTTGATTAAAAAGCCCTGTTTTGTTTTTTTTTTCTTTTTATGCTGGGTATTTAAACTGACCTACAGTTGAATTACTTTGTCATTTTGTTCTTCATTTTTTTTAAAAATAAAAACAAAACTATCTTCCCTTTTCTAATGTGATACTAAATTAACATGAAAACACGTAACAGTGATATTATATGATATTGTGCCATTTGAAAGCTATAAAGCCAAATTCTGATCTCAGTAAGACTCGAGTAACATCGTCAAGTTAGTAGATTTAAATATAACTGAGTCCAGAACTTGTCTCAACATTTACAGCCCTTGTGTTGTACCAGGTCTCATTTGCACTTAGAAAAATACTCGTCTTTTGTTCATCTTTTAGTATCTATCTCTGTAACAGTGACTTCAACTTCAGTCTGGCTCAATGCTTTATCATCTTCTGTGCTTCCATTAAAAGTAAACAGATCTTTCCATTTTAGGGATCAAGTGTGGCTTCAGCTACATATTTGAAATGATTCTTCAACCCAAGTGCATTAAAAAAGGGGATAGTAATAACACATACAACTTTTATTTCTTTGTGAAATATCATTTGATTACTTTTTGGCAGTAGTTCTAAGATGTTTGTTTTTGTTGTTTTTTTTCCCTCTTGTAATGTGTTTTGTAGAAATTGTGCTTTTGTTGTAAATCAGAAACGTCTCGTCTGGTTGCATAACTGGGAAAGAGCAAGTTGTGGTAACACTTTGAAATAAATGCTAATCTTCATCTTTTTTCTCAAAAATATTTTAGGTTTTAAAAAGTTGTCTTTATTCTCCTCTCAGTAGCTTAGTCCTTGCTCAGGTAAAGCTTTAAAATTAGGATGACAGACTGGCAGGCTTCAGACTCTGATTTCAATTATGCAGGGCAGTGTGAGCAAATTCCTTAAAAGAGATTTCAGTGCAATAGGCTTCTGAAGAGAAAAGCAGCAAAACTTTGTGATAAGCAGAGTTTTTAAAAATAAATACAGTAAACTGCTGAATGTAACATTCAGTTTTGTGGAAATCCATGATGGAAACACATATTTGAATAAGCAGTCGTCTTCCTTTGTTAAATTAAATATAGATGAACTACTGAAAGATCCGTGGCTGCGTGCAGTGTGGGTCAGCTGATGATCTGTTTGTGCAGCTTCATTTGTGCACCTCTGAAATGCTGGCAGAGCTCTTATTGGCACACATGGTGTAATATGTGTCCCAAGGCAATCTTTCCCAGCCCTTGTGGAGCAAAGACAGCCCCAGGTGGAAACAAAACTTGAAATGTTGAAACCAGGCTCTTTCTGGTTATTGACTGGAGCCAGGATTGCAGAAATAGATCTCTGATCTGGAGGGGCTGTGCTATTGGAGCCTGGCTCGTGGCCCCAGTTGCTGATTCTGCTGTATCGCTGCTAGAGATAGCTTTCCAAATGTGACTTTTGCTCAAAGAAATTCATTCTGCAATGTTTTTCTCGGACTCAGGGCAAATGATAAAGTAAGCTAGTGATTATTGTGGATGTAAGTGGCATTGGGACTCAATCCTGTTAGTTTGGATGCTGTTGAGAGCTTTGCCATCAATTCATAGGGAGACATGATATTGTATGATCCTGCCCCCAAAAAAGATCTGTTTTATGATGAAACTTTTAAATGACATTTCAGTTCAGTGTACATTTAAGCTGCTTCTCAAGAACAACAATAAAACAAAACTGGAGTAACTTCACAAACAAATAATAAACCTTATTTTTGTTCTTTGAGGCATAGGGAGATATTCTGGTTAATCAAGCCTTGCAACATAAGAGAGCTAATGTGCTGCTGATGATGATCTCACGTACTTGTCTGAGAACAAGCTACAAGATGAGTGCTCTGCTATTAACATGCTTTGACACTGGGCACAACTCTGTTTCTCAGAAGTTAATGAGAAGTCTTCAGTTAATTCCTGAGAGAGCCAGACTGGGACCTGCATGTCTGCCTCTGACATTAAAATAAAACCCCAAACAATTTCTATTAAAAATAAACACAAATTAGATATCCTTCTTCCCATCTTAAAAACAAAACCAAAACCCAACAAAAACAAAAAAGACATGCCCTGAGGGTCTGAAATTGTCTTGAGGACCCAACAAACAATAGTTTATTTCTTAATGTCATGGCAAACTCTTGTAGAGTTGTGGATAAAAGAATCTTTAATGAAAAAGCGCTGAGAGTTCCCAGATCCTTTGGGGAGGACTGTTCAGACACCTGATTAGGATTCCAAGTGAATGTGAATTTACTTAACAATCCCTTTCAATGTTGTCTTTTGTGCAGACCGGTTTGGACTCGGACAGTCAGGCAGGATGCCTGCTTCTGTGAATGCCATGCGAGTCCTGAGCACAAGCACAGACCTGGAGGCCGCTGTGGCTGATGCACTGGTAAGAGGAAAAATACAAAATGCTTCCAACACCGGAAAGTGGCTTAAAGTTACCTGTACGTACGTTCTCTTTCTAAGTAGCTTTGTTCTGATTGTGCCGAGTGTCTGATGTTGTAGAGTTAGTTACCTTGTGCTGTGCGTGAGTATATGAGCAGCAGCATTTTTTTCCTCGTTCCATGTTAGTTCTCCACAATTAGACTGATGAGGCTCGATACTGGAGCTGCAGGAGAAGCTGAATGAGCTGTTTGTCTCACGTTTTGCTGTTGGAAGCTGTTTGCTGCACTTTATAGGTGATCACTACCTGCAGTGTGAGGGAATTCCATTGATTCCACTTGCTGTATGAGGATTTTGTTTAGGAAAGAACTGAGAACTCTGTCATGTCCTGCTCTGTTATTTGTACCTAGCTAGGTATTTAGATCAGCTCATAGCTTGGCTTTTCTGTAATTGATATCAATTCATGCAGTTAAACTGAAGTGTTTGCTTATCATACTGCCATTATTTTCTAAATATTAAATGCATTTGAGTAAATTTGTCATTATTAAAAATGTATTTCTTATATAATGTTACAGTAATATAAAATCTCTTGGGTAGAATACAGAAGATGTTTTCTGCTCTTCAGAAGTTGAGTGCTGTCATAAACTTTTGGATTTACTTTGGGGCTTGAGGAGACAGGGTGTTAAAGAGGCAGGAGCATTTACTCTGAAGTATTATTTGGGTACCGCAGTGTACCTTGGGTCTGCCTCATCTCTAGACCTAAGCTGAGATGAGGATTTCCTGATATATCTGAAGCTGTTATCTGTTTGTCTGTCTTGGAGAACAAATAACATCCTCGGAGTTTATGAAAGATTTGGGTTTTTTTTTCCATTTTTCCTAGTTTACTTTCTCTAATACTGGCTAACATCATTTTCCTTTTTGTATTCAATCATCATGTAGCTCACCTTCATTTCTAGAGTATTATTAGAGTACTCCTAAAAAAGTGTTTTTTCTTTTTTTTTTTTTAAATAATTTCTTATGAATCATACTGAGTTTGAACAGTATATAATGGTACTGTTGCATTTAGTGGTAGTTTTCATTACCAAATTCAGCAGATCATGAGCCAGGTTTTGCTCCCAGCACCTCAAATTTGCCACCATAGTAGTTCACAGCATAGTTATAGGTGATAGCTTGCCTGTGTAAATGAAGTCACTCTGTATCCCTGAATGTGAGCTGTGAACACTGGTTACCTGACGAAGGTGGAGAGAGTAGCAGTGGTATTCCAGTTCACTGTTGATCACTTAAGATTTCTTGGTGTGACTTCAGCTTAGACTTAGGAGTTCACTTCTAAATATTTCACTCTTTTAAACTAAGTAGCTTTATACTGGAATATTAAAATCTTATTTAAAGAGTTAAACATTTAAAAGGGAAATCTGTAAGTCTAGGTGGAAAGTATTTTAGCTACCTTGGTTGGTGTAAGATAATCAATCTGAACTTGTATGACTTTAATGGATGTAATGTGATCTCGTTGTCCCTTCTTTCTCACCTCCTCTGTTCTTTTTTTTTTTTTTTAGTTGCTTCCTCTTGACAAGCAATTTACAAACTCTGGGCTCATTTTGAAAGATTAGTGTGATGCCAGCTTTTACACAGCAACCTTGTTCTCAAACAAGTGCTCTTTTTCCTGTAATAAGAAATAAAATAAAAAAAAAAGCCGCTATAGTGATGGCTTTAGCCAAGTTTAAACAAAACTCAGTGGGTCATTCTGTAACCTTTGCTCATGTGTATAATTCTCATTGGATCCACTGCTTCTGTCTGAGAGCTGAACTTGGCCTAAGAACACAGTCTGTACTGTGAATCAGTGCTTGGATCTGTCAGGAAAGCTCAAAGGGTGATGGAATCTTTGGTGTGAAGGCCTTGAAGTCATGGCGCCAGCTTGTCTTTAAAGAAGTTAAGCTTCAAAAAAAAAATTCAGCATGAGAACTATGTGTTGAAAGAAAACCTGGTTAAGTGAAGTTGATTAAATGTGTTGTACTGTAGATAGCGGTTTCCTGACATCAGAATCTCTTTAAGACTCGAGAAATCAAAAGCTACTGAGAATGCGTGGAGAAAAATCACTACCAAAAACTGGTATCTTCCAGAAACAGCATTTCTGAGAAGCAGGCAGAGACGCTGCATATATAGATGTCATCAAAAAGATAACAGATGATTTCACTTCCAAGATCTCTAATAGAAAGTGTAAGATATACAAGTTCAGCAGATAGGAAATAAAGCCAGGTATTATTATACCCACTTTTGCTTTGCATAAACTGTTGTGTTTTTTTAATTTGCTAAGATGCATTTGCTATACATTTTTGTTGCAAAAACAAAGACCCTACATAAGCTTCTGACATAATTCTCTATGCTTTTTCCCACCCTTCAATATTTTCCTGCCTCTACAGCTGTTAGGAGACTCCAGGAGCAAGGTACTAGTGCTTTCTTGACTTTTTATTTCTACTTTCAACTTTCCCTACCTTATTGCTAACACCCATGATACCGCACTTGAGTTAATTTCTTCACTTCAAAGAAAAACTATTGGCTTCACAAGTCTGAGAACTGCAGGACTGGACTCTGGAAGGAATTCTGGATCAAATATTTTAGAATTTAGGCAATCTTTTCTGATACATTGTCTTATTTTGTTCTGTTAAAATTCATTTAAAAGTTTACTTTGTAGTACACAATTTGTAGAGCTATCAAAATTATTGTAATGTCCTTTCTGTAAAGACTGAGGTTGTCAAGGATGTGCTCTATTTATCCCATGCTATGGAAAATTAGAGGGATTTGATTACTCATCTCCTTTAGGAACTTCTCTAAATGTAAAAAAAAATCAAACTAACAGAAATTAGACTGTCCTGTATCTCAGTGCATTTCTAGAGTTGCTCCATTAACAGTATCAAAATGGCTGTACGTGCCAGCACAGATTCCTACAGTTCTTTCTTCCTTCTCTTTATTTTTTCTTGAAATAGAGGCTATTTCATCACAGAACATATAACAATGGAACTGACTATTATTTACAATAAAACTTATGATTTCATTAGTTATAGCTAATTCCACTGGGCATAAGTATTGAGCTTTCGTGCTGGGAAAGACAGGTCCTGCTCTCCCTAGCCACTCATGCTCATTGCAATCAATGAGATCTGTCTCACTCTGCTGAGAGAGACAAGCAGGCAGTGCTTAGTGATTTCTTTTAAAACATGTCACTGTAACAATAGCATTAATCTTCCTTGATTAATGATTATGGGTAGAACATTTTTCTTTTAGAAGTGATGTCACTGTATATAATTTATTCAGTCTCAGTTTCCCCTTTCCCAGAAAAAGCCAGTGAGAAGAAGATATGAACCCTATGGGATGTACTCTGACGATGACGCTAACAGTGATGCATCAAGCGCTTGCTCAGAGCGCTCCTATGGTTCCAGGAACGGAGGCATTCCACACTATCTGCGGCAGACCGAAGATGTGGCCGAGGTCCTGAACCACTGTGCCAGCTCCAACTGGTCTGAAAGGAAGGAGGGCCTCATAGGTCTCCAGAACTTACTGAAAAGCCAGCGGACGCTGAGGTGACCCTCATAGCTCTGTAGTGTTGGTCATTCATGGGAGGTGGCTCTTGTCAGAAGTCAGTAATACGTACTTCCCTCATGTACGCAGTACTTTTCACAGCTGTGAAAGCTTTGTCTCCACAATGTGGGACTTAATTACTTTCATAAGAGATTCTGCTGTCATCACTATTGTTTGTGTGAAATTTTTAGTATTAACATAGCATTCAAGCATACTATCTTGTTGCAGCACAGTGAGATTTCCCACAGTGATGGTAATGAAAAGGCGTTCCAAGGGTGATACCATTTTTACATTAGTCCATTTGAGCCTTCAGTACTTTTTTTTTCTCAGCGTCTTGGAAGCAAACACTGACTGTGTTTATTCTAAAACCTCAGGGTGTGTGTGTTTCAAAAAGATGAGATCAAGTGATGTGCCCTGCGTTGGGTATACTTTGACTCTTTGTGAAGGCTGTGTTAGGCATAATTACTCATGACTCTTTCTAACACATCAAATATAATTATTTGTAACTCTTGAAAAATATCAAAAGCCTGAGTGTCCTATAAATGGTGTAATTGGTAATATAGAGGGAAGTTTAATAAGGCAATGAAGTAGATGTGCAAACTCAGATTGTGTGCTAGGAGAGAGATGTTTTCCCCTTGTTGAAAGCCAAATAAACTCATCCAACATCCTTGGCATGTCACACATAAAACCAGGTCTTAGAATTACACAACAGTCGCGGGGAAGCTTCGCTTGGCCACGTGTCACATTAACTATAGAGTAAATCACATTCACTGACTCCTGTGCTTCAGGCTTTTTGCCATTGGTTTATGGTGAATGTATTTGGAAATAAGTTGTTTCTTCTGACTCCTTTGAAGATGGCATTTACTAATAGTCATGACATTCTTATTTTCATGTTATGAATATTATGAAGTTAAATTATGGCTAGATATATAAGTGGTTGTTGTATAGTTTAGTTCCTACCCGTTTCTATTTGTGCAGTTATTTTGCTTTTAAAAGGTCTTTATACTGACTGCAAGTGTTTGTCAGTCCTCATTAACAGTCTGGATAAATATGTACTGACAGCTCATCCTCTTGCCATCGTAAAAATACTCAGCACTTCACATGGTATGTTGCAGTCCTGAGGTGGGAAGGTGCTACAGGTTTTTAATATAGTGTAGTCCCTAGGTCAGCAATGGCTTTTTATGTAGTCCATTTACAAGTATTTTAAAAGATTCTTCCCATGTGAATGATGTCATTTTTCTTTCTCTATTTTAGCAAATTTTCTGAGAAAACTCTGACACCTAGCATACTTGTATGAGAAGTTTGGGTGAGATTTTGATTTTCCCACAGAAGGTGTGTGAGGATTATCACCACGGCTTTGAATGCCGTTGGCAAATGTTTCAAGGCAGGACGTGCTGAGAGGATTGGGGTGACAGACTATTTGCCCCCATAGTAACTTTTAGCAGAGGTGCTGCTGTTTTCATTCCTTCTGATTGCAGTATATGAACAGTACTGATGTCAGTAGTCTCTTGAGCTAGCAAGTTTCCTTGGCTCTGATTCTGAATAGTTTATAAACCTTACCCAGAAAGTACACCCTTGCAGAGGTTCTTTTTAAAAAAAAAAAAAAAAATTGACATTGGTTTTAGTTCTTTAGATTATATTTCCTTTCAGATTGCTTTTGGTCTGCTTGCACCTTAGTTCAGGCTTGTTCTGGTGCCTGTACTAGTGATCAGATTTCTTCATCCTGTTCTCACGGCATCATGAAAAACATCATCAAGGCCATTAGTAGAAGGGGAAAGCCTGTCTTCTAGTGAAATCTGCTATCTTCTGTTCAGGCGTAACAAGTTTAATATACAGCAATAATGTTAATATGTTTTCTTTAGTATTCTGAATAGAAAGACATCTAATCTTACATTAGTGGTGAATTACATATCCAGAAAGATGTGCATGCAAAGTGGTATGGAACTTAACATTCCTCATTGTTTCCTGCAACTTCATGTGTCTGAATGACACAGGACCAACAAATCTGATAAGGAAATGACCTTCCACTGCTTGTCAGTTTCTCTTGCACTGTCACCTAGGGACAGCAAGATTCTGGAAAAACAGATTGCCTACATGTTCTGTTTCCACATAATCCTTGCACACAGATTTCATTAGAATAATAAATAGAGCTTTATTCAGAAAACAGCAATCTGCATTAAGTCAAGAGAATGTTTTGAGAGAATGCAGTTTCATCCCAAATGAATGTCAGCTTTCGTTGGCATCATTATAAGTACTTTTTTCTCTATATCCAACTCATAGGCAGACTGTTGTCTTTGTGCTGTTTTAAAGCTTAAACAAACAGATCTATTGGAGAAAAAATCTCTTCTTACAAGCTAACAGAAAGCAGTTATATGCTACTGGCAAATTCTAGCTGTATATATAACTGCAGTGTAGAATTTACATCTTTATGGAAAGGGGTACCTGTAATTGTGATCTAAATGGCTGTTGCCTTAGCAATTGATGTGCATTTTAATAGTTGCTCTGGTTTTGTAGTAATTGCAAAAAATATCTAATTGCATCCATAGTATGCAGGAAATGTTACCCAATAATCACTCTGTTTTCATTAGCATGATAAACAAGCAAAACTTTTACACTCTTTGGCACTTTAGAACAAAACTAGAACTTGTGTTTTTCAATATTTTGCAAATTAAGAGCTTTGGCACCAAGAGCTGGAGTGCCAGTCAAGGCTTTGCCTAGAGTACATAGGAGTTTTCAGAAGTGTGTCTTTAAGAATGTTTAAAAGAAAGCTGAATCTCTTTCAGGTGGTGCTGTTTTACTTTTTTTTTTTTGTCAACAGGAGATGTACATTAATACTGTTTTTTATTATACATTCTAGCCGAGTGGAATTAAAAAGGCTGTGTGAAATATTTACTCGCATGTTTGCTGACCCTCACAGCAAGGTAAGATCACAAAGACTGTATCATTCTCTTGAATTACCATATGACTACATCTGTATATTCTTCAAAGATGAATGTTTTGTATTTCTACCCCTGCCATCTGCTGGGGAAAGCTGGCATTTATAAACCTCAAATCTGTTTTACTGTGGAAGTATGGATCCCAACCTGTCTGCTGATGCTAGGAACTGGTTACCTTGTACTTCCCAAGAAACTGAATGCCTTCTGGCTGTTGACTCCTCAAGTAATTGTAGTCTGGACCAGCTGGCCAACAGGTCACATGAAGCGTGACAGTTCCTACCTGTAAGGTGCTAATGTTTTGACTCTCAAAAATTCAGTCCCTTGTAGAAAAGGCATAGATATAGTTATATGTTTGCAAATATTTCCAATGCATAAATAAGGTGAAGGCTTATTATGTGCTTAACCAAAGTATGTTCTCCATGACAGTGATTCTCTCTTTCTCACTGCTTTTATAGAATTATTGCCAAAAACTAATCAGTTTGAAGTGCAAATTATAATCACAAAATTGCTACAGTATAACTGAAGTCAGACTTCAGTTCTTTATTGCAAAATCAGGGATTTTTCTACCTACTGCCCTTGCTGTTACTAGTTACTAAACACTGCTTAGGACAACACATAGGATAAACTGGGGGAAGTGTGGAAAAAAACTTGGTAAGGGTTGGAGAACGTTATACAACAATATAAAATCATCAAGTTATCTTGACTTGTTGACTTTAAGGGTATTGCTTTTCATTAGCTGAATCTGATGCAAGGTATATAATGTTTTAAATAACTTCAGTGAGAAGGTATTTTGTATTAAGAAAATGTAAACTTGGAATGAATGCATCTTTAATGTTGACAAACTGCATATGAACAATCATGTTTGATCACTGTGTGCTAACAAGTTGTTTGTTTTGTTGCATGGCCTGCTTTGCTGTGGAATTCACAACAGAGAGTAAGTGTATTCTGTTCCTCTTCCTTCATTTGTTTCATGTGGTATTTTAATACTGCACACTATATATGTCTGTCTGATTTTTATTTTCAAAGCAATGAGGTCACTAAAATCATCCATTCATGAAACTGTCTGTAACAGTAATTCTGAAACTCAGGTTTTTAAAACTCTCCACTTTCATTAGTTTTTATCTGAAGCACAGCCTTCCTTCTTGTCACGCTTATTTTGTGCTTATAGGTCTTCAGCATGTTTCTGGAAACCCTGGTTGATTTCATCATCATTCACAAAGATGACTTGCAGGATTGGCTTTTTGTTCTCCTGACACAGTTGCTGAAGAAAATGGGAGCAGATTTGCTGGGGTCTGTGCAGGCAAAAGTTCAGAAAGCTCTGGATGTCACCAGGTAAAGTATTTAAATGGCAACACTCTGCAGGTTTTTACAGGGTTACGGTAAGGCATGTGATGGGTGTTTTAGAAACTCCATGGTACCATGTATTTTAAGGCCTCAATCCTGAGGAACACCAGCATAAATGAAACAAAACTATGTCACAGTACCCAAAGTATTAATGTTTCAGGTAACTGATCAGTTACATTTTTTGTTTTGCGTGTGTTTGGGCATCAGTTTTCATTTTGATTAAAAACTTGCTTTGCACACCAATTCTGTAGTCCCTTCTACATCTAAAGACATCCAGGACATAGTTACAATGAAGTTCAGCTTGCCATGGAAAAGGATAACTTAAAAGCAAACAAACAAAACAATAGTAGTAGTTATCCAGGAGAAAATAGGATAGAAAAGAGAAATGAAAGCCAGATATGAACTCTAGGGAAAGAAAAACCAGTTTCTTACTAGAGGTGAGGCAAAACGAAAAGAAAAAAAAAAAAGCACTGCCTGAAATGAAGAGGGGATGCCAGGTATGCCAAAAACTGGTGAAGTGTACAGAAGGCAGACTGACTAACAATGTATAGTGGGTATTGATTTAGCAGCGTTTTAGTGAAACAATAATCAGCTGATTCTTAAACTTGGAGTTTTCTGAATGGTTGATGGTAAACCAGAACAAAAGTGTGGTAGATGCTGAACTTGGCTATGTACCTTCTTATGTATACAGTTAATTTGGTCTTGGGAGTGTATGTTGCATCACATTTTTGCTTTGTTTTTCTTTGGACAGGGATTCTTTTCCATTTGATCAACAATTTAACATTTTGATGAGGTTTATTGTGGATCAGACCCAAACACCAAACCTCAAGGTCTGTATCAAATATCAAACCTTTTCAATGAAGTGTAAGCATGGTCATCTTAGTTTACCTTGTCAGGTATAATGAAAACACAATTTGTGACAAGATGACTAATTGTCAGCATCTTATGCTACTAAAGATGATATCAGCAGCTTTGTTTAAATTTTTGCAGTAATTTGCATACCTTGTCAAAGAAGAAACATAGTTTCCAGAAACCTGACCATATCCTCAGATGACTTTTGGTGATACTGAGGTTGTCTGTATTTTTCTTAAATATCTAAATCTATAAAGATAGCCATGGTGAGATTTAGAAAAGAGTTGTTTTTGTTACTTCAGCAGGAGTAGGCTATCAGTATACTTCTGAAAATTGCACTCTCTAGTTTCCTATATTAATAAATCTAAATTTTTGAAAAATAAGGCTTTCTCACTTATCACAAATCAGTAAGTGTTGGGCTTTAGGCACACTAAAAAGTATTGAAGTTTTGAAATTGGCAATTCTTATCCTGATCTTGATGAGAAACCTGCCTGTGCAGGACAGCAAAGACCAGGGTCCCTCTGGACAGTGATAGGCTTGAAAACGCTTGTTGGACAGAACCCATGGAGTCCACGTAGAATTTGGAGAAGATGCAGAGCTTTCTGTTAATGAATCCTTTTAAGAGGGTATTGCTGTGCAGATTGTTTTTCAGGAGGCTGCTGTTTCAAGGCTATGGGAACACCATAAACTCTGGAAATCATATGAAACTGCAGCACTTGAAAATGTTCCATACTGTTGGAAACAGTGTGGTGGAGTACTCACATGCTCACACTAATGCACAAGCAGGCATGTACATATTTTGAGCCTATTTTGATGGACCATTCCAGACAAAATTTTTTTTGTGTAGGAAGTTGTATTTGGTTTTGATAACTGACATAGAGATGCAGCAGGGGAATGTTTTTTTTTCCCCAGTGTGATACAGGTCTTGTCAATCTGTAGCAATATCTGTTTATTATAGGATAATTCTATTTTTGCTAGCTTGTGGGATTAATGGATACCTTTTCATTTCTCAGGTGAAAGTAGCTATCCTGAAATATATTGAATCCTTGGCAAGACAGATGGATCCAACAGACTTTGTGAACTCTAGTGAGACAAGACTTGCTGTGTCTAGAATTATAACTTGGACAACAGAACCAAAGAGCTCAGATGTGAGAAAGGTAATCCAGAATAATGAAGTATTTGCAGTCCTTATTCTTCCAAAAAAGGAAAAACAAATAAAAACTACAACAAAGAACCCCCCACAAGTTAACTGATCATAGAGGTAATTAAAAATTAATTAGTTAGATTTTTACATACCTTAACTTCCAAACTGAATTGCCAATTAAATAGACTCAGCCATGTAACTTCAGCTACTATTTCTGTGCAAAAAGGGAAGAGAGTTTGAAAATATACTTTTTATGAGCAGTCTGAAAATATCTGTAGGTTCTTGTTTGTTTGCTTGCTTTGTAGACTGAAATGAAATCTGCACAAATTTTGTCTTGCAATACTGTTAAAAGAAAGTAAACAAATCAGTAAGCTGCCAAGGGCTCTCAGCTTTTTTCTTTTAAAAACTTCATGTTTTTCTCAACCTGGAAAAATAATGGCACATTTAGGTCAGGCTTAGATAATGCAGTTAACTTCTTCCTTTTCTTGCTATAGATGCAAGTGCCAAGTAAGCTAAAATGGAGCAGATAGTGATACTCATCTCTCCCAAGAGAAAAGTGAAACTTTGTTTTATGTACCTGGCATCTGTAACACAGTTTAAAATTAACTCCAATTCCCAGCCCAGATGTAGGTAAGATTCCAGTAGGAGTTGTAGGCTTTGAAATGTTCTTGAGTTTAATTTAAAAAAATCCCAAACAACTTTAATGATATCAGAGTATAAAAACTGTATGAAGTTTTTATGCTCTACATGCACGTAGTACTGATTTAATGCTAGAATAGTACTATTTTATAACTTTGGAAATGAAATTATTTTTGTTGATTATTCAGTTCTAATGAAATGATCACTGAGTATCAAAGCTGCTGAAGCTGCAGTGTTGTCATAGCTCACCCAAGAATTCAGAGAAGGTTTTTGAGTGCAAACTGTTTGCTTTCTGGTACACTTGACTATATGTCTTATCTGCTTTTAGAAGACTTTTTGCAGGTTTACTTGCACTAGCATGACTGAAATTTGTTTCAAGGTAATCCAACTTAGAAAATAAAGTGACATTAAGTCTTAGAATTAAATTTGGAATGTGTATTTCTATTACGATACTTTTGTATATGAAGTCAGAATTAAAAGGGAAGAGACCACTTTTGTTACAGTTCAAGTAAACCCTAGGCAGTTTACTCTGGTAGTTGCAGGCAAGAGGGAGCTGTAAACTAACTAGAGTGACACTTTGGAAAGTAAATTTCTGCATATTGCTCAGTGGAAGAAATATTCCACCATTAGGGGTCATCATTGCTGCATGAAAAATTGAGTAAAGAGTGTCTCTGCAGCAGCTGAAATTTTGAATGTCAGTTGTGAATCTGTGGGATGTGGGGCGTGTGTGTTCACAGTGCAGTGACTGTCCTTCTGTCTGCCTCATAGACCTGCAGCAAGCTCCACGCGAGTGGGACCTGGGCAGGTGCCTTGGAAGTGATAAGAGATGGCCAAATCTAAATTCTCTTTATTAAATCTGCGTGTGACTTAGATTTGTCTCTGCCTGTAGCTTTTTAATTATAGTGCAGTTAAGCTAACTTAGGGTACTAAAAAGGAATGCACAGGTGATCTTTATTACATCATACAGTTGCTGTACTATGATTTTATTAAGAACATCTTGCAAACTACAGGCTTTAGAAGAAACAATGCGGCAAAGGATTTATAAGCGATCATTGGCCATAATCTCTGTCATGACTATAGTTAACACACTAATAAATTCATTATGCAGTAACAAACTGGATTATCAAGGACCAACCCAGACAGGTGAAACGTTCTGAAGAACATTCAAAAAAAAAAAAGTCCTCAATTTTTGAAGACTATAACTGGAGCGAAAGGTACCACTTTTTATATCAAGAAGATTCATTTAGGGGGTGGGTCATAACTTTTTTCCTTGTGGAAGGTATCGCTATAGAACACTTTCAAGGTTTGAAGTTCTCTAAATGCAGAGCAGGCTGTGCAGTTGAAACTCTTGTCAAAATATAACCTTGGAGGCAGCAGTTGAGTTTATGGAGTAGGAGGGACAATTCAGACTCCAAACGATTAGGTGCTGCAAGAGGTGTGTAACAAATGCAAAAAGGCACTTTTTCAGTCAAATCTAGCTTTCAGATAATCCTTGCAACTGACTCAAGTGCTCAGGAGGAAACAGTTGTGTATGTGATGATCATGGAGGTCCCAACCCTATAGTGTTAAGGCACCGGAGAAAATTAGAACAGAAAGTGGCATCCAGTCCAAAGACCATTTTTAACTGAACAGTACATATTCTATTAATAAAACCTTGCATATTCTTATGATGACTACTTAAGCACACTTAATGAGCCAACTTAACCTGTCTGACTTGAACTCCAGATCATGTTTTATAGCAAGTGAAATCATAAAGAAACAAAGTCAGAGGAAATGCTGTTGTGCAGAAGTCAGCTTGTTCTCGTATGGAACAATAACCTCTGTTATCACACAAAAAAACTATGAAGTACTTTGTGAAAAGCAGAGTTGATATGGACCAAAAGTCATGATCCCCTCTCAGGGTAGAAACCATTTAAGCTGTTGACAGTAGCAATGAATATATGGTCGAAATTACTGTCAGGCATTATGTTTAAACTGAGGTGATCTGCAATGTGCTACGGGTAAATATTTGTTTTGTTTTAAAGATTGTTAATACTTCTGGATGTTTACCTTGCATTAAAGTTAAGATTTACTTCCTGCAAACAGTAGAAGAAAGGTGAAATACATTTGTACTTTGTGCTGAACAAAAGGTAGAAGCAGAATATGCTGCATTGCATGGGAAACTGAGATGCAGTTCAAGTGTTGCCCTTCTCTGCACGTTCAGCTGAATCCTGCTTTTTCCCCAAGCAAGGATGCACCACTGGGCATGGCATAGGAAAAACAACTCAAAATGGTGACGTGACGCTGGTAGTAATGGATGGTTTGAGGACATTGTCAGTAACCACCGTGCATCCACTAATGTTGCTGGTGAAGTTATTGTACATTCTTCACGTAGGTGAAATTCTGAATTGGAGTAACGTTATTGGACTTTGTGTGGGAAAATACTTTGTTCTTGGAGAAGAGCCCATCAGTTTAAGAATGGAAATTAGATTGAGGCCTCTAATTGGACTCTGGCTGATTAACTGAAGGATTGTTTCTGAGATATAGCAGAAGATGAGGAAGACTTCAGAGAAGAAGCTGCAGGTCAACAAATTATTCATATGCTCAAACAGCTAATGAAGATAAAATTTCTTTAACCAGTAGTCCTCAATATCATTTCTCAAGAAATATTGGTATTATCACTTTAAAAAGGAGATGATGTCTAAAACATGAAGAAAGTTTTAGATAGCATAGATCATTTAGGTGCTGCTGTGGTGTCTGCACCAGGACCAGCAATAGATTGGCAGACACTGCTAAGGGAGTGAAATTGGACTCCTTTGCAGCTTGATGTCATGAAGCCTCTAAAGCCTCTGCTGGAGCTGTAATCTTTTAGTGGTGTCAAGCAGTTCTGAGACAGAAGTTTGCGTGAAAGCATGCCCAAAGCCTCCCATTGAGCTCAAATGGCGTTATTTGCCTGTTACAGTAATAGTGACACAAAGGGCATTTGCAGGAATGCTTTTGAATGGCAGATCATTTCAGTATTCGCCAGTGGGCTGGGCCTTGCCTTTCTGGTTTGGAGAGCTCTCCAAAATTCTTGCAATATCCTTACAGCATGTAATGTCTCACTGACCCCCACAAGTAGCTGATTTACCAGAGAGAATGAGACCTTAAGCTTATGGAAGAACTGTGCCCATATGCTGAGTTCAACCTTTTTGTCAGCAGATGTTCCTAAAGAAGTCAAATTAGATCTCAGTGCAAAAAGGAGCTTCGTTTAGGCATTTTAATAGTTGGAGTTAAGGAAAATAGAGTAATGCATTGTAAGTGCCACTTGGTGGACTTCAGTGTTTACTTAACTTAATGCTGTTAGAACAGAAAGGATCTTGGTGTCCTAACTATGTTTCCAAAACAGTAGCCCTCATTTTGTTTGTTTTGAATTTGATGCTACAAAGCTATGAGAACCCAAATATTTTTAGTGTACTTAGTGTAAGGCAAATTGTTTTTCCAAGCATCAGTTGCCAGAAAATCATCACATGCTTTGTTGGAAACATGGTATCAGGGGTAGGTTTTCTTAAAGTGAATCTCTTGGATTTTCACAGCTTCATTAGCATCCTTTGAGCTGGAAGCAGTTTTAGTATGAGTAGCTATCTTTTCTCAATTTGCTTCAAACAATAAGAGCCTACTGTCTGATAATAGGAGATAAGAAATTGCTTCATAGGATGTGTATACTCATGCTTATATTATGTGTCTGGGCATAACATGTTTGTGTACATGCCATGTATATAGAAATATATGCACACCTGTGTGGTTATAAGCGACAGGTCTGTTTGGAAAACCAGGATTTGAAACTTCTTGCAGCTTAAAGGGTGTGTTTTTGTTGCAAGCAGAACTTCAGAAACTCCTCTTCCTCTTTAACTTATATGTGGGAATCTCCCCCTCAGAGTTCAGAATTGCATCGTGCCAGACTTACTTTAACAGTTTCTCAAATCTTTTTCTGCTGTAAATGCCACGTTATATGGAGCAAAGATAATCAGGCTAGTCTTCAACAGCCTGACTTCTGGGATAGCATCTGGCTCTGTAGAAGTAATGAACGTTTTTGTCAAAGTCTTTGCTATGATCAGGTGACAACAGAGAACATAAGGATTCTTAATCTATTATAGATTTGTAATCAGAATGTAATGATTCAGTGCTGTGCAGTTTTATCTGGCATCTGTTTGAGATGTCTTTGACACATGTAATACAACCATCCAGGACTTGCAAAAACTTCTCATGTATAAAATACTGTATAAAACAATAACAATGTGGACTTAGTCTGTATATGAATTCTATATGTAAATCTGATTAAAAACAATTTCTTCCCTTTTAGGATGCAGATGTAGAGAGCATATTCTAATATAAATCATGGGAAAATTGAGTTATGTACGAATTGATGAAGCCATTGTATCATAGTACTCTATCAGTGATGTGGATGTCTATATTCATCTGATTATAGTCTCACAAAAGAACCAGGAGGAGGTTTGGTTTGGCAGATAGCTTGTTTGTTTAATGCCAGCTAACACTTAAATGTCTGCTGGAAAATACACAGAATAACACTTGTTTAGAGCCTGTAAACACTCTGTGGATGTGAATTAACTCACTTAGCATCAGCTGTGCTCATCGGAGAATTGAAACATTGTCCTATGCCAGTGTGTGCTAATGCAAGCTGCTTAATGTCACTGATGCCTCCCCATCTCTGTGGATCTGTACTGGGTCTGCAGTTCAGTATAATTCCAAGGGACGTGTGAGAGAGTGTTTCTCTGTTCCAGTCTGCCTTATTAATGCATCTGCCTTGGACTGGATGGTGAAATTAATAATGCATATAGAGTGTGATTATAATTGTCAGAAGTTGGCTTTGAAACTTTCCCAGACCAATCACATCATAAAAGGCATCTGTAGCTAATGATGGTCTATTAGACAAATTACCAAACTGGAGTCCAGGAGCTTGCAAGTTCTCAGCTGTTTCTTCCTCTCTTTCTTCCTCCTGAGAGATGCATCCACAAGGATAGGTGTGGGCAGATGGCACCAAGATGACATGGGAGCTGGCATCTCAGTCCAGCGTTTTGCTGGGGCTCTGCACTTCTGGTGGTTGTGGAGGTCATCAGCAAGGTGCTAAAACAAAGCCTCGCAGGAGCACTGAGGGATGATACGTATGGATGAGAGTTGTGGCTGAATTTAATTTTCAGCCAGCGCTGCCCTCTGCTGAAAGAAATGCATTTTTGGTTGAATCAAATATTGATGCTTTTTGCATTTTCAAATAAGGCAAGCCACTGGTTAAACTCATCTGCAAAAAGATAGCATGTGTACTGTTTAAATGATTTAGTTGAAACCTATGCCTTCTCTTAATACCACCTTTCCTGTTTATCAAACCCAGACCATGCATAGTTGGGTAGGTGAGGATTTGCCAGCTAGGACAACTACAGCTTCTTCAGGGCCCGGTGAAGGAAACTTGGAAGAAAAATGTAAACAGGTAGACTAAAAGCTGTGTGCACTAATCACACTAATCTTGTTTGCAGTTGCCACTGTCTAGCTGTGTAAAGAGGCCTTGACTGGGGGCCTGAAAAAGTGTCCGTGTGTGAAATAATTTTTGGCTTTCTGCTTTTCTGTTAACCCCTGTTTTTGTATCTCAGAAACGGAGTTTGGGGTTCTCTTCATTTATGGAGGTCACAATGTAGTGAGCTCATCACTGCTATAGGTTTGAGTAACTTGAAAACTGTGTTCAGATAGTTCAGGCAGGTGGCTGCTTATTCTGCTTGGTTGTTAGCAGACCAGCTGCAGCAGCAATCACCAGGCTCTGGTATTAATTAAGTTTAGGTCACTGATTGTATTTTCCCTTCACATTTCTCCAGTTAGCCCGATCCTTTTGCTTAATGAGCCCAAATTGCTTCAAAGAGTCTTTAATGTTTCAACTAATTTGCAGAGGTTACTAGATTCTGATAAACAAATCAAAAAACCACCCCCATCAAGTTGCTAAAGCACTTGTGTCCATTGAGCAGCTGGCGGTTAGACAGCATGACTTCTGCGTTGGCATAAGTATGAAATCTGGGGAGCTGTTGCCAGCTGGTGGAACCTGATCCCCTGCTGCATTGTTCTAAGGAAAATAACAGAGTTACATAAGCAGCCCTTCGCAAATGATTTGGCAAACTGACATGGAGCCAGACCCCCTCACTAGCACAGACAGGCTCTGAATTGACTGGAGTTCCTCTAGCTCAAGCTAGCAGAGAACTGCCTGGTTAAGATTAGGTCACCTATAGAGTCTGTGTTATTTGTCACTGATAGGAGATGGATTAGCATTCCTCACTAATGGTGTGGGGATACAAAGGCAGAGGAAAATTCTGTTACTGCTCTCTTCTAATTATATATCATCAGGCACGCGTGCTGCATGGAGGATGTTGTGTACAGAAATGAGGGTTTTGTTATTGCCTGTTTCTCTCTACCTCTTTAGTAATGTAAAGAAACAAGCAGCAAGATTTTTGGAAGTAACCAGTGGTTATAAATACATTCTATAGTCTGTCACAGGCTGAAAATCCACAGATTTTAAAGCTCAAAAGTGTTAGGGAAAAAAAAATCCTTTGACTAAGTATATACTAGATGAGGACTACTTAAAAGCAACACAGCCAAGATTAACCCACATAACTCTAGTGCTGCTTTTGAGAGCTTTGCTGGAGCATCACTCAGGCTGTAAGTAATACTTGGCTTTTTTTCAAAAAATGTAGACTGTAGGTCTGCTTTCTTTTGGGCCACATAAGAGTACCAGCATTGTGAGCTGCTGCTCAATCCTCCATTCAAAGCCCAGTGACCTACTTGCAGGCAATAACAAAGCTGAAGAGCACAGTATACACAAAATACTGGCAGACGAGCAAACATTTCTAAAAACAAACTGTAGTTTGTGCAAAGAGGGAGTGTGGACAGAGTTCTGCTTACATTAAAGCCAGCACAAAAAACTAAAATGGAACTGAAGTGATTTCAGGGAGCCAGTACTTCTTCCAGATACTCCTGCAGTACAGCAGCTGAGCTATCAGTGTTCAGCTGTAAGTTTTAGGTAATGCTCTGCTTCAAAGTGAAGCCTCAGGGTGTCACATAGTCCCTGATGGAGCTTTGGTGAAGGATTTGCTCAGAGATGAGATGCGCTTATACCTCTGGCAAACGACAAGAAAGATAACTTCAGAAATAACATGTGTTGGAGTGCACATACTTTTGTGCCTTTTTTGCTGTTTTTACACAGGAGTTTTCCAAGGATGATCTTTTTTTAACCCATCGATGAGAGATGTGTGGAACCAAAGGTATCTTGAATTCTTTCCTGCCTCACTGTACCTTGGGCAGCACCCGACTGCTAGAATATCTCCAGATATTCTAGTTTTTGAGCAATCTTTAAACCTGGGAACCTTCTTGATCAGTTTTCCTGTTTTTCTGATCCTTGTGAACATGTGATCTGCTTGTTCTGACACAGAAGATCTGCATGTCCATTTCCTAACAGTCCAGGATGTGCATGGCATTCACAAGTGGGAATGTACTTTGGCATGACTTGTCACTTTGCATTCAGTTCAACGTGCTGATCTGAGATCTTGTCTGTAGTAATATTTTCATTACAGAAAATACTGTGTTGGTGAAAACTTACTGGATCAAAACTTGACAGAAATACAGATGCCTGTTGGATACCTTGCAAACTTCATGACAGAATTGCCCAAAACTCAGGCCAAAGGACAGTTGAGTCTGAGAAGCTAAGCTAAGCCATGGGGGAAAATTATCTCCCAACTTCTCATCCTTAGAATAAAGTGTAAAGTGAATAATGATATGCTGTGTTTCTGTTCAAGTCAAAGGGGTTTTGGTAGAATGCAGCATGATCTGTATGAAACGAAGAGTCTGAAGACCTGTTCATTGCAGTCCATGGAAAGAAAGCTCGTTAGGTGTTGTGTGCCTCAGTTTCTTTGTTGGCTATATGAAAGGATATTAATAAACTTTGAAATCTACAGGTGGAAAATGTTTTTTTTTTTATAAGCAAAGCTGTGTTATTGCAAATTGACCAGATGAGTAAAAGGATCATTGTAGCTCAAACTGCAATTTGCATACTGAAACAATGAGGTACTTTGATGCTTCTCCACCCTGAAAGGGTTTCTGTGTACCCAAGTTCATCATCTGATAATGGATTCCACTTCACAGGGAGCTGCAGATACACTTAATTATCACAACTTTATAGATGCATTATTTACTAAAAGCTCCTTTTCCTTTGAGTTGATGAGAACAATGAGCATACAGTTATTACCACAATAGTGAATTATATTTTTGCCCTCTTTAAAATTATTTTTTATTCTTAAGGAGTCTTGGAAAATTCCCAAAAGGGTGAGACACGAGTGTCTGCTCTTCCTAAGCGTGTATGCTGTTCCAAAATAAAAACTCACATAGCTTCATTTCTTTGTTAGTCTAAGCTACTGCTTTTGTATTAAGATAAGTATTCTAGAGATTGGGATGTAGCCACTGACATGAGCTGGAGAAGATGGTGCTGCAAATCATCAGAGGTCCTTCACTGTTGTTTTATTTTGACTGTTCTTAGAATGAGTTTTTATGTTGTATCTTCGTATCTTCTCAATATAGTGTACATTTACTAATGGAGTTAGTGGAGAACCTGTTCTGGCAGCCAATCTTCCAGGTAGATAGGTTAAAACATTTTCTGGTGAAATGGTCAGTTGTTTGATTTTACTTACTGAATTCAGGAATCTGGTTGGCTTTAACCTGTACAAGGATTAGGGAAGGATTCTTCTCACCATCCTGGTAGGTCTTCCAGTTAAGCCAGAAGCTTGAGCTGTTAAAACAGCCACACAGCAGTGAAGCAGGAGGAAGTGAGAAAGCAGGAGCAGGGATTGTCTGATGAAACGAATTTATTGGATCCTTAAGTGGAGGAGAGGTTGTGTGGGAAAGGGGCTAGTCTCTTTTTCACTTGAAGGTAGGAAGTATGGGAACGACAAATTGTAGTCCCAAATTCTTTGTTATCTGAACTCTTGGTTTTTGATTCTTGAAATTTTTTGCAGTAACTTTTCAATGGAAGTATGTGCTGGATGGGAGAATGGTTAGATTTTCTCACTTGCTGTGAGATAGTACACCTGAGTACACTGTACAGATCTGAGAAATGGAATAAATGTAGAGGTGTATTGTAAGCTTGAAGCTCAGAAGGTGTAACTCTAACAGTAATTTCTTGTGACACACTGCAAGGTACGTCAGAAGCTGAACATGGGAATCTTCTGAACTAAAACTTGTATAATTTGCCATAAGAATTGTTACCAACAAATTGTGTACTTGAAATAGAAACTAACATTATTTTCTTCTTTTCAGGCAGCGCAAATAGTCCTGATTTCTCTCTTTGAACTGAACACTCCTGAGTTTACCATGTTACTTGGTGCCTTGCCAAAAACATTCCAGGATGGTGCTACCAAGCTCCTGCATAACCACCTCAAGAACTCCAGTAACACCAGTGTGGTGAGAGGCCCATGTTCTTGCAAACAGCAGAGCCTCAAAAACTGCAGCTCACTGAAAAGCTATTGCAGATGTCCAATAGCATGCACTATCAGTAGCTGTTGTCTTGAAGTAGTGTATCAGCAGAGGCTTCTGTTTGATGTTACTTTAATGAGTCTGTTAAAACAAATAATTCAGTTATTTTTAATATAGTGCTTGCTTATATAATTTTAGAGAATGTTAATGGAGAATTAATTTGCTTCCAGATATTTTTTTTCCCCTCAGCAACAAGGAGTTTTTAGGGGTGTGGATTTTTTGCCTTTTTTTTGTGCATGGAAATCTTGTAAAGTGTGCTGGAATTTGAACCCTCTCATCTTTGCCCTTCCATAGGGACAATAGTCCTTTGTGTAAACTCGAATTGCAGCATTAGGCTTCCAAGGGGAAGGACTGGATTCTCTAGTCCCTTCCACCTCGTTTATCTTCCTCTTCTGTGGAGTGAGTCAGATTTGGGAATGGTTTCTACTCATTTTTCCTGTGCTATAAATTATTATGCAGGCCAGTGGAAAAATAAGTTAATTGATTGTGCTTGTTAAGATCATAAGCAATCAAAATGCTTTAGACAATGTGTAAAATAGCTGCATAATTAAGTTGCTAAATTGACAGAGTAATGGTCTGCATAATCTGAAGCTGAAAAAATAGTGTCTGAGAAACTGGGTAGTTTGGTGAATTGATAAACCATTTTCCTGGCAGTATTTGCAGGCCATACATGCTGCAAAGTTAAAACCGCTGGTTCTGTGAATAATAGAGAGGTACACATGTGCTTCTTCGTCCTCTGAGCACAGTATCATTAAGAATACATTACTGACATGATAAACCATGGCTGCAGATTTTTGGGTTAAGAACAAGAGTAAAAAAACTGCACCAAGCTTGTCTACCACAAAGGCAGTGTTTGAAGCTGTTGCTGCTGTTGTGTGCTGCTGTTTGTGTGTTGCAACATGTTGCTAATCCCTGTTTTCCTGTTTCTGTACCAGGGTTCCCCCAGCAATACTCTTGGTAGGACTCCCTCTCGGCACTCCAGCAGTAGAACCAGCCCCTTGACTTCACCTACCAACTGTTCCCATGGTGGGCTGTCCCCAAGGTAATGTGGCAGGTTAATTAAACCACTTAAATGTTAAAGGATTTCAACACGGAGCATGCATGATGCAAAATATGACTCACTTTGAAAACAAACGAGAGATCAGAAGTTTACGGTAAACTGTTCCAAAGGAGCAGGCTTTAAACATGATAGTACATGGTTGGTGATTGACTTCATTGTTTGAGTCCTCATGTTGATCTGCGTAATCTCAGTGTCGGTTCTCATATTAATTCTTTCATAACCAGGCCTTCTCCAGAATCACATTTGTGGATTTAATAAAGGTAATACTAAATGGCAGCATTAGTGATGAGGTGTTGTGTAGGTTGCAAATATCACAAAGTATGTAAGACTTTCAAGTCATGAGTTTCAGTTGCTGGTTTTTGGGTGTGCTGTTATGTTCAGTAATTTACTTCACTATTGCAGTGCTTGTACTGCAGAGAGAAATGCTGAACTTCCCCTGTTCCTCTTTTATGTTTTGTTGAGGATGTAAAATACAGGTCATGACTGTATTTCAGTGCTGACCACCTCACAAATCTCCTCCCCCCTTGGTCACCAGCAGAGTAGCATCCTGATCCTTTGGGCAGTATGTCTCTTGCAATCAGGTGTCTTACTGAAGCTGCAGGTGCTACCCTAGAATATATTAGTCCTCTCCAAAACCTTTTATTCTGTAAACATGAGCTCCTGCATGCTGAGAGTATGATTTTATTTTTTTTTGGTATCAGAAAATCTTAGAGCAGAGATTATATGGATTTAAACAGTGTGCTCTGGGACCTTAGAAATATGGGATGTATTAGGTTGTTCCCTGGTCATGCTTTGATGATTTATGCTGGGAAAGCTTAAATGCCCTGCCTCATTATGAAAAGTCACTTTGCTGTGGCTGAAGCAGAAACAGAAGGAAACATACTGGCAAGAATGGCAATTCATAGTCCAGTTTAGTAATTTACACTGAAATCTGTTAATCAGCCCTGTCATGACTTGCTAAACAGTATCCATAGGGGATGCTTAGCGCTTGACTTCCATGTGTCAGAAAAATGCAGGTTGTTTGCTTTTAATGAAGTAGTTAGACTATTCCAGCAGTGTATGGGGAGGACATAAAGTTTCCTGAGGAAATTCTGTGTATCTGAATAAATCTTTGTAATCCTAAATCTGATGTAATCCAAAACCAGATTGAAAGTTTGCAAGTCAAGGTCGAGTTGCCTATTATGAGGCTTTTCAACAATGGTTTCATTAAGAAATTAAGTGATAGAGTTTCAGGGCAATGGTTCCAACAATGTTGCTTCCTTTTCTACTAGCTTGAGTATTGTTTCTCTCCTGATTGATATTTGTCACTGGAATTACAAACAGATTATATCTCCTGATGGTTACGTTGAAACTTTGTGAGCCACTTTTGCAAATGGCATCTTTTTTGTAAATTTATGATCTTTTGCCATGCTTTTTGGGTTTTGCCACTGTGACATGACTTGTTTTAACTCACTGCTATTCTGTTTAGCTTTATGTTTTTATTACGTCTTGATGTCAGGTTATATATATCAAGATGCAGATTAAAGCTTTCATCATCTACACAATTTAGTGTTGCTCTTTCCAAGCCTTTGGGGGTTAGCAACTGGAGAGTTTATTACATGGGATATGTTATAAAGGAATGGTTAGAGAGGACATTTAATTCTAGAACGTTCTGCCATTAAGTTGTGAAGACCAGTTGTTACTGGTATACTGATCCAGGAATGTCCTTTCAAAATCAATAATTCCTTTGATTTTCTATGGAATTCTTGAAGTTGTTGACCCCAAAGTTTAGGTGTCTTTTCAATTAGCGTGTCTTGATTTGTTGCTGGATTTAGTTAAGACTACGTAATAATTACTGTAGGTAAAGGTGGAAGTTGCTTTAAAAGCCATTTAAACTAATCAGGAAGAACTTCCACCTTTTTTGTAACCTGTAGGCAATAGCAATAGCTGCGGATTTTTACCAGTTGTAGAAAAGGCGGTGGCAAGTATTACAAATCAGTGGCAGTAGTTTATGACATTCTGTTGGATTGCATCACTGTGTCTTGTGCAGCACACTTTGAGGTCATGACTTACTGAACAAGGGAGAACTTAGTTCTGTTTTTGGAAACTGTATGGTGGTTCTTTAAGAAAAAAAGGCCTTGGAAGATGTGCTGACGAATAGATGTTGTGAGTAGGGTACGTTGTGGTATACCAACATGATGTTGGTATAGATGTTTCTATGTCATCTTTCCATTATAAGAACTTGTGGTTTGCAATTCAGCTTATGGTATAGAATGTGAATTTTCTATCTACGAACTTGAAGAACTAGCAGACCCAAGTCATTATGGTAGCAGTCTAAAAGGATGAAGTTATCACTGTTTCTCTGTATAGCCCTTCTTTGAACCAGGTTTTGATCATACCTTCTATAGGACCCATTCCCAAAATGTAGCAAGGTTGTCTGTGCAGTGTTCTGTTGCCTGCTTGCCCTGTCCATGCCTCTGCCTTGTATAGGCAACTTGAGTGCAGTCCAGTTGAAAGATTATCTCCAGTTCTTAGTGCCAGCATTGGCTTGAAGGTTTTATTTTCCTTTGAACTTTCTCTTGATACACAGATTGGAAGAGTCGTATTTAGAGCCATGTGTATTTTTGGGTTGGATATCTAATCTTCCATGTAAAAAGGATAGTTTGGGTTGCCTAGAAATATACATATGTATATTAGTGTCTTCAGAAGGTTAACGTGGGGCTTTGGACAGAGCCCTTCCTTATGCTTTCATTTGCTCCATCCTGTTCTGCTTTCATAATGACTAGAATATATCCACCGCATCTGTAAGTTGTTTCTGCAATTGTACCTACTTTTGTTGTCCAGATAGCTTTTTGGGAGGGAAGTTACAGAGCAAGAGAGATCCTTCTGGAGAAGAAAAGCAAGGAAGATGCATGGGAAAACTGAAATGATAGGGAAAAAAAACCATATTTCTGAGGAAGAATAATGAATGTTTCCTGGGCAATGCACAGGTGAATGGCTTGTGTTTGTGTTGGATGCAGAACATTGCAGATTTAGTAATGTGGTACAAGAGGAAAAATACTAAGCTAAGAATTCCTCCAGTGTGTGAATGCTGTTTTGAATAAGAAAACGTCCTCGGTGAGCTAAGAAGTCACATACAGGTTGTGAATTTTCACTTACAATCCATTAGGAATATTTGAAGGAATTATATCAAATGGATAGGTTTGCCTTTATTAGCAGCCCAGAAACTTGTGCATAGTTGGGGAAAAAAAAAAAAAGCTGATGGTTTTATTTGGCCATGAAAGCTGTATACGCTTGCTTTTTCACTGAAAATAAAAAATACCATTAAAATAAAGTTTAATGACATCTATATTAAATTGAGCAAGGCAGGACATGGAAAAAGAATTAAAATAAACCACCCACCTTATCCAAAAAAAAAGACAAACCTGCATTATTCAGCGGCCCATTTGCAGGTAGGTGTGATCTTGAGCTGTGAGATTTCTAATCAGCATTCTGAATGTCTGGTGCATTTCTGTAGTAGTTGAATGTAAAAGCTATGGTTTTAATTGCTGGTTAACATGTGAACTTGACATCACACTTAGATGAGTTTTCAACTGGCATTGTTGCTGTTTGTGCTGAAGCAACTCTCAACCTGTTTGCCACATCTGATCTTGTAGCATCTTTCACTTGTGTATACTCGTGACTTTCTGAGACGACTATGCTTAATTTTAATAGAAACAAACTGGCATGCTGAATATTCCACGAGCTCAAACATTTGTATTGTTTAGAAGATGATTTTGATAATTCCTGTGACACAGGGAACAAAGCAAAAGTAAAAACTAAACATATTCAGACAAATTTGGTTGCCTTGACCAAAGGTGCAGTGCCAGATGGTAACCAAGAGGCCCCTGTAGAGGTTTTGAGAGAGTTTGAGTCTGGGTTTCATTCACTCTTTCCAAGTTGTCTGCAGAGACAAACAAACTCCTGCTTTACCTGTGACACATCTGTGCTCTAGACTGATTTTCATTTATTTTATGAAGTTCAGTTTCAGCTCTCCTATCTTTCAGGAAATTCCGTTGCTTGCAAATACCTGCATAGAATTTGAATACAGATGTTTGGTCAGGGATTGTTCACTTAAAACATTTTAAGTGGTGTTTGTAGAGACTGTATCTATTTATGCAATTTAAGAGGGACTATTTTGTGTGAGCCGTATCTTTATGGTAGAAAAAAAAAAAGTGAAAATAAAGGCCAAAGCAATGACTTAAGGGGCTCAGTGGAGTATTCTTGTTTAATTTCGTTTCTATTAATTTTTTTCTCTCTTCAAGGCAGCATGACAGCACTAAGCCACTCAGATTATAGTTTCTTTTTTTTTCTCCCTCTCCTTTCTCTGTTTTTCTCTTTCGTTTCTCTGATCACTGCAGTCGGTTCTGGGGTTGGAGTGCAGATGGGCTGTCGAAGCACCCCCCTCCCCTTTCTCAGCCTAACTCCATCCCCACCGCTCCTTCCCACAAGACTTTCAGACGCTCTTATTCTCCCAGGTAACAAGCTACCTGTTAAACCAACTTGTCTGAGATGTCACAGTACTATTTACCTTTCATACTTTATAATTTGTTCAAGCATAGGAACTGATTTCCAAAGGCTTCGATTGAAAAAGAAATTGGGATGATGTTAGTTCTCAGACTGGGGAGATGAATCAGCCACTTGCTCTCTTTGTGAGGGAGATGTGGCATGCCAGTGGAAAAACAAAGTGATTTCTTCCAAATGAATTTCTCCTTGCTGGGTTTCCTGAATGCAGAACACAATTGTTGAGCACTTTCTGTATGCACTTGTTGTGATGGCAGTTTCCCATCTGCAGTGGTATCTGGCAGCCAGTGAGGGTGATGTGTATGTGATTCACCAGCTGTTTGCGTGATGATTGTGGAACATCTTGGAACTGTGTAGTATGGAAATTAGTTGTACTATGTGCCCTTCCCACAAGATTTAAGGGATTGACAGTTAATTTTGATCACTGTTCCTCCTCTTGTACACTCACATTTTATTCCCGTCTGTTTGTAGATACTGAACCTATGTACAAAACTAAAACTCAATACTTGTTTTGATCAAAAACCAAATTTAATTTGCCAGATGTCTGTTAGATTGCTTGGATTATTAGAAAGTTTAAACCCTATCAGAAGGCTTTCTGTGGATGTGATTTATTTGGACTTTAATGTGAGTCTCACTTGAGGAAGGGCTATATCATCTTCCCTCAAAGAAAGAAGTTCCTAACTGGAAGATGTTGAAGCCAAACCAAACAAATAGTTCTTGGAAAGCTGGAAATCTGGGAGTCTGTGACAACTGAGATAGGAAATAGAATCACACATTCTGTGTCCCTGTGAATACCAGAAGATGTAAAACATGAGATCAATATTCAGTTTCTGTTCTAGGACCATCTGTGACAAATCTGTGGAAGAGGTTAATGTTGATTTGGACTGGGGCAGGGGGCTTATGCTAGTTAAGAACAATTTTTTCCTCCTTTCATTAGTCAGCATTGAGGTTTGAAATAATTCCAGCACAGAGCATGAAAGTGCAAGAAACCCTAACTGTGTACTGCTTGAGGATGCTCAACTGTTACTTACACATTGTTTGGATTGGAAAATGAATAAAAGTTCATGAAAACAAAATCTTTTGTGACAGACTGCAAAACAGCCAAATTTTATTTTGATAAGCTTGTGGAGGGCTGTATTGTTTCAGTGCAGCGGAAGACGGAAAATAATGCTGTGACATCCCTAAACACTGCTCATCTCTACTCCTATTTCATCCTGTGACTTTCCTCTTGTTTTTTTGATCGGTTGCTTTTTTTTGTGCTGTTTTTTTTCCCTCAAAGGTGGGTTTAGCTTCATTTTATTTTATTTTCTCCATCACGTTGTCTGTGAATTATTCCAGCACACATACTGTCAGTAGATATGTGTGTTTACATGTAAAGTTTTGTCACAACCATAATGTGGTTTCTTACACTAGCTTACTCTTGACATATGAAATCACTGGATTCTCTAGATTTTAGTAAAAGGTGGTTTTGTGTTTTGAAAAACACCTCAGTTTTAGTGGTTCTTTGTTCATAAATGGCTGTAGTCATTTTGCAGTGCAAAATATGTGCACTGATCTGTTCTTTGGGAGCAGCATTGGTCAAAATTCATTCCTGAGGAAAGAACCAGAGATTTGGGCAGATTTAGTGTCAATATATCTGGGACTGTGTCTAGATTTTATTTTTTTCTTAGTTTTCTTTCTCCACGGATTTCATTGTGTGACCTTTGGTAAGTCATTTCACCTCTTGGTGTACACAGTTATGATCAATATACTGTCTAGAATGGCTCTTCCATTGCTCACTTGAAGAAGCTTCTAAGATGTATGGATTAATAATGCTTGAACACAAGACTAATACTTTCAAGATGGTATGAAGCAAAGGTTGTCTTCTCTGTTATTGATTCTTACAAAGAATTTTAAAACTGCATTTACTTTTCTGGGGAGTCTGGAAAGCAGTGATGTCATTCAGTTATCTGGAAGATCCTAAATACTCTGTCTTTTATAGGTTTATGCACAGCTTTTGTTTCCTAGTTTAGATCTGTTGTTTCAGTGGTGACTTTCTTTTTAGCCAGGCCTGGCTGGATGGACACCATTTAAAGTCGGGGAGCTATGCTTTGTTTTCTTTGCCAGAATGCATTGTGCTGGTGCTTGTGTGCCTGCAGGGTGGTAGCGTTGCTTGGAGCCAGGGATTATGGCTATTTTCAGTGTGTTAATCCCAAAAGATTTGGACAATACAAATTTTATCCTTTGTCTGAAGTTCTCAAGTTTCTTCCTGAGAAGTGGTAGTTCCAGATAGTGAACATCCTACAGTTGTACTGACTGTGTACCCAGGATTCAAAAGAGATTTTCTATTTTTACTGTATTATTTTTCTTACACCTCATAAACAATTGTTCTTTTGTAGGAAAGCAACACAACTCTTTGTTCAGCCATCTTCCTCCAAGGCCATCCTGTCATCCTTCCCAAACTGTTAAGCAATAGAAATTGATAACTGAAGGGAGCTGCTTCTTATCATTTATTGACTAACAACTTGATGTAAATATCTTAAATTCTTTTGAGTTTTTTGCTTCTGGCTCTGCTAAGATCTGAGACTCCTCCAGAGAAATTTCTCTCAGTTGCTGGGTCTCTTCTTTAAATCTGTCTTGGAAAACTGTCATGAAGACTCAACTTCTGTCTGGATAGGGCAAAGTCTTGCCAAGACTGTCTTTTAATTTCCTTGAGGCATTCAGGACCTTCTTGTCCTAGCCCACGTCTTTTTATCTCTTTTTTTCCCCCTTCTATCATCTGCCCTTGCCTGCTGGTCATTTTTCTCATGGTACTTAATTTTGGAGAACTCTTTGGCTTTATACTTCTGAAGAATTTCTGAAAAACAGACTGAGTGCAAGAAAGCATTTGATTTGAGTGAGAGAATTCTCAAATTAAGGCTCATTACTGAAATGCATCTTTTTTTCAAGGCTTCTTGCAAGTGGTTTTGTTTTTACTATTTTACTACTCTATAAACGAAAACTGAAATATGGTAGACTAAGCTTTATGTCAAGATACATTTTCATTTCTGTTTAAATCTGCATTTCAATTCATTGACAGAATGTGTTTTATATATTATGGAGCTTAAATTTTGTTTATTTCACATCCACTAGCTGTCAGAACCCTTTGAGTTCTCATAATGATTATTTTTTGTTTGTATGAACACCATTAACTTTATGGGGGCAGGATATTTTGTTGATAGAAGCTACCACATTCACTGCTTTGGAATGTTATAAACAGTGGACCTGATTTCTCCTCAATTGCAGCAATGTAGTACCACTTCATTCAGTTGAGCTCCTCCTCTCAGACTGGGATAAATCTAGGAGACTCAGACTTGAAGTCTACTTTGAATTCCATTCATGTTTCGTTAACAGTCTCTGTTAGAAAGGATGCACCAAATCATCTGTTTCTAACTTGACATATATATTTGTTGGGTCAAAAGTTGATTCCAATTTTGTGTGTAACATTTCATATACGTTTCATCTTTAGTATGCTGGATTATGACACGGAGAACCTAAATTCTGATGAAATCTACAGCTCTCTTCGTGGAGTCACAGAAGCAATTGAAAAGTTCAGTTTCCGTAGTCAAGAGGACCTGAATGAACCAATCAAACGTGATGGGAAGAAAGACTGTGACATGGTAAGTGTTTGATTTGATTAACACTTGGAGATATGTGAAATCTTTATCGTTTTCAGGCCTGGCTTTGGTTTGTTAACCAGTACAAAATCCAGTTGCTGTCGGTAACGGATTTTTCCTTATTCTCAATTTTTTCTAACACTTCACCCTTTGAACCTCTCACTACAAGAAAGATACTGAGGTCCTAGAGGTTGTTGTGACATGTGAGATGCCATTTGTTTTAGTTAAGTACGTGAAATTCAAGATCTGTGAATTAAGCAGTATTTTTGCTTCCTGTGTGGACAAACAAGTGTATGTTATAGTAGACTGTTAGTCTCAAAAGCTAGAATTCTTGGTGATTTGATGTTTTTCTTTGGGACTCTTCTGTTGTCTATTTCATTAGTGTTCTAAGCATCATTTGTGAGATTTTGTGAGAACGATGTTGCTTTTATTTCCTTTCTTTGGCTTATTAGCAGATTGGTCCTGTACCTTGTTTGGTTTTGTTTTTTTTTCCTAGCCTGTGCAGTTTTAGAAATATTTCTGTGTAGAAATGATAGCATAGCTTTTTGCCCTATGATCATGAGATACTTTTGTTACCTAAATTAGGGAAACAGGTGGTTCTAAGTATTATGTGTATGTAAAGAATTCTACACAAAACTAACGGGTGTGATCCTGTTGGTGAGTGAACTCAAATTCTGTGGAAGATGTAGCCTTTTAGTGTTCTTAGGCCTTTTCTGTATTTGATCTCCAGGTATCTCGAGATGGTGGCCTTGCTGTACCTACCAGTGATGTCCGAGGAGGTAGTGATACTGTAGAAGGAGGAAGGATGGCTCTAGATAACAAAACCTCCCTACTTAACACACAGCCACCCCGCGCCTTTTCAGGGCCACGAGCTCGAGAGTATAACCCCTATCCTTATTCCGACACAATTAACACTTATGACAAGACTGCCCTCAAGGAAGCAGTTTTTGATGATGACATGGATCAGCTTCGGGATGGTTTGTATTTGCATATGTTTTAAAATTGTTGGCAGCTTGTTCTGTTCCTAATATATTTGTATATTTGCAGTACAGAGAAACATACCTGTCCATGTATATGTTGTGTATTACTTTGCGAGTGAGTTAAGGCTTGGCATGAAATATTTTCTGTTCTGATGTGTGACAGCAGAACTTGATTTATGGATATGGAGAAAAGGCTACACTGCGATTTTAATGTTTTCTTGTTATTGTTCTCTCTTACTTTCTCCTTTGGAGTTTTCCTCAAATTAGTCCCTTTAAAATTTAAAGTAAGTATATCTTCAAGGGACACTTATTTAGGGATGTTCTACTCTAAAACCCAAATGACTCATTAGCTTGTTATTGAGTGTTTTGCTTCATTTAGACGACGCTGCACCCCTTAGTTTATTCCTTTACATTATATTGATGACTCATAGTACTTTGATCTGAAGGTTATGCATGTGATCACTAGTTTTGGGTGTGTGTCTGGGACAAACTGGCGATTCTCCTCTTGTAGAAGTAATTATTGGAACTGGATAAAATCCAGTCGTCATCTCTTCTTTATTTGTTAGAAGCCACGTGCAGATTCATGAGCAGCATTAGAAACTTAGGTGAAATTAGGGCTACTCAGATCCTCTTTCCCTCTTGACAGAGTCCTCTTGGGATTTGATGCCTTTTTGGGAATGGTCTTTTTTTTTTCCGTGCACTTCGTTTTATGGAAGATTTGTAATATGGACATATTTGACTTTTTCCCCCACTTCCCCAAGTGACTCACTTCCATTTGTCCTAGAAGTACCCATTGACCATTCAGATTTGGTGGCTGATCTTCTGAAAGAGCTCTCTAATCACAATGAGCGGGTGGAGGAGCGGAAAGGAGCTCTCCTGGAACTGCTGAAAATCACAAGGGAGGATAATCTTGGAGTTTGGGAGGAACATTTTAAAACCATTCTGCTCTTGCTCCTGGAAACACTTGGAGACAAAGATGTGAGATGCACATTTTTCTTAATTCTCCAGTAGCATTGCTTTATTTAGGGTGATAGGTTTTGTGAATTAATTCAACTTGTTACATTTGTATGGCATCTCATCAGTGATGCTGCACTACTTGTTTTCTTTTTTTCTGTTAAGGTTATTGATTCTGCTTTCATTATTAGTGTACTTGATGACAAATTTCAAGGTTCTCTGTAGTGTCTGTTCTCTGCTCCCTTCTGAATGTTTAGTAATAACTAGGAAATTGAACTAGAATCAGAAATAAAGTTATTTTCTAAGGCAGTGTATATGGCTGATATTTTCTCACAATCATTTTTCTTAGTATCAATGTGAGTTTTGGTAGTCCTACGTATTTAATCATAGCATCATGTATGTATGAAGGTCTGGTGGCTTTAAGTACAAGTAAGTTTGCTATTCTGTGAGAGTCCTGCAAATGGATAACAAAGGGCGTAATTTGAAGGCTGAGTATAGAGTTAAGTATTCCTCTACTAAAATGATAGATGTATTTGGAGTGGCTACTGGCCAAAAACTTCATGTAACAGTTGTGTAAGTAAAGCAGGTGTTATAAATCCCTGCTCCTAAGGATCTTTTGATATATAAAGGATTAACACATAGGTCAGTAGTGACTACAAAAATTGACTGTTCTTGAAAGTAATTTCCAGAGGAGCTGCAGTAAATCAATGCTGCTCCTGTAGTAGTACATGAGAAACAGTTTTGTTGCATGAATGGAGCCCAATCTGATATCTGCAGAGCTAAGCAGAAGAGGAAGAGCAGAACAAATACAATCTGAATGTCTTTATATTTTCATGTAATGCAGTTATGCTGTTTTGGTTATGAATTTATACTAAGTTGCCTGAAGAATATGGAATTTAAAAACGTAGAATCATTCCGATTCTGTCAGTGGGAACAGTCATTTTATGTAAATGTTTCTGCAACAGAAAGCAAGCAGACCAATTCTTGTTTTCAGCTAATGATCTCACTGCTTGATCCACTGGAGCTGGTAGAGCTACGTAAGATTTCTACTGCTTAGAGAGCCATGAGAATTTGCTTCAAAATACAATTTTGATGAGAAATTACTTTTTCTAACATCAATTTCTCTTGGCACAGCATTCAATAAGAGCATTGGCACTGCGAGTCCTTAGAGAAATCCTACGGAATCAGCCAGCAAGATTCAAAAACTACGCAGAATTGACCATCATGAAGACACTGGAAGCACACAAGGATTCCCACAAGGAGGTGAGTGAGCCTTTTGGCACTGCTACTGGGAAAATAATATTGAGGAAATGTGAAAGCAACCATGCTGACCCATCTTGACAGTAGAAAAGGACAATATGAAGTCACCTAAGTACTGAAGATGTATACTTGCTGAAGCAAGAAGAAAAATGTTGAGACCAACAGACTCATTTTTAGTGTATTTGGAACTATCTGGAGTTGTAGGCCACTGTTTATTGGTTTTCCAGGGCTTGGTTATTCTGGGAGAGGTAGGAGGGTGCATTTTTCTTAAGTTAGTGGAGCTCATTAAGGGCACTGTGGTCCTTCAGTCTGCACAGGGAAGGCTGGGAAATGTATTGAAGAACACAAAGGCTGTACTCAAGCAGAGCTGTGTGAAAATTATGAACTTGAGCCACAGGTTGAGAATTTGAACTGTGGAATACCAGCTGAAAATGAACAAAGAGGGCATGCTGCTAAAAAGAAGCTGAGGCAGTGAGGAGGAAGCCAAGGGAAGGTGAACTGCATTTTCCTCTTGTGAGAGAACTCATGCAAAATTAAAAGTATTCTGGACTAAAAAATACAGGGACGTGATGGTTACATTGGAAGCAGATCAAAGTATATTAAAGGTCAGTTTTTGCAAATTGGTTTCCAAGATAGATGTTCTTTTCTATCTTCTGCGTGTTGCAAGTTTGAACTAAACCCTGAAAAACAGCACATGAATTTCTGTTTTCTGAATTTCTAAGTCTGCAATGACTTAGTTACCAAACTCCTTCCTTTGAAATTTAAAGCTCTTCATCTTCCCTGCAAAAGGCTTGCCCTAAACTAGCAATACTAGGTATCTCTGTTTTTGGCCACGGAAAAGATCATTGTATAGATCAGGCTGCTTCCAGAGCATTGCATAACTGACACAAAGCTGCATTAGCTGTGCATAGCAAAACTGTACTGTTTAAAAATCAAAACAAAACCAAATACACCCCTCAGGGAAGAAGGAACCTAACAGGCTGGATATCCCTTAAATACAAAAGCAGAAAATGTTTAATCCTTTAGTGAATGAAGACTACCACAATCTGCCTATCCTCCTCGATTTAGAGCTTTTGCACTCCTGTCATTCTCAGTTCAGAGTAATAAGAAGCAGTTGTAAATTGATTTCCTGATAAAGTAGTCAGACAAAACATTGTGTTCTAAAGGAGTGCCTTTTATTGGCAAGTTTTCCTGGTTACATACTTCTCATCTCACCTTGACTCAGTGCCCTTTTTTTCCCCCACAAAATCTTCCAAACTTGCAGCACCTTTCAGATGGTCTCTGATGTTTTTAATGCCCTTCAGAGCTCTCTGTCCTTGTATGACTGACAGTTTTTACTGAAATTAGGTGTAATGTTGAAAACATGACATTTCATGTCTCTGTACTCCCCCACACAATGTTCTTCGTGTTTGTAGTATGGACAGGTTTTTTTTAGGATTTGCATGTGAGATGCCTTCTGAGGAAGAGCAGAGAAGGATTGGCTTTTGTAACAGAGTAAAACTCAAGCCAGGAACGAAGAGTCATGAGTTCTGGCACTTCTTTATAGAAGAGTAAGTGTGAGCTGTATTGCTCTCAGCAAGTAGCCACTGTTCTGCACGTAGCATTCCTTTGATTTTATTTTTTTGGTTTTGCATTGTATTGTTATCATTAAAAAAGATCACATTTACAACTGCTCCAGTGAGATCTTTGGGTTATGACTGTCATAGCAGGACATTGCAGGTGTAGTTCCATTTTTCTATCCCTAAGCAATTGTTTGTTCAGCTGTATTAAGTAGTGGTACTGGTGGTGTAACAGGAGTGAACAGCCTGAAGAATGGGTGTTTGGTGTTATCTGGCTTATGCTGAAGGAGGCATGTGCTGATATTAAGAAAAAAAAGCACTCTAGAAACAACCCAAGTACATGATATTTGTGTCCCACCCACTTTATCCATGGAGTTTGAGGATGTTGCCATTGGAACATAGTATTTTTCAGTCTATGTATGTGTATTTTCTCATCCCTGTGTAAATGGGGCTCTCAGAACCAAAATGCAACTCACGAAAGCTGGCAACTCTCTGTCAGTTTCAAGACATCAGCATTCATGAAGTTAAGAAAAGTTTCTCAATCTTCTCTTGTGTGTCTACATGAACTAGGCTAATTATACACCTGTGAAAATGCTGTAGGTATTTTTTTACCTGTAGCTGGGATTGGTTGATTCCATTAAGTCTGGGGGGAAAAAAAAAAAATTAACCGAGTCCATTTGAGTATGGCTCAGTTGATCAAACTTATAGCCCTGGTCCAGAATGTCAGATTCCCATCCAACAGAGGCCCTCCAGCTCCCACTCACTGCTGACTTTGCAGCACTGCTATCTCCTGGGGTTGTGGAGGAGCTGCCCTTTGACTTGATCCCACTCAGTGAGAGATTAAGTGAAAATTCACTAGTTTGAAAGGCTTTTAGAATAGCTGAAGAAAGAATGGAAAGATCTTAGTTGTCTGTCTTATAGTTTTATTTTTCACTGAAACTGCATAATATTAAGAGCAGTGGATATACTCTCCTTAGATAAATAACATCTTCCTTCATACTGTAAAAACTATTTGGAGGAAAGCTGCTGTACAGTAAAGTTAGGAAAGTGCTAATTCCTGAGCAATGTAATGCCCTGACAGGGACGTCTCACTAGGGTTTGTTTCTGCCTTTGTATTAGAAAACAAAACTGGTTTGTGGTTTGAGATCATTTCAGACAGGCTGCATGAATCAGCAGAAAATTACTGTTTGGAGAGATCTGTACCTACTTCACTTTTGCTTACCTGACTTTCCCCTTCAGCACAGGAACTGTTAATTGCCTGTATGTTATTGCTGCCATTTTCTGTAATGTTTGGGCTAATGGGCAATCAGTGTAAAATGACCAAGCAAAGAGAGAGGAGTTTGAAAAGGAGCGCAGTGCAGGGCCATTAACCTCAGATGGCTCCAAGAAGTCATTGCACTTAGAGGCGGTTCTTTGAAAATCAGTAAGAAAGTTAATTTGTCTTCACAAATGCAATATTACTTCTGTTCAGCATGGCTATCATCACTTTCAGAACCCAGCAGGCACCTAGGGAACCTGCTTTAGCTGGGGGTTTGGACATAAATGATCTCCATAGGACCCTTTCAGCCCCTACAATTCTGTGAAATACCATATCTTCCTCCATTTGAGTGCCAGTATCTAGCTAAAAGTATCTGGAACAAAAGAGGCTGTGGTTTTATTATAGCTGGAAGCATCAGTGTTGTTAGCGTGGTTGGATGTGTATGGATGCCTGAATGTGTTTTGCCAAATCAAGCTGAAGCCTTTCAGCGGTTGAATCTTTGCTATGGCAAGAACTCTTCTGCCTTCTGTTGTTGAAGGCAAAGTGTAGCATCAATGAAGCAGCACAACTAAGGGACACCAGAGAAGAAAACTTGGTATGAGGAGTGGATGCTGAGAGTTGTCGTGTGGGTGCAAGTAAAGGAGATCAGAGCACTGACCTCAATGCAGGTCCAAAATTAACGTAACCCTGGGCTACAGACTAGGAGACTCTGAGTTGGGATTCATGTTTAGTTTGCACTTTTTAATGCTAGCCTCTTTTTATGCTGTTTGTTGTATAATAGTCTGTTCAGTACTGTTAATTAAATGGGATGATGTGAAGAGTCAAGCCTGCTTCAGTCAGAACTGTAAATATTTATGGGAGTTGACATGTAAATGCCTTTCACTTACTTTTAGAGCATTAGAATGTAATTGAAGTTGTGGATGGTATTAAATCTTGTTGATTTTTATCACTCTTTGTTTGGAGTTACTTGGAAGAGAGCTGTCTTTCTGTTGCCAATTGGTTAATATTAACTCATTTGTTCCAGTGTACTTACTCACCCATAACTAAGGAGAGATGCTGTGTGCTGACCCAGTACCATTGATATGACATTGCTTCAGATTCATAGCAGCAAAATGAGTGCAAGTTCTTATTCTTTACTACAGTAAAATAGAAACAGTTATCTTGTGAAACTGTTAAGGAATATCTTCACCATTGATAATCATTGGACAGCTCATTCTTTGTTTTGTTTCTGTTGCTCTGTTTTTCTCTGTAGCAAAGCCTGTAGACCTAGCTGATTGGTACTTTCTCTGTTTAAGGAAAAGACTTTGAGCCATGTATGAGGAACCTAACTTTGGTCTTTTACCATCCAGGAAATCCACAGGCATAATTGGGATGTAACACTCCTTGTTGTAATGATCTAAAGGAAGGTGAAAAGAGCAAATCACGGCTATCCATTAACTTTGTTACTGGCTTGAGGTGCTTTTAGACTAACCCTTGACATTTATAAAATTATTTGCAAATGTCCTCCAATGATGATACACTCTGTATCATTTTCTGTAAAACATAGCCTACTAGAGAAAAATGCTAAGTGATCAATTTTTAAGATTAGTTAACTCGTAGCCCATGTTGGAAGCTGCCAGCACTGCAGTTTGGCAGTTGATGTTTTATTGTATAAGTGTCTGTGCTTCCTCTAATTCCCAACACATGAAATATTTAGCACCCAGGAGAAGCAGTCTAATCTACTTCACCTCCTCTGAATCCCTTAATTTTTTTTCATCTGCTCAGCGCTCCCCATTGCTGAGTCCACTTCCTGCTTTGAAACTCAGTGCTTAATTGTTTGTTCCTGTCTGGATCAGACTGTATACCCTTCAGGGATGGGAGTTTGCCTGGCTGGGCAGTGGTAAGCCTCCATTCCCTCCAGCTTAGATTGTGCAGGCTTTAAGTAACCACCTTTAAATGCCAAAAGTTGGTTCTAAAAACAAAGTTGTGTGCCTTGTAAGCCCAAAAGCAAAACCTTGTTTTTCTGCTCAGTAAACTTCTGGTGCTTTACTTGTTTTATAATGGAGTAAAAAGCCTCTTAAGGTTTTTTAGTGCTTTTTTTTTTTTATCTTAAAAACAACAACAAAAACACACGCTCCTTAATTCCGTCTGTTTTATAGAGGTGGTGCAGCTAATATTTGTACTCCAGCTTGCAGTGTAATATGTACTCCCATACAACTCCCATCAAGGTATTTGGGTGCTGCTCTACTCAGATCTCAATGTGTTACATTGATGCCCTACATAGCCTATGAAGTGGGCATTTTATTCTTTCAATGAGTCCACCAGGAAACGCAGCTTCTGTTATGCCAGCAGAAGTGGGGCTCAATCTAGTCTGTAGTGTGTAGAGCAAAAGGTAAGCCTTTGGAAAGGAGAAAAACCTGCTTCTAAGTGCTATCGTTTAGATCTGCATTCCTGGCCTACCTGCCTTGTGTTGAATGGCATCAAACTATCCAGTTCCAGACATGGTTTGCTTTAAGCTTTTACTAGGAGGTAAAGTCATGTTTGTGACATACCTTAGACACAGCTTAGTGTCAGTATTTTTAAAGCACTGCAGGCTCTCCCTGGTCTTACAGAAACTTGGAACTTGTTTCTTCCAGCTGTTATCATCATTTGAACACTCTACTAGTTTTCTTTTGTGTTTTTGAAATAATTGAATATAATAGCATTAGATTAGACAAAAACTCTGCTCCATATCCTACTTTAGACAATGACTAGCAAGCATGCAGTGATTCTTCATCAAAGACTTCCTCCCTCCTTATCACAGAATGGCCAGGGTTGGAAGGGACCTCAAGGATCATGAATCTCTTCCCCCTGCCACGTGCAGGGAGCTCCTCAGAGCTGTCCCAAGCTGAAAGTTCTGTCTGCTGACCTTTAATGGCTCTTCAGTGACCTTATCTTTTTTTCATCTATTATCTGCATCCTTCTGTGACAATGAGCTCCTCAATCTGAGCGTATAGTGAACAGCACTGTTTTTTCCCCACATTCAAAGAGTGTGCATTTTATGGATATAGTTATTGTGGTATCTGCTGCTAGTTTGAACCTAATGGGGCCATTCCTATTGCTTCCCAGTGTCTTATCTTCCAATCTTCCCCCCAAAGATGGGAGGAAGAGCTGTTGTTTGATGTTTGCTCATTTCTTCCACTCTTTAAGTTTGTTTCACTCTGGTCAGATTAAACCCTGATTTAAAAAGATATTTGACTTTGTATGTTATGTATAATTTGCAAGACACGGTTGTTGTGCCTCACGGCAAAATATCTTCACTAAACTCAGCTATAATTGCGTACCCTCATTGCCAAACAACCTGGCAGCTCATAGCTTTTGATAATGTGTTTCCCTCTCTGCAGGAATGTTGCTACCTTTCTTTGGCATTACTGGGAATGCAACTCTGGCAGGGCTGTGCAAGTATTCGGAGACAAGCTTTCCCTCACGGGTTGGTCTGGATGCCTAAATGCTTTACTCTGTCAAAGCCAGAATCAAAGACCTGGGCAGGACTACTATTTGCATTGCAGAGTGGTGGTTTTTTGGCTTTCTATGTCAGTGGAGATGAAGGAGGGAAGAGCTTGTCCTCTGGGTTCTCTCACAGCTGGTACTGCCCTGCACCTTCATCTGTGCCCTGTTTCCTGCTGTTCCTTTCCAAGGCAGCTAGTTACCTGCAGAGCCTCTGAATCAAGCAAGCATGTAAGCACACGCTTGAGTCCCATTGACGTCAGTAAGACTCAAGTATGTTATTAAAGCCAAATATATGCTTAAGGGGGATGCTGAAGTGTGGCTTGCATGCAGATGCTGTCATGTGCTCTTGAAAGGCTTGGAAATGTCTCTGGTGTTGTCACGTTTACAAGCAAAGGATCAGCAGGAAGCCTTCTGGACATGAGTAATTTGCCCTTCTGTATTCAAAGGATGCACACTGCATGGAGATGTGATGTGAAATACCCAACTGCTGTGCAAATACAGCCAGATACATGCTAGAAATGGCCAGCTTTGCTGAAAGAAGGACTTGTGAAGGTGCAAGACTTCTTATGTCTGTATAGTTTTTCTCGCCTACCCTATGATGTGCAAAATACATGTGACCTTCTTTGTGCTTTGACTTCTGGCTCATTTTGTGAAGAATTGCAACCGTATTTCAAGCTTGGTGCTTGGAAATAGTAATAAGCTTTTAAAACAGAGGTTTTTGTCTCATACACTCTCCTCATAACTGTGCAAGTAGTTGTAGAGCTCTATCTCAGAATTACTCACTGAAATTGTTACCTAATCCATATTCATGGAAGTGTATTAGATGAAGTCCATCTGTAAGTACATACTGAGATGCTATTACTTGTAAAAGACCATGAAGATCTGAAAAAGGGAAAAAAATAAAAAAGATTGTTTTTAGTAATTTGTGATAATGTGTATAATGTATGTCTAAGCTTTCCTTTTACAAAAAGGATTTGGAGTTGCTAAAAAGCAAAATTCCAAGTGGCCAATGTCTAGTCAGTTACAGAGCTTTTAATAAATATATGTATGTTTATTTAGCTAAAATGACTTGCCCGTGAACATTGTTGGGCTGATTATGAGGTATTTGTAGCCTCTGTAATTGCACTGTTATTTGTAGAGAGCTTGATGTCAGCAGTATTTCAGTGCTAGGAGAGACATCATCAAAAGCTGCAGTGCCAAGAAGTGAATTTCTTTAAAGAAACTTCCTTACGTTCCACAGAGACCTTTCAAGAGCCTCTGACTGCAGCCATTCCAGCAATTCAGTGCCACAGTACCAAACCTTGGCATTAGGTTTCCTTGAGTATTCGGATATTTCTCTCTTCCCCTTCCTCTCAAAAAATAGTACTTCCTCCTAAGCTAGCTAGCATGGAAATATGTTAACTTTCATGCTTCTCATGTGTGAAATTGAAAAAGGAATTAGCAAAGGAATATCTGGAAGAGCTAAACAAGCATTCTGTTCTGCTTGGTTACTCATTCACAGATCTTGCAGGATGAAATCTTTTGAACGCTGAGCACATTGTGGATTGCCATTTTTGGAATGTGTTTTAACACTGTTTAATTGCTGAGAAAAGCCTGAGATAGATGAGTATGCAGACAACTTCAGCAATCAGAGTCTCAGATTGGCTCCTGCCTGTGCCTTGCCTAAATAGAATGTTTGTACCACGTGAAATATCTAAAATCGCTTTTATTGTTGGATGTTTCGCAGGTGCACCAGTAACCTTTGGCCATTCCTGTTTCAGGGAGGCGGCTGTCAGCACGAGTGGAGGATCAGTGATTGTGTTGTAGCCATGATGAGTTAAAGCTGTGGGTGAAGCAGGTTTTGTAGGCAGGGATAATCTCTTCTGTTAAATCAGTAGTCTATCTGGGCTGGTCACTCTTCATTGCTTCTGTCTTAAAATCAATTAGTCCTTTCTGGAAAATGTTTTGTAGTCCAGGCAGAGAGATATTCTTTCCTAGTGAGGACTGGGTTAAACTTCCAGATACTCCTGCTACATACATTATCCACATTAGTTCCTTTCAAAAAGTTCATCTTTTGGGGCTTTGATAGAGCTGTATCCGTTTATGGGTAGTCTGAGTCAAAGAGAAACCCCCCAAGTTTTATTCCATTTTGTGTGGAAGAAGGGATTGAAGAGAATTCAGTAGCTATGGCTTCAGTCTAAGTGATTGATCTGTGGCTTCACTTGTTTTGGTGTCTTTTCTTTTTTTCATATTGTCTGGGACACATTTTCCTTGAGTTTGTTGCCTGGCAATTAGCACATACACTTGAAGAAAGAAAACCTGCTTCCCATCCTGTGTTTTTTTTTTTAATCCAATTACTGCAGAATGTAAAATTCTCATAGGAGAAGAAAATCAGGTCCTTCCTCTTTCATCTAGTTGTCCTATCCACTGGGGAAAAGTGTGAAATATATGGATTTGCCTTTCCTCGGGTGAAGGGTAGTACTGAGTTTAGGACCTCCCTCATCCTGTGTGTCTGCTTTACAGAGTGAAGTATCTACAAAAGGTCAGTGCTGCCACTGTTTCCACTTGTTCTTCCTCTCATGTTTTATAGTGTCCCAGCACTGCCTTCATGTATTAAATATGCTCAGAGCCTTTGCCTGGTTATAGATTATCCTGATTCTTGCTTGGCTCCGTAGCCTGGATTTGAGCACAGCAGTGCTTAGCTGGGACTTGGCAGGACACACGTGTGCAGGCATGGTTTTCTCAGCCTGGGCACACAACCATTCAGCAAGGCAGATGCATATTAAAGAGTACAATGTCATTCATTGTAGTATTAAGGAATTGTATTTCGTATTAAGTTAAACTGTTGGGTTTATGTTCCCTGACAGTGACTAGAGTGCTGTCCTAGCAGGGCAGCAGTGCCTGTCCTTCTTGGGTGGTGGATGACTCTCAAACTTTGACATGGTTACTTCAGGCAGGAGGAACTATGTACCACTATCTGGCTGGAGCAAACATGTCTCTGGAGGTGAAGAATGTGAATTCTTATGCTTGATCTTCTCTCAGACGAGCCTCTTGCTGTTTTATTAACAAATATCCCCAAGTATTTCCTGGCATTCATTCCTAGTATGCGCAGGTGTTTTCGGCTGTGCAGCCTCGTTAATGTAAGGTTTTGCTTTGCTTTCGTTTCAGGTCGTCAGAGCTGCTGAGGAAGCTGCTTCTACCCTGGCAAGCTCCATCCACCCTGAGCAGTGCATCAAGGTGCTTTGTCCTATCATTCAGACTGCAGATTATCCAATTAATTTAGCTGCCATCAAGATGCAGACAAAGGTTATTGAGAGGATTTCCAAGGAATCATTGCATCAGCTCCTTCCTGATATTATTCCTGGATTGTTACAGGTATAGAATCTCACATCACAAATGCTCCTTGAGCACAAACCAACACTGAGATGTTCTGCACTTTGAGTGTACTTTGCGCATGAATTTGAAGCACAGCAGGCCAGATAGGAAGGACTATTTCCTCTCTGAAATCAAGACTAAACTGCTCAGTCTTCATTCAGTCTCTTTCATAACCCTGGGTGGGGAGTTGTGTTTTTGCCAGCACTACGACTTGATCTCCCATTGTGAATTTATCTTTCAGTGCTGGCTGTAGTGGGGTTGTATTCAGTCCCCTTGCACAAGCAGCTGGCAGGACTAAGCTTTTGAAGTGAGACAAAGCATGATGACAATAACAAAGGAGAGAACCAGTATGTTTACTGGGGGGAATTGTGGCAAGAACAAATTGGTCCTTGTGAAAAGGTTCATACCTGTAGGTGAGTAAAACTTCAGAGGAGAATTAGGATAAAGAAGCCTCCTTTTTGTGAGCATAAAGAGCAGAAGGACAAGAGCAAAGTCAGGATTTTCCCTGATGCATCCTAGTGTTTGTCCCAGCTTTGTCACGTAAGCTCTTGCAATTCTTTTCTTAAACTCTGGGAATCAGGCAATTCTGTACTGATGTGAAGAAACTTTTAGCCATCGTTGTTGGTGACAACAGTCTAGACGAGGGAGCTTCAATGCAATGCTTGGGAACATCGTGCCTTTAAAAACACAGAAAGATATATTTGCTTGATTAAATGGCTTCCATGTCTTTGTGATTTTTCACTTTGGGGCTGCCAGTGTTATTTTCTTAAATTAGGAATTCATAATGATCAAAGGAATCTACTCCTCATATTTAGAAATTATGTGGGGATACGCACTGTGGCTGTTTATCTTGGTGAGGGTAACAGCAGTAGTGAAAAGGCAAGGTGTGTTTAACAGTGCTCATGTGAATACAGGTGTACAGTTCAGCAGCCCACAGCAGGATGCCCATGGCCCATGTGAACAGATAGGGATCTCAGTATATAAAACAGTCTTGGCTGTGCTTCTGTTGAGCACCTGGGTTTGGGTGCAAATTGCAGTGCAGAGCTCTTAGAGGGATTTGTGGGGAGTACTTGCAGTGCTTGCAGGTCCCTCAGTCTCAGTTGTTGTTCTTTTGGGTCCCACCCTATAGAGCAGCAGCCCATAGGCATCTCCTACTGGTGAGAGACAAAGCCCAACCTGGCAGGCCCTTGTAGTCACGGAGATGGGTGCAGCTGTCATAGTGATCTGAGGCTGGCAGTCACAGCAATCCTGCTCTTTGCACAAGGACATGCCCTAGCCACATACCAGGCTGCTGTGGGATGAGGCACTGTCCACATCTCCTGTTGAAGCAGGCCTTGATTGTTTAGAGAAAGGAATGCACCATTAATGGAGGAGAGCAAGAAGAGGCCTGGCTGTGTTAGCGGTGGTTAGGCTGCCTGGTGAGGGTAAAGATGGGACACTGATATGCCTGCAGTAGAGGCCTCGCTGTGTTGTAGAAAATGAGGCATCCCAACCCACAGCTGGTGTGCTGACAAAGATAGTTTTTGTGTGTGTGACTGTGGCCTTTAACTTCACAGCTGCTTCCAGACCAACTCCTGCTCTTTGGGATTTAGTGCTCTTTGAGTTTGCAGGCTGTAATGTCAGACTGCATTTTGGCCTTGCAGCTAGAACATCAGCCCTGCTAGTGGGCAGCCCCAACCCTGCAGCATCACTCCTCATGGCTTTCCCAGCGGAGAAATAATCCATAATGATGATGACTTCTGCAATTTTGAATGCTTGAGTACAGCTATTCTATCCAAATTCCTATGTAGATAGAACATCTATTCACCAAACAATGCTTTGTGTTTCATATTTTAAATGATATAACCATTAGGCCATTTTGCTGAAAATTTTATCTGTCTTTTGCTCACGTATTTCCTTTAGGTGGTTGGGTTTGGGTCAGGAAAGTCTTGTCTATGGGCACACTCATAGCACTGTGTCCAAGATGTCCTGATCATCATATATGGCATAAGGTCATCTGACCTGGACACAGGAATGTGTGTAACTGATAGAATCTGCTTGATTGAAAACTGTTCTTGCTTAATGACATAAAACCTAAGGCATTAATAACTTGTAAACTAATAGCCTAATATGAGGACATTACAGAAAGGATATTATATAGTATAAATAGAATGTGCTGGATGATTGTATTCTCTTGCTCTTTGAGTGTTCATATCACAAGAGCCTTTCTATTAATCTGGTAGCCTAAACAACTCTTCAGTGTCTTGATTGGTAAGGATGTTGGTGCATGCTGTTTGATGTGACCATTTTTTCTTGTTTCCTAGGGTTATGATAATACAGAGAGCAGTGTCCGTAAAGCTAGTGTATTTTGCCTGGTGGCAATTTATTCAGTAATTGGTGAAGAACTGAAACCTCATCTCGCACAACTCACAGGAAGCAAGGTATGGGAGTATAATGCCTTTGGTATTATGACAGCAGCCAATGCATTCATGGTAGCTCTGGGTCAAATTCTCTGTACTGTGTTAAATCCTGATGCATTAGACTAACTGGTCCTGCCAACACCACTAGAGCAACACAGATCTTGTCCAGCAGCGTGAGCATTTTGGACCCTGCAGAGCAATTTTTGAAGGGGATTCAGGGATTAGTTTCTTGATGCATTTGATCCTGTGTAACTGCAAGCTGCTACTGAGCTGGTTGTTCCCATGACAGTCATGCTTTCCTTAGCTCTTCTGCATTGCATCGTTAGGTGAAAATGCAGTCAGTTGCATCAGCTGGCTTCACTGTTTGAAAAAAAAAACAAATCTGAAATATTAAATTAATTAGTTTGTAGCTCACTCTATGGCTTGACAGTTAATCTAATGCAAAGAGTTGTGAGAGTGCATGGTTGGGATGGGTTGGAGAGCAAGATTGCTCCTTTCAGCAGCAGGTCGTAATTAGGGCTGGTAGAAAAGCAGGTGGAACTTTGCTCTTAATAGCATTGCAGATGTGTCCTTTTCTTTCTGGGGCACCAGCAAATTTGAATGACTTCTCAAACACTTTTCTAACCATGCTTATGTTAGAAGCAAAACTCGAATTCTGACCTGATGCTGTAGATGAAATCAGTCTTCGGTTCAGCTCTGTCCTTCAGACAAGAGCTGGCATTCAGGAAGATGTCACAAGGCTTCTCCTGATTGAAGTCATAATACCTGAGATTTCTTTGCCATTTTTAGATCAATTCTGCATTGTTGTCTCTGAATGTGAAAAGCTACTTAGTTCAGAGGGCTTCATCTGGATGTTTTGAACCAGTGGTTTCTTTAATGGGTAGGAAGCATGGTTTAGGCTGAAACAGAATCTGAGATTTAAGACACTTGGACTTTATTTCTGAATTGTGTTGATTTGTCCTTAAGTTACTTTCACCTCCCATTTGCTCTGGAAAAAGAGCTATGGATGCTGAGACTTACCTCATTTATGTTTAGGCGGTTGGGAGATTCCCCTATAAAATGTTGTAGAAGCTTTATAATCCCAGTATCCTAGGTGCCATGGACATACTCCACCACATAACTAACTGTAAACATGTGAGTAATTCTTCCGAGTTTATGCAGGCTGCCTACGTGTTTAAAGTTAAATACATGCATGAGTCATTACAGGATCTGGGCCTAAGGTGGTAAGGCAGAATAAGAAAACAACCCCTTGCAAAGGAAATGCGTAGTCATAACAGCTGCATTTTCACTAGAGGACCCAAGTAGTGAAGATACTTAAATATCATTAAAAATGAATGTTTTGTAAAGAACAAAACCCATCCCACCTCTCTTCTCCAAGCATAGTGAGTTCAGGGTGTTTCCTAGGAGGTACCACAGCTCTTGGATTACTGCAGTGTGAGCAAATTCTGTACCTGTCTGCAGCTCCACTGACCTCTGTGGGATCCTGCTCACCTAGAGCAGTCTGCAGGGCTGAGGGCTGTGAATTGATGACTGCTGAAGTGAAACACAAATGTTTTTTTATATGCAGTTTAAATACTATTAAATTAAAACTCAGTGGGACCAGGCTTCCTCTCCTGGTTCTGCATGTTCACAGAATGGTCAGGGTGGAAGAGACCTCAAGGATTGTGAATCTCCAACCCCCCTGCCACATGCATGTTCTGAAATGCACTCAGCTTTGCTTCTGCTTTTCCTCAGAGAGCCTGGTGCCAACTTGCTCTAACAGTGTTCACTGAATCTGTAGTTAAGACTCGCAGTCAGCTTTTGTCCATCTGTTTTTCCTGGCATCTTCTCCTGATATTTGTTGTTTCTTTCAGATGAAGCTACTAAACTTGTACATAAAGAGGGCCCAAACTACCAACAGCAACAGCAGCTCCTCTTCAGATGTTTCAACGCACAGTTAATGGAGATATGTGGACATGTGTAGACTTAGAAGCAATCAACGGTGCCTCTCAGAGACCTTTCTGCTACTCTTCACTGGCGCACTTCATCAGCTAAAGGAGGCCATGCAGTTATTTATTGCAATCAGTATTCTAGTCCCTTAAAGCTTTTATGTAAAACCTTACTGGTATTGAATGTAAAGGAAGCAAGGTCTGTGTTGCAGTCTTCATTAAAAGTGAACAACAGAAAGCCATACTTAAACATATTGTATAGCCTGCTGAAATCTTGGAAATATGTTTAGGTTAGCATTCCAAAAGAGTCAAAAAAAAAACCTGGACATGCGTAAAAGTTAAACAAATCTTGGTTTAGTTCATACCCAGTTTTGGTTTCTGTGCGCTAGTTACTGCTCTTTCCCTGTGGCTGCAGCCTTTCTGGCTAGGATCTCCTCTTACCAAGTCCTGTGGTCCTGTTTTGTACTTCCTATCGCAGCTTGCCTAATGTGCAGGGTTCTCCATGAGGGGATCTTTGCTGATGTGGCTGTGGTTCCAGCCTCTAATGCTTTAATACTGAGATATCAAGTGAGTAATGAAAAAGTAGGTTCTTTTTAAATATCTGAGTTTTTTGTATATAGTTCTTCTCACAGACCTCTGATGGCTGATCTCTCTAACTGCTCTCCAGCCAGCTGTGCTTTGTAGAGCAACTGGGCTCTCACTACCTTCGTTGACTGTGTAAATATTTCCCCTCTCCCAACCCATTTGGCTCTTTCATGTGCTCGAGACTTTTCAGGTTACTTGTTACTCCCCAAAGGGAACCTCAGATACTGTTCTGAGACTGGTGCCTGCATTCGGACATGAGCTCAGTGGGTGTTGAATTGGGCTTGGGTGCATCCTTGGGTGGACAGTCAGAGCTGGCAAGGCTGTATTGCAGTGCTGCCTTGTGAGGCTGGCTGTGTTTTTCCTAAAGTCTGTAGTGTCAAAGGACTGATCTGCCACTTTGACCAGGACCTATTGATGTTGATGGTAAATGGCTATATCCACACAAATCCAGTGTGCTTTTGGCAGACTGTTCATCCAAGAGGACAGAAAGGGAATCTGAAGCTGGACAAAACAACCCTGTGGAAGCTGAGGGTTGGCTGGGATAGTGCTGCTCACCTGCTGCTGTTTCTGTCTTGTGCCCGAAGAGCCTGCAGTGCTGTCTTCTGCCTTTAGAAACCTTCTTCCCAGCCAGCCCCACGCACAGCCCTACTGGGTGCTTTGCATTTTGGAGGGATGTGCTAGACTGTGACACAGACCAGGTAAGAGCCAAACCAGCAGCAGCAGGTACCCCACAACACCGTCCTGCTCCAGAGTTCTGTTGGCAGTGGCTGAGTTCCTGCTGCCTGTTTCTGAGGGGAGCAGGAGGATGCTTGTGCTGCGTTTGGCCCTAGGCTGGATCCTGGCTGACAGACAGGCCCACCCCAACCTGCCGTGGATGAGAACTGGGTTTTTTCCCCCAGTGGCAGTGATTGCAGGAGCGTGACTGCAGTGTGTGTTCCCTGGCTGCTCTCAGTGCCTTGGTCTCTCTGCAGCCCACTTCATTTCCCCTTTGAGGAGCTGAAGGGACACCTTGGTAGCAGACTCAGTGGCAGCATGTGAGCATTGCTGAAACTGCAGCAAGGGGAGCACAGCAAGCCTTGCAGCCCTCCCTCTTCATCAGTTTGTGCTCCTGTGGCTCAGCCCCAGCCATGAGGAGCTGTGCTGGGAGGTGCTGATTGGTGCAGCTCCAGAAGGGCTGAGGTTTGTGAGGGCTGTTTGGGGCTGGGCTGCAAAGCTTTTCCAGCCTCTCACCTGGCTGCCGTGGGAGCGGAGGTGACCTGTTCCTGAGGTCATCAGGATGAGTCTAGGCTTGGGCTGGCTGCAGGGCTGATCCCTCTTGTCCCCCAGTGCTGTGACAGGAGGGGAACCTTGTGGTCTGGTAGTGGGATTCCTCCAGGCCCTGTCTGCTGGCTCAGAAGAGCCATCCTTGCTTTGGAGAGGATTGGCTGCTCCATGGTTGGTGTTTCCCTGTCCGTGGACCATTCCTTTTCAACACCTTTCAGTATGCTTGTTAGAGTTTTGTGCTTGTTTTTTTTTTTTTTTAATTTTTTGAATGATTCAAATTATTTTAGTTTAATGTGAATTTATTTTCCCTTTTGAGGAAATGTTCAGCCAACTTGTTGGCAGCAGTTAGCTGTCTTGTTTGAATATTAGTAGTGGGTTTGGGGGGGTTCCTTTTTTTTTTTTCTTTTTTTTTTTCAATTTTTACTCCTAACTGCTTACTATTTACGCCTCTCTTTCTCCCCATCTCAGTTCACCATCTTCTGTTCCAGTCCTGGGGTTCAGCAGTCAGCATAGCTGACCACATGGCGCTTAGTTCCTCCCAGCTGTGATGGAGCTTTTGGGGTTTGTTTTTTTGTTTTGTTTTTTGAATGGCACACTGTAGCAAACCTCCGGGAATTGAATTCCTTCTCAAATGATTTTGTGTTTTATAAAATCCTGTTAGTATGCACTGAGAGTGAACGCACTGTAATGTCCCTGAACTGACCCTGGCGCCTGCGCTGACACTAAAGGAGGAGTTAACAGCTCGTCCTGTGGAAATAGGTGTGAAATCTGCCACGTTCTGTGGCTGCAGAGGTGAGCGCCTGTTTCTCAGATACCATTGGCACACTTGGGGCTGCAAAGTAGTAGAACCAGGCCTTACTTTCGTAATCAGATTCCGTTCCGTTTGTCAACAGATGCTCATTGTGTTCCTTTCTTTCATTATGTGAGTCAGTCGAGGACTGTTCATCCTTTGAGTACTCTAGAAGTATGTTATACCTGTATACAGTAGGGGGCATTCTGCTTAGGTATTTATAAATCATTGCGTATAATGTACATAGTAGGGTTGTTTAGTATGTTGAACATGATCTTTTTTTTCCTTTGAAGTACTCAAAGGGCTAGCTCTGAATGTCACCTCTCTGATCTCCAACATTCTGACTTCAAACAGCTGTACAATCGTTTTGTTCTCTCTTCAGCAAGCATAAAGGTCTCTGGCTACAGACCGCAGTGTCCATGCATGGTTGCAGAGAACAATCTGCATGCAGGCAGTGCCTCACCGCACCGGTGAAGCTTGTGTTCACCCTCTCCCAGCAGTAGCCACCTACTGCAGCTGCCTTTTTTTCCTTGCTGCCCATTATGCAGGGCTTCAACTTTTCATACTTCAAAAAAAAAAAAAGTGTATGTTTTTTTTTTTTCTTGCCCACCATGCTTTAAGTCTGAATGGGAGAGAACTCTCAGCAGACAGCGGCTCCTGCCTGCAAGGTTGCAGAAATATCTCAGATGTGTTTTTCTGCCATTGGCTGCGCCGGTGCTCCGTGGGCATGGGCGAATATGGATCCATCTGCCCCCTGGTCTGCGTACCGTAGTTCTCATGTAGTGCAGAATTATTGAGGCATGTGGCTTTCTTAAGGTACACTATGTGTGCTTGCCTGGATTACAATACGAGACTGTCTTTTTTTATCGCTTACTACTAGCTTTCCAATAACCTCTATAAGTAACCTAACTCACAACTTTGTCATCCGACCTTTTCTCCCCACCCCTTTATTTATCAAGCATAATATTACATGCTAAGGGACAAGAAAATAGACCTTTGTAGAATACAGCAGAACAATGTTGCTAACAATGTTTGAAATGGGAATTAAAACCTCTCTAAAAACGCCAGCCTTGAGAAATGACTTTGTTGGCACCGTGTTCATGCGCATGTATTTTTTTTTCAATTTTTTCTGCTTTTGTCATGTTTCATCCATATCTGTATTTATATCTTGTTTGTTTCACTTTTGAGTGTATCATGGCAATTGTACAGATGTTTTTTGTTAACATTTACGTGATAGAATTTGCTAAAAAAAAAAATAAAATAAAATAAAACCTTTTGAGTTTGCCCTAGAGCAAGTGGAATTTAGGTTGTTTTCAGGGGAGGAGCGCTAATGGAGGCACGTTATCCAGCACGTCTCCCACTCCAGCAGCCTTTGCTTGTAAAAGATTTGCTCTCTGTGAACCTTTTGCTTCTCAAGGATTCGCTGTCTGTGTTGAAAAATACACTGAACCTTTTGTCAAAGGGCTGCTGGTGCCTCGTGCAGATGGACCTCCTGTGGTGTGTGCAGGAACAGGGGCCAGACCGCAGCTCTGGGAGTGGGGACTTGGCACATCTTGGAGATGGAGCTCTGTCCTGGTGGAGCAGCCATGGGACTGCAGTGCCAGGCACCTGTGGCTCTTAGAAAGAGGACAGATGACAGAGCGCTCTTGTCGGTGTTTTGTAGCTCTGGATGTGGGCTTAATTTTGCCTTAGAGCTGTGGGGGCTTTGGAAAAGCTCTGAAGTCTGAGGCATCACAAATGTGGTTTGAGATGAGCAGCCTGGACAGTTGGATGTCACTAACAGTGTTTAAAGGGTCAGTCCTTGGAAAACCCTCTGGGAGGGCTTAGTAGGGGACCATCCTGCAGATGCAAAGCATCTGTGTACCATGCCTGGCTTTCACTGGCTCCTTGTTCTGTCACTCAGAGTGAACACTAAGATGGAGACGTGGCTCTCTGAGATGCAGCTACAGCAAGTGAGGAGCCCAACTGGAGCGTCCTGTAGCAATTTCTCCAAATGGATTACAGGAGCAGAAGAACAATTTGCCTCTTGGTTCCTGTCTGTGACTCCTGCACATGCCAAAGTGTGTTGTGGAGGGAGACAGAGTGCTTTGACAAGGGGATGTTCACCAAACAGTCTCGCAATATCTCTCCTTGCAGCTTTTTTGTCCAAAGTGCCCCTAAACTACCTGACTGCTTCTCAGATGGGGGATGAGGGATGACTGATTGCTGCTGGGGATGTTCTTGCTGGGCTCTCCTGCACTGCAAAATTGCTGCTGGCAGTGAAAGGCCACGAGTGTGTTCCTGGTATATCTCACCCTGCCCTGCAGGCTCTGACAGCTGGTCTCCCTGCATGCTGGCACCGTGCAACCACGTCCCTGCTATAGGGGATATACCAAGGAGCTGCTAAGCACATACAGACTAAGGGCCTCATCTTCATTTTCTCCAGTTAAAGAATGAGATGTTTGGGCTTAAAGCTGCTGGGAAAGCATACCAAGAGTGAACCCATCTCCTTGGGCCAGGAGCTCAGTGCCATGTGTGAGCAAGACAAGGGGCAGCAGGAAGGAACTGCTCAGGAGCTGGGAGAAGGAAAAACATCGCCCGAGAGCAGCCAAGGGAGCATGAGGGCAGTGAGAACCAGAATGAGCTGACATGGGATCGGGGGGATTACAGGGTGTAGAGAGGGGTAACAAGTAATTAATGAGGAGAGGGATGAAATTAATAACGACTCAAAAATGGCTGAGATAATGAACTCCTCTTTAAATCCACCTTTAACAAGGGAAAGGATTTAGATCAATTAAGAGGTAAAGAAAATCTTGTAAAAACAGCTATAGCCACAAGCTAGTGGGAGAACAGCTGGAACATCTTGCTGGGAAGAGGCAGTGGCCGGCTGAGACCTATATCTGTGGGGTCCCTGGGGGAAGTTCCCTGTGGTGAGGGCTGCATGCTCCTTGCCTCAGCCACCACTGGGATGGTCTCTTCCAGAAGCAGTCCTCTGTCCCAGTGATGATCCGGTTACACCCCGATCCCTTTTCTGTTCCTGGAGAAGCACAGCCCTTGGACACTGTGCTCCTTGCTGGGGTGGGGCCTTGGTAAGGCCCAGTCTCCTGCCCCTGTCCTGAAGGGCACCCTGGTGCAGCATCTCCTCTGCTTTGTCCATGCCCAGCACCAGCTGAGCCTGCTGCATCAGTGCTTGGTACTGGAAGGGTTATGCAGCAGCCCTGCTCTTGGGGCAGTTTCTTGCTGCTGCTCTATAAATAGGAGCTGCTTTCTTAATCTGCTCCCACTGCTCTCCACTCCCCACCAGTTTTTTCCTGCTTTTTCCTGCAGGGAGGTACCTGCAGCCCCAGGCAGCTGTTGGCCCTGCTGTGCCCTAAACGCAGCTGGAAAGGCCCATTCATGGCACTAGCTGTTTGTCAGCACTTCCACAACCATTCCTATTTAAAATGAATAGCCAGAAATGGAGGAGGGAGCCACCCTGGTGGCTTCCATGACCCCAGAATCCTGCTTTGTATCTTCCTGGTGCTTGCTGTGCCACAGGTCAGCTTCTAGCAAATACCTCCAATTTCTGATGCTGATCCAAGCCTCTTTTCTTTATAATCTTCTTGTTCTGGGTTTTCCCTTTTTCAGTAAAAATTCACTCTCCTGCCACTCACTTTCCAGAGCTGCTGTACCCTCAGTTTACTGATGCAAAGCATTCTCCAAAAAACCCCATCTGATATTTTCAGTTTCTGATGTGATGTGACCCACCTTGATCTATGAGCATCTTCCCCCTCGGATGGATGCTGGTGCTGTGCCAAGGTAAGGCCATGAGCCTCTGCTCCCAGCTGCAATGTCAGGGAAGGCCATCTCCTCCTGGCACTTTGCTGTGTTTCACTCAGTTCCAGCAACACTTGCTGATAGGGTTTGCCTGCCATCCCCATGCAGCCGTGCTGACTGCCCATTTCATGCCTTAGGGATGTCTACACGGCCCTGGCTGTTTTGCAGAGGTCCCAGTTGACCTGTTCCCACCGAATTTTTGTTGAAGGTGCATATTTTATACCTGGTTGCAGAGGCTCCCACTTTAGAAAACTGCAGCAGGCTGGGGATGTGGTAGTTGGGACACCGGGAATGTTGTCTCTAGTATTTTGCCCAGCATATGAGTTTTCACTCCATTTCCTTTGGAATTCTGTAATCTGCACCATTTGGACTAGTGCTAAATATTAACTGAAATTTGCACTTAATAACTTGGCAACATCGCATTGGAGCCCAGCACACAAGTAGGAGATGTGCCCAGCTTGCATCTCTCAGCCCTGCTGAATGTTTAGGGATGCTGAGGCATATAGCAATGTGGTTCCAAGTTTGTGCCAGAGCCCTCCATCATTCCTACATCCACCTATGCTTGGCTGGGACATACCCAGGTACCATCCAGCTTTGGTTCAAGCTACACAAAAGCCTTGATTTCGTGGTTAATGCAACTAGGGGCAGTTTGCTGATTTGAACACAGAGAGAAAAACCTCAGCAGAAATCAAAGCCCTGGAAGGGACTGGTATGTACAGGAATGTCATTAACAACTAATCCCCTCTAATCCAAGATGACATTATCACATGAGGGCACGAAATGTAATTAGATGTAAACAGTGCTATCTCCAGAGCATGGAGTAAATATTAACCGATCCATCTTCCCAGTGCTCCTGTGGGGTTGGTCAGCTCCTGGGTTGGGCAGGTGGGGAAACTGAGGTAGGACCCTTCATGTACCTCTTGCCCATGTGGGCAAGCAAGCTCTATCAAAAAAGACAAGTAAGTAAGGTAAAAAATACTGGCATTGTGCTGCCACAAAGACTTGTGGAGGCAGCACAGGGGACACCCATAGAGGACACGGTGGAACCTGAGCCATCCCGAAGGCTTTGCTCCCCTCCCCATAGCTGAGGCCTGTGCTCAGTGCAGGTGCACACACATGGGGCCCAGTGCTGCCCAGAGCCATTCAGGGATGCTCTGTCACCATGGAGGTGACAAGGCCTTTGTGCCCCTGTGCTCTCCATGCCCTCTGCAGCTGTGCCTGTAGGGCAATGGAACACGTGCTCAGACATGGCATTCTGCTAAGGCATGTTTAAATGATTTTCTGCCATCTCTTTGATTCTGATTCCTTAGGGCTCATTTCCTAATGGCACCATCAGGCCTTGCAAGCTGCTGTCGGGCGATGCCTTCCTGCTATTGAGGTGATGTTTGTGTTGTGCCACAGAAGCCTGACTGCAGCTGTAGGGATGTGGCATGGAGACCGTGACCAAACATGAGCACACCACAGGGCACAACTTTGGCCTTTCAGGCAGCTCACCTGACGTCATGTTTCCAGCTGTACAATGCTACCAGCGAGCTGTTGTACCATGTGGGAATTGGTCAACATCTCTGCCAAACACCATCAGAACACTCTTTTCCTACCCCCAGGGCCCACTGCCACTGGCTCCTGGGCTCCTTCCCTCCACCTTCAGAGCTGAGGCTGCAGAGATCCAATCATGCACTGAAAAATTCCGTAGCACTTTCTGACTGCAGTGAATATCACATTCAATGCTACTGGAAGTCTCTTGCATTATCTAGCTCTATGTCTTCCAACACATTTTGTTTTAATTTCCAGCAGAGATGGGGATCCCTAAGAAGTCAGATCTGCAGCCTGCTGGCCAGCTTGGTACAGTCACCTTCCACAGAACCCCAAGGAGACTCTCAAAGAGTCACTGAGTGAAGTTCACTGTAGTTTGATGGCAAGGGATCACAGCTGTAATTGCTGCTCTCAATCACTACAGGTGGTACAGCAGCACCCCCTGGGCTGGGGCTGGCAATAGCACACCTATGACACGGCAGGAGGACTGGAGGGAAAGCTCACAGCAGTTCTGGCCATGCACGTTCGAGAGGTGTTCCTGGTAACTTCACTTGGTAGTGATCTGAAACAGTTGTATAAACACAGGTTTGGATGGGAGTGGCTGGCTAGAAAGCACCAGGAGCAGCAGATAGGGCATACAAGACAAGCATGGCTTAGTGGCACGCTCATCAGCAAATTGTCAAGATCATAGCGCATCTACACGCAGCTTTTCAGGGTGGATCAGACAAAGAAAGGATGGCCTGCAGCAAAAGACAACCTACTCTAGGCTGAGACAAGCCTGAGATCATGGAGGGTGATAGATAAGGGCTGGAATGGAGCCTTGGGGCATTCAGGGAGGAGAGAAAGTGCAGTGAGCTGGATCCAATGGCCTACAGCATAAGACAGGATGGGGAGATGAAAGAGAGCAGCTGGTGTCAGTCCCAGCCTTCCCAGAACATGTCCCAGAGTGACCACTAGCCACGGGAGTCAGGGTGAGGAGTGCATAGCCATGTCCCTTGTGCTGTGTCATTGTGAGGGATCCTGAGCAGCCCGTGGTTGATGAACACCTGTACTGACTGTGAGTATGCGGGTACAAGAGGTGAGCGAAAGCATGAAAGCAGGCTTTCTTTTAAAATAAAACCCCTCTCCTCCTCCAAAGTCTTATCTTGAGATATACTTCTATCATTGTTACCCAACAGAGAAGTGTTTCCTATGCCCTCCTCTGCAGATTGCCCTGGGAGTGTGGCTGATGCTCTCTGCCCCTCTGCGTCTCCTGCTTTCCTGCCTGGCTGTATCTGATCTTCTACTCCAAACTAGGAGACTTGGTATCACTCATGTCTCTTCCATTTAGGCCATCTTTGGATCTTCTGTAAACATAATGATTTAGACTTTTCTAAGTGCTACTGGTGATGATTGCCTCTCAGCTGAGGGCTCTGCAGCGTAAGTCTGTGTGTGTTACATGCAGTATTCCTCCTATGCTCCGGTACTTTCCCCAGCACCTAGACCAGAAGTTAAATCTCTTATAAAAGTACATTACACCAGTGCTATGACTCTGGGCAGTTGGAATTACGATCTCATTTTTAAAATGCTTTTGGTTAAACCTGATTTGTTGTCCTATGATTCAAAACTGATTGCTTTGCTTCTGCTGTCGCATCGTTTAAGTCCTATATCAGCTATTCCCATCTAGCTTCCTCCTCTTCCTCTTTTGTAAATATTATTGCAATGTATTTTCTTCTGGAATTCCCCACAGGTCCTGTGTCACCCAGAACGCAGTCACCAGTATTGCAGAGTGCTCATCAGCACATCAGTGCTTAAATCTGCAAGATCAAAAAGGTGCAATCTTATTCTCTTGTAAGGGTAGAAGAGTCCACTTCTAAGAGTAGAAGATACTTGAAGCCCAGACTTAAAAACCATTTGAGTATTTGAAGAAAAAAACCATGGGTGATACAGACAGAACCAGAATGCTGGGCACTCCAAAAAAGTGGAGAACAGCTATGAGAACAGGATACAAATCTGACCTTTCGACACTGCCAAATATGTACTGTCACTTGGGGTTTGTCCTATTTATTCATGAGAGAGATGACGGCACTGTCTCACGTAATAATCTCCATGATTGCTGCTGCTCACACCAGGTGTTCTGGACTGGACCGCCTGCAGGCTGGGGCAGCTCCCAGCTCACTGTCACCGCCTCTTCTGTTTGTGTTATGGCGAGTTCCTTCTCCAGGAGATGTTTATAAACTGACATCAAGTGTCTTAACCTTGTTTTGATAAATGAAAGCAGATGTTTGGAAGGATTGATCTGATTATCTCCAGTGTTTATAGACAGTGGGATCTCAGTAGCACAGTGCAGGGAGTCC